TGTTTCGTCTCTTATGACAGTCCCACAAAACATTTTTGAAGAAATCGAAAAGATTTCTTTTAATTTTATTTGGGGAGGGAGAGACAGAATAAAACGGAAAATATTATATCAAGATTATTGCGCTGGGGGACTCAGAGTAACGAATTTTAAGATATTTATCAAGACTCAGAGAATAATGTGGATCAAACGGTTGCTCTATGGAGAAAAGTATTCAGGTTGGAAAGTAACCTTTGACCACTTTTTCAGATCACTGGGGGGTCGAATTATATTTCTTTGTAATTATGATATAAATAAAATGGACTTGAAGGGTATACCATCTTTTTATAAAGACATGTTGAAGGCATGGCAAGAATTAGATAAATGCAGACACTTTGGAGAAAATAAGAATAATCCGATTATATTTAGCAACAAGTTTATTTGTCTCAGCAATAAAACATTTTTGATGTCGAACTATTTCAGAAAGGTATACTTCAAGCATCAGATATAATTGTCAGAGGTCATTTAAAACCGATCTTACATTTTTTAAATTTGGGTTTTGAAACTAAAAGCTTGCTTAGAATTCAAAAGATCTTTTCAGCAATTAGAAACGATTGGATACAAAGTGATTTTATGGAAGTGGACACTGAAAATTTTGAAATAGAATTGATGATATTTGGACGTTTACAGAAACTATGTGATATAAAATCCAGGCGGTTATATGATTACTTCATTGAAGACCTTCAAAAAGAGTATACATTACATGTTACAGATGGCAACTGTCAATTTGATCTTGGAATGACGGAGTTGAAAGAAACATTCACAAGGATGAAATGTGCAATGCTTTGTAATAAACATAGAGAGTTTCAATACAAACAATTACAAGGGGCTGTATATACGAAAAGAGAGCTCTTTAAATTTGGTTTTGAGTCAGACCATTTTTGTTCCTTTTGTAGACTAGAAGTAGAGACATACCAACATTTATTTTTAGATTGTCTTAAAGTTAAAAGATTATGGCAGGAGGTAATTCAAAAGTTACATTTAATCGAAATTGACATTGATGATTGGAAACCCATTTTTATGGGAATATCCGGCAATACTGCGAGAATATTTGTAATAAATTGTATCATATTTTTAGTAAAGTATATCATTTTATTTCTAGAAAAGTAGGAACTTTGCCATCTGTACAGAAAACAGTACATATGCTTAAAAATTACAGAGACGAGGAATACAAAATAGCCTTCAAAAAGGGGAAACTGGGGATGCACTTACAGAAATGGGAACAAATCGATGCATTTTTACTTTAATGGATGTGGGTATTATTATTATTATTAGTATTATTAATTCTCTCTCGTGTACAGGTGGACAAACCGGAACAGGTTGCATGCAGTGTGTGTGTCGGCGTGAAGGGGGTATGATGAGATGGGTGGGCTAGGGGGGGGGGGGGGGGGGTTAAGAGTTTGTGTGGTGTGAGTTGAGGGAACAGGTTGCATGCAGTGTGTGTTTGTGTTTGTATGTGTGTTTATGTGTGTGAAAGGTGGTGTGGGTGGGCTAGAGGGGAGGGGGGGGGGGGAGTGTGAGAGTGTTGTGATAGGATGGTAATATGTAATTTTAAACCTTCCTCTACTGTTATTTTGATTATTCACTGTTACATGCAAGACTTTTTTTTTCCTTTTTTTTTCTCTATGTTCATTGATTGATGTAACTTATGAAATGTCTTGTATCAAAGATCTTGTTTTATATTGCTTATCTTGATAATTTCTTGTTATGTGAATTTCTTGTTATGTGAAATTGTGAGGAAGGAAATAAAATATCATTTAAAAAAAAAAAAAAAAAAAAATATGAGGGCATCGCTCGGTCGCCGCTAAAGTTTTAGCCAGGAGTTAAAATTCGGGAGGCGCCTGCTCACTTTTCACTCGCCGCCCCAAATACACTGGGTGCCCGGGCGGTCACCACCCGGGCACCGACCTGATCGAGCGTTCGCCGTCGAGCGATTTAGGTCGAAAATCGGAACCGCTTAGTCAAAGGCTGCCGAGCGGTCACCGCCCGGTCGCCGCTGGGAGATCAGGTGGTCACTGGGCGGGAGTTCAAAATCGGTCGACGTCTGGGCAACGCCAGCTCGGCAGCCTTTGAACTAACGGCTTTGATTTTTGACCTAAATCGCTCGACGGCGAACGTTTGATTAGGTCGGTGCCCGGGCGGCGATCGTCCGGGCTCTGAGCGTTTTTTGGCCTACGAGACACCCGCAGATGCCCCGCCGATCACCGGCCGGCCGCCGGGCAATTTCTTTAAAATTAGTCGGTGGCCGGTGGGAGACTGCCGGGAATCGGTGGGTCATCAGTAATTGGTCACTGCCGGGACGCCGCGCGGAGAAACTCCCCGATGTTGCCTATTTTTGAACTAAAATCGACCGGCGACCGACGGGAAATCGACAGGGCACAGCCCAGGCATCGCTGGGGCTCTACAGCCTGCTCGACTTCTCAAAAAATCATTGGGCGATGCGTAAATTCCAGCGGCGACCGAGCAGGCTACAAATCGGTCGATCGCCGCTCTGAGTTATGACCATAGCTTTACTGTACTCTGACCCAAGACCATAACGATGGCCAGGCGCGGATCCAGGATTTCTTACGGGTGGGGGCCCGAATTTAAAATCAATTTGAAATTTAGTGTGCTGAATTTGAAAATCGTGCAGCTCAGGGGTTTTGGGCAATAAATTACTATCAGATGAGCATATTTTGATACTTTATTTGTGAAACTGGCAGGACACAAATTGGTGTTGGGTCCAGGGGGCGGAGCCCCAAGAAGCTCAGGGGTTTTATACATTAAATTATCGTCAGATGAGCATATTTTTATACTTTATTTGTGACACTGGCAGGACACAAATTGGCGTTGGGTCCAGGGGGCGGAGCCTTTAGAAACTCAGAAGTTTATACATCAATTTATCGTCAGATGAGCATCATTTTATACCTTATTTGTGACACTTGCAGGTCACGAATTTGCGTGGGGTCCAGGGGCGGAGCTCCCGGAAGCTCAGGGGTTTGGGGCAATAAATTACGGTCAGATGAGCATCCAGGGCCCCGCCTTAGGGCCATCGTTTGGGTTCGGGGGCAGAGCCCCGGGAGCGTAGGGCTTTAGGCATTTAATTATGTCAGATGAGCATAATTATACATTATTTGTAACACTGGCAGGTAACTAATTGACGTGGCGTCCAGGGGGCGGAGCCCCCAGAAGTTTAGGGGTTTTAGGAATTTTATAACGGTCAGACAAGCATGCAGGAGCCCGCCTTGGCTGGTTCGAGGGGGTGGAGCCCCGGAAACTTAGGGGTTTTAGGCATTTAATTACGGTCAGATAAACATATTTTGATACCGTATTTGCGCCACTGGCAGGACACTAATTGGCGTGAGGTCAAGGGGGCCGAGACCCCAGAAGCTCAGGGGTTTTAAGCATTAAATTACCGTCAAATTAGCATCCAGCCGTCCGCCTTAGGGCCCTAGGTGGGGTCCAGGGGGCAGAGCCAACGGAAGTAAAGGGATTTTAAGCATTTGGTTACGGTCAGATGAGCATATTTTGATACCTTTGATATCTTTCTCCTTTTATTTCCTTCTTTTTTTCCCTTCTTTTTTTTCTCATTTTTTTCATTTTTTTCTAGGGTGGGGGGGGGGGGGGGCGGGCCCCCCGGCTCTCTCCCCCTGGATCTGCCACTGACGATGGCAACGGTTAACGTTTTGTAGTTTGAAAAAAAAAATCAATTAACTCATCAGAGACTGTGATTTCAACATCCAATTCTGAATTCCCAGCTATACAGTGGTCAGTGCTAATTTTGGGAGCTTCTAATTAAAAAGTTAAAACTTATGTGAACTTGAATCATTCACCATGGTAAAGAGTAGCTTACAGGTACTTATATGCCATTAAGTTACCTCTTTACTCGTCTACTTTGTATAACTTTGCCGAACTGATTTGTACAGTCATAATGGGAAGCCAATGCCTTTGTATGATGTGTATTAATATTTAAATTAGGTCTATAAGTTGTGATTATTTTCTTTTATCATGTGTTTTTTCTTCACCCTCTACTCTTTTTGGTCTTGAAACTTTATTATAAATGATTGGTCAATATCCAAGTGTATTATGTAAAAATAAAGGTGTTATAGAACAAATCAATAAGTATTTTGTGCACGTCATGTAATAATTGGGTTCAAACATATTGTGCTAGTGTACCATTATAATTATACAATGATGTATCCTACCTAGGGGCGGCGATCCCGGGGGACGGGGGGGGGGGGGGGGACACGTCCCCCCTCAATTCATTGTCCCCCCTGAAAATTTGAAAAAGTGTAAACAAAAAATTCATAGGAAATACTAAAGGCTGCAACTTTTAAGCTCTGGAGGGCCCAAGAGTGCAGCGTTTAGACAAATAAAAACGCAAAAATTTTCTCACCCGGTAGCTACGCTGCCTCGCATAATATCCTTCAAAATTCAAACGTACTTTATATCTAATTCGATACCAGTGAATGATTTACATATATTGCTGAAATGGCATGATATTTCCTTGAGCATCCGGGGGTTTTGCCCCCTGGCTGCTCATCTGACCGTTATTAAATGCCTAAAACCTCTGAGCTTTTCGTCCGGGACACTCTACTTTTACGGCATTGATTAAAGTCACGGCTGAATTGTTGAAGGCTATTGATGAGGGAAATTAACCGATGCAGTTTCTGACAAACTAACAAGAATCGGGATCAACGGGACCTTTCTCACATGGTTCATAAACTACCTTTCAGATCGGAGAATTGTAACTTGTATAGGCACCTGTATTTCCGAAGAATTATTTATTGAGCTTGGGGCACCCAAATTATTTATTTTGGTTCCATTGTTATTCATAATTTTCATCAACGATTTAACCTCAGTTTTTCATTCATGCAAACTTCATTTGTACGCAGATGGCACCGTGACTTACTTTCCCCATGGTTCTGTACGGATTCAGGGCACTTTAATCTTGAATCATCTTTTCATTCCATTTGTAATTATAGGAGTTTGGAATCCCATATGATGGAGAGTTTGTCATTGCTACCACCAACAGAGATGAGATCAATACAGATGAGACTTATGGTAAGCTATTTCACGCAACCTACAATTCTTCAATACCCCCCTTTTAGTTAGGTACACTGACGGCTCCAACATGGAAGAGCCTGGAATGTGATGCTAAAACGATACCAACGTCTATTTTTTATAAAATTGGTGTCCAAATTGCCCACATTTTATGTTTTAGGGGCCCACCAGTGTTTTGATGTATTTCAGAACAAATATTTCAGCTGAAAATGTTCCTTGGTGTAAAAAAAAACAAAACTCTATCAACAATGCAGTGCAATATGTTATGGGTACAGAAGACTACATGGGCACTGGAGTTGCTCCAAAAATGGCCCAAAGGACCATCAACTCTAGACAGTCAAGTAAATTGCTTTAAACTGCCTTGGGGGGGGGGGGGGGGGGGGTAATTGGGTCACATTAAATTTTCTTTTTCGGTATCAAAATACAATGTTGGGTTCACAGATCTAATTTTATGAACCAAAATGGAACATTAGTGATTTAAGAACATCAAATTATAGTTAGATGAATTTTCTATTTACATACATCTTTAACTGTGTTATGATAAAGGTACTTGTTAATTTAAGTAATATATTATTATTTTCGGGGCACCTGAGCGGGCCCCGGGAGACCTGAAGCTATTCATCGCAACCCAATTGGAAATGCGAGAAAACTCATATATTAGTTTACTGACTAGATAATTAAACATATGTTATATGACTGGGTCGGTAGAATGTCGTTTTAACTTAATCGTGGCAAGTTGGTCCGAGTAAGAGTGTATGGACATCTAATGGTGTAACTCTTTTTAAGGTAAAAAGGGGCGTGCGCCTCCACGCCACCCGGATCCGCCCCTGAAATAGATGACGCCCGCACTAGTTCATGTCAACCTACACTGTAAAAAAGAGTTTGTTCATTGGTAATTTTTACGTATTTTTTCCATGTAGAATTTACTTGAAAACATTAGTTTTGCCACTTACGCACTAAATTTAAGTCTTGCTAACTCAAACTTTCAATTTAGTAGAACATACGTGGAATATTTAAGTAAAATCAAATACATAAGAACTTTAAGTAATTTCAGCTTGTATTAATTTAGTAATTTTAGCTCAAAATCAGAAATTATACGTATTACTCAAACAATTTATGTTGATTATTCTTATCTTTTTAAAGTAAGGACCGATGCAGTGCGTAATAGAAATATTTACATAATTTATGAATATTCATTAAGACCAAATTAAACTCTTTTTTTAATTAAAACAATTCTTTTTTGTGGTTGAATGAAAATTTAAGGACTTTAAAACATTTACTAATTCATTTAACATGGCTAAGCAAAGACAAGACAATTTTTAATTGTTACCCAGTTCAAAACAAATCAAAACTTGATATTTCAGGAAATTGTCAACCAACTTTCCTTTTAAGATGCTACGATCAAGTATATATAAAATTTGGAGCCTTTCAATATGTGTCGAATTGAAGCGTATGTAATAGTTTGTGATGGTGGTAGATATAAATATATATATATATACGGTTAAATCTTAAATGGAAGTAGTGTTAGGGATTAGTGATTAATCTTAAATAGAAGTAGTGAATGATTAGTGGATGTACTTGTTAGATTAGATGGGTACCAAATCGTGCAATATGTAATCCTACCATAGTTTTTTTTTAATTATCTAAAATGATTACAATACTTAAATTATTTACGTTAATGTAACTCGATTTAACTGAGTACAAATTTATTCAGCAAAATAAGTAAATTCTACTTAATATGCAGTAGGTAATATTTACTTAATAAAAATAAGGCAATTCTTTTCCTCAATTTTATTGAGTTATTTCGACTATTATTTTTTTTACAGTGTACCTTCTGCATCTTAACTCCGCGAAATTTAATTTTTATATTATAGTGTAAACAAACAACCTTACGCTGACCGAAATTGCATCGTGTAGACACGGCTACTGAAAATACACATGTGGTATACTTTTTTAAATTTCTTTTGTTCTTGCTGTTTTTTTTCCTATTTTCATGCATAAAGGATTGCCGTCCTTCAAGAAGCTCAAGCAACAATGGATTCCTACACAGCTGGGTGTTTTTGATGGAAAAGATATCAATGACTATTCAATTTTGATCGAAATGTGGGGATAAACAAAAATATGTACCCATTTTTGTAAGCGACACTTAATACAAAAGTGGTTTGATTTGTTATTATTTCTATTTTCTTGCTGTGTTTTTTTTCCCATGTTTATGAACAAAGGATACCCACCCAGATGGGTGTTTTCCACTATTTAACGTGTGAAGATGGGCGTGGTTATTAAATTGGTTCCATATAGTGATATGACGCAAACCCTCAGATAGTCTTTAACCCTAGTTTGACCGATGGGAATTTTTAACCCCCCTTACCCCGCACTGTAAAAAAAACCCACAACTGCCGCGAACTTGCTTCAGATCGTGACTTGCCTTTTCGTGACGTTTTCCTTTCAAGTATCTCGCAACTTTTGAGACCAAGTTTGCAAAATTGGACAATCCTTTGCGAGGTCACCGTCAATTCATAGTCACATGTCGGCCTAAGAATTGAATAGAATTGAACCTGGCAAATGGGCTAACTATACTTTGCAGCCACGCCCTATGCAGGTACATATATCAGTGCCGATCATACTCCCCTCTCATTGTAAACATATACTCATTACTATGAATCTTTCCGACTATGAAAATTTGCTTGTGGTATCGATGCCATGTATGCTGCAAAGTAGGTTTAATTGAGCTTACAGTAAGCTCACAAATGCCATTCCCATTCACCAGAGAGGTGATTTTAGCATTTGGAATTTGTCCTTTATTTCTTCCACATCTAGGGAAATTTTCTTTGATCAACATTCTTTTTCTGTTTACAAATAATCTCGCCATTTTAGTATTTTGGTTTTGAATCAGCATTAATGTTTTGTAATCGAAAAATGTCCACATTATTCAGAAGAAACCAAATCAAAGGCTTTATTTTCTTAGACAACGTAGGAAACTACACAAAGACTAGACACTTCTCGTTCTGTTCTATAAATTAATCATTCAGTCTATCTTGACATTCAATCTTATTTGTTACTTTGGTAATGGAACACGTGCTAGCAAAAAGAAAACTGATAGAAAAAGGAAAATTGCTCAGCGCACCATCGGTTTGGAATTGCCCAGTTTAGAAAATATATATGTTGACCGTACATTGCTGAAGGTAACACGTATTAATATTGGAGACCCAACACATCATTTGTTCCATGATTATAATTTAAACGAGCAGGAATTCGCCTCTGCGTTCCCCGCACTAGGCGGGAGCGCTTCAGACGTTAATTTGTGCCGGATTCGATTCATGTTTACAACAGAAGGGTAAAACGAGGGCAAGTATTGTACTATTGTATTGCTTTGCTCCATTTCCTAGGCAAGCAATCACATTGTACATATCATGCTTACCCAGGGGCGTACGCAGGATTTTTTCAAGGGGGGGGGGGGGGGGGGTAAGCGGACACTTTTTTTTCTTCTTTTTGGTAGTCCAAAAAACAATCGCAAACGACTCAGCCAACCAAAGAGTCGCTCAGTGGGGGGGGGGGGGGGGGGGGGGGGGGGGGGGGGGGGGGGGGGGGGGGTAAGCGGACACTTTTTTTTTTTTTTTTGGTCTCGAAATTTGAAAATTTGACATTTTTTTTCGTTGGGGGGGGGGGGGGTAAGGTCACTTTAAAAAAAAGGCGGGGGGGGGGGGTTTTAGTTTTTTTTTAGGGGGGTTTACACACATAAAAATACCAAAGGGGGGGTTTGAACCCCCAACCCCCCCCCCCTGCGTACGCCCCTGTGCTTACCTGATACAGACTACTTCCGTGTTCCCTATTTACGTTTGAATTTTGAGGTGCCTGGATGTGGGACGTCGCTCGTATTGTTGGATGTAACGCCATTGATGTTATTAGGTGGTCTGTTGTCAACAGACCACCTATTGTTTTCGTCAGAATTTTCTTTCTTTATTTATTTATTTATTTATTTATTTATTCTTTATTAGGTGGTCTGTCGTTTTCGACAGATCACCTATTGTTTTCGTCAGAATTTCTTTCTTTATTTATTTATTATTATTATTTATTTTTATTTCTTCCCGTTTTTTGTTTATCGGTTAACTCAAGATCGGTTGTTTTAATTTCTTTCAATTTTGACACAGTCATAGGTCATTGTCATGAGACGTGACAGGAACATTTTCAAGGTCATCAGGTTATCGTGACGTCATCCAGGCGCCATTTTGTGAAATCACGTTATCCATCATATCTTCGTGATGCATAAGCAAAGGTCATTCATATTCATATCACATATACTTCAGGTCAAGGGTCAACAGGTCATGTCATCAAAGGTCACATAAAGGTCACGACGCGCGCGTACGCGTGCGTCAAAATATCAAAATGCTCAAAATCACTTAACTATCAAAGGAGAGTACGAATCAAGTCATTTTAAGCATTTCAACATTTTCCGTCCGTAAGTGTCCCCGCGCGCGTTGCGCGCGCTCACAACGCGCGGAAAAGGTCAAATTCATTTGTTTTACATGATTTATATTCCTCTTACCGTAAATGACAATTTACATTAATTTCAGTCACTCTTGACCTTTCATAAGGCCGTGAGCGCGCGTCAAAGTTCAAAATCCGCGCGTGCTGCTATGGGCACTATAATGCAAATTTGATCAAAAACATCCCATTTTATAAAACAAAATAGCTCTTCAGATAGTCAATTGACCCCAACTTTATATCATGGTTGGAAAAAACATGAGTTGGAGATATGATTTCATGTGTCATTTGACCCTCAATTAACTCATGACGCCATCATAATGGCCTCCGAACTCAAAATTTCAATTTGCATATTATGACGTCAACATATTTTTATAAAATTGATTGTATCTCTGTAAATATTAATTCATTTTCTTTCAAATTTTGATATGTTCTACCTGAGAATATTGTCTACAAATGCAGTCCCCACGATATTTCATTTTGACAAGGGCATCATGGCGTATTTTTTGCGATTAAAGCAGGCATGTCAATTTTTCACATTTTGCGTGTATTCTCTATGAGACATGACTTTTTCTCAAAACTGGATTCTACATTCTCGTCTTTCGCGAGCAATATCTCCATCGTTTTATCTTTGTTTATGCTGAGCTTTGAGTATGATGTAGCTGAGAGAATGAGCTATCACGAGTGTGCCCTTTATTTTTCGATTAGATGCCGGGATCATGCTCATATTTCACTTATAAAGTGGGATTTGTGAATTCTATTTTCCGTTTACGTGTAATCTCTATGGGAAATGTTTTGGCATATCGGTAACGCACTTGACTTCCGACCTCGAGGTCCCTGGTTCGAGTCCGGGAGTCTCCAACAATTTTTTTCTTTTCTTTTTTTTCTTCTTTTTGACTTTTCAATGATCATAAAATTGAAAACAGACCACCTAATTCGTCCCCATGACGAATTAAATTTCTAGTTATTATTATTATTATTTATTTTTATTTATTTTCACACTTTTTTGTTAACAGGATAACTCAAGATCAGTTTAGTCAATTTCGTTCAGTTTTGGCACAGTCATAGGTCATTGTCATGAGACGTTAGAGTAACATTTTCAAGGTCATCAAGTTTTCATGACGTCATCCAGGCGCCATTTTGTGTTTTTGTTGGTACTTTTTACTCATGATCATATCTTCATAACGGAAAGGCATTTCTCATTCATATTTATCACGATTAAGGTCAATATCCGTCCGGTCAATTTCAGGTCAGAAAACGCGCGCGCATGCGTACGTCCGCGCGTCACCGCGCGCGCAAAAAATAAAAATGCTCCAAATCGTCTCAAATTAATTTGCATACGTTTTAGGCCATTTCAAGCATTTTGCAAAAAAACGCGCACACGCGGATGGGCGCGCGTTTTCGCGCGTACTGATATTTTGCAACATAGAATCGCTGAATTTTTTCTGTCATCATGTTTGACACATTTTTCCAAGCATTTTGATACCTTGTTCACCTTTTTCTGACCAGTAATAACGGAATGAGCGTCCGTTTAAGATAATGTCCGTGCGTGCGAGCTCTTGTAATACATAGCATACATGGGCAAAAACATGCCTATACAAAATCCATTGTAGCGCTTTAGGATGCAAAGTGAACCCAATTTTTTTCTCCATATTTTGATAGAGTATGAATTGGAAATATGATTTCATGTCTCATTTGACCCTCAATTAACTCATGACGTCATCATAATGGCCTCCCAACTCAAAATTTAAATTTGCATATTATGACGTCAGTATTTTTCTGGAAAATTGACTGTATCTCTGTAAATATTGATTGATTTTCTTCCAAATTTTGATATGATCTAGCTGAGACAATTTTCTACAAATGCAGTTGCCACAATATTTCATTTTGACAAAGGCATCACGGCGTATTTTTGCGATTAAAGGAGGCATGTCAATTTTTCACATTTTGCGTGTATTCTCTATGGGACATGACTTTTTCTCAAAACTGGATTCTACATCCTGTCTTTTGCGAGCAATATCTCCGTCGTTTTAGCTTTGTTTACGCTGAACTTTGAGTATGTTGTAGCTGAGACAATAAGCTATCACAAGTGTGCCCTTTATTTTTCGATCAGATGCCGGGATCATGCTCATATTTCAATTACAAAGTGGGATTTGTGCATTCCATTTTCCGTTTACGTGTAATCTCTATGGGAAATGTTTTGGTATATCGGTAACGCACTTGACTTCCGACCTCGAGGTCCCTGGTTCGAGTCCGGGCGTCTCCAACAATTTTTTTTTCTTCACTTTTTTTTCTTTTTGACCATTCACTCTACCATCTCCTTTGAATATTAAAACAAGTACAATCGCAAATAATGTAATAAACAACCATATTTACTTTATTATTACCCTATTATCACTAGATCCATTACTTTTTGCGTGTAATCCTTATGGGAGATGACTTTTCTCAAATCTGGATTCTACATTCTTGTCTTTTGCGAGCAATATCGCCGTTATTTCGGCTTGATTTTTGTTGATTTTTTAGTATGTTGTAGCTGAGACTATATACTATCTAAATGTTCTCTCATTTTTTTCAGTCTGATGTCATCGTGGTCTGTTAATGATAATCATCAACATCATCATGATCATCATCATCATCATCGTCATCCCCATTACTATCAAGATCATCATCATCATCATCATAATCATCATTGTTTACATGTCTATATAACTTCTCCCTTTCTCAATATAGTAAATATTATAATACATCATAAGACTTGAAGACAGACCACCTAATTCGTCCCCATGACGAATTAAATTTCTAGTTTTTATTTCTTCCCGTTTTTTGTTTATCGATTAACTCAAGATCGGTTGTGTTAATTTCTTTCAATTTTGACACAGTCATAGGTCATTGTCATGATACGTGACAGGAACATTTTCAAGGTCATCAGGTCATCGTGACGTCATCCAGGCGCCATTTTGTGAAATCACGTTATCCATCATATCTTCGTGATGCATAAGCAAAGGTCATTCATATTCATATCACATATACTTCAGGTCAAGGGTCAACAGGTCATGTCATCAAAGGTCACATAAAGGTCACGACGCGCACGTACGCGTGCGTCAAAATTTACAAATGCTCAAAATCACTTAACTATTAAAGGAGAGTACGAATCAGGTCATTTAAGCATTTCAAAATTTTCCGTCCGTAAGTGTCCCCGCGCGCGTTGCGCGCGCTCATAGCGCGCGGAAAAGGTCAAATTCAAAATTTTTACATGATTTAGATTCCTCTTACCGTAAATGACAATTTACATTTTTTTTCAGTCACCCTTGACCTTTCATAAGGCCGTGAGCGCGCGTCAAAGTTCAAAATCCGCGCGTGCTGCTATGGGCAATATAATGCAAATTTGATCAAAAACATGCCATTTTAAAAATCATAATAGCTCTTCAGATAGTCCATTGACCCCAACTTTTATATCATGGTTAGAAAAAGCATGAGTTGGAGATATGATTCCATGTCTCATTTGACCCTCAATTGACTCATGACGTCATCATAATGGCCTCCGAACTCAAAATTTCAATTTGCATATTATGACGTCATCATATTTTGGAAAATTGATTGTATCTTTGTAAATATTGATTAATTTTCTTCCAAATTTTGATATGTTCTACCTGAGAATATTGTCTACAAATGCAGTCACCACGATATTTCATTTTGACAAGGGCATCATGGCGTATTTTCGCGATTAAAGGAGGCATGTCAATTTTTCACATTTTGCGTGTATTCTCTATGGGACATGACTTTTTCTCAAAACTGGATTCTACATTCTCGTCTGTCGCGAGCAATATCTCTGTCGTTTTATCTTTGTTTACGCTGAGCTTTGAGTATGTTGTAGCTGAGACAATAAGCTATCACAAGTGTGCCATTTATTTCTCGATTAGATGACGGGATCATGCTCATATTTCACTTGCAAAGTGGGATTTGAGAATTTCATTTTCCGTTTACGTGTATTCTCTATGGGAAATGTTTTGGTATATCGGTAACGCGCTTGATTTCCGACCTCGAGGTCCCTGGTTCGAGTCCGGGCGTCTCCAACAATTTTTTTTTTTTTTTTTTTTTTGACTTTTCAATGATCATAAAATTGAAAACAGACCACCTAATTCGTCACCATGACGAATTCAATTTCTAGTGTTGTTATTATGTTTTATAATTTGTATAATTGTGTACATTGTTTGTAATACACCTGTACCAATGAGGAATGAATTTCAATTTTTTTGGACAAATAAATCAATTTAATTAAGATGCAGTGCATGCAGAAAACACATGAGCGTAGTTGTAGCATTTTTATCAAACTTATTTAATACCAAAGTTTCTTTTCATAGTGCCTACTGAAAAGTATGGATGGAGATTAAAGCTTCAAGATAAATAATTTCAATGCAACCAGCCATTAATGGTAAAGGCGGTATATTTCTCCTTTGCTATTATGGAAATACATTCAAAATATTGTCAATAATTACAGCAAAAAGTACAATTTTATTACAACTGTGTTTCATTATTTTTTAAAAATTGTCATTTTGAAGCTTTCATCTAAATAGCTTTCATTCATATTCAGATAAAGGAAATGCCAATTAACCATGAGAAAAAGAATTTAAAAAATACAGTGTTCAATTTTTTTGTATGTTTAATCAATGGATTCACCATTTATTTACTGACAAAAGCTTACTAAAAGTCATGTGACTCCACAAATAAGGTGTAAACTTTCAAGAAGGCTGAACATTCTCTTGAGGCAGATAGTTATTGAAAGTAATTTTTTGTAATTGTTTTACCCTGTACATGAATACCTGTCCTTTAGGACTTTAATACTATTTCATTTTTTTTTACCGTTTCAGAGGAGCTTGTGGAGGATGGAGACACTCTCTTACTGCTTGTGCACCTTAAACAGGACTTGCTGGCCCCTACCCAGGAGAGGGTGGATTACCAACCCCACTATGACACCATCATCAGGAGTGGCATGTATGAGTACTATGCCAGCGAAGGACAGAATCCACTACGTAAGCTTTGCAATCTTTCATTATGTGATCAGTGGTACTAGTATTTAATTCTTTACTTTTATCTATTAAGCTTCATCACTACTACTTCCAAACAACTTGCTCAGATTCACCGTTCTTACACTTACAGAGCCATGTTTTTCCTTCTGTTTAGCTTTAGGTGTCAGTAATGAATACATTATTATTTATTATATATCAAAATACAGACGCAGTGTTAAGGCCAATAAAGGTTTCTGTGTGATACTGACATAACGTGATGGCATTAACGATATTGTTAATGGTATTCTATTTCATATCTAAACATATCATTGGAAATTTCAATTTATAATTAACATAATTTCTACAAGAATAAATGTTTAACGTCGTCTCATGATGACACCAGTTAGTAATATTTGTTACTATACCCAACAGCATTTGCAATTGCAGAACTGATAGACAACTCACTTTCAGCCACGGTGAAAAACGTTGGACCAAGAAACATAGAAATCAGATTGGTATGTGCCTAAAGTTATCCAAATATCTTCAAAAATGCTAAGTGTTAATTTCTGATTGGAATTTGGGTGGTAAATGAAAATAGTCTTGGAAGTTATTGATACTGTCATGTCTCTATTATGACAAATGTGACAGGCACATAACTTTTGTTAGAAACTCAAATGTACACGGTTTGTATCCTGATGTAATGCTTGTACAGGTGCTGGGAAAGACTACACTTTTGATGGAATACTGAAAAGTCAATATCTTGTAGTCTAAAGTGGTTCTTAAGTTCTTTAACATCATGTCTTTAATTCATATTTCTTTTCAGTTATATCTTGTATTAAAAAAGAACAATATTGCTTCACCTGATAGTATTATCCAGTGGCGGATCCAGTGCTCACTACCCCCCCCCACTGAGCAAAATATTGGCCGGCATGATTTTCATATTTCAGCACACTAAATTTCAAATTGATTTCAAATTTGAGCCCCCACCCTAAGAAATCCTGGATCCGCGCCTGGTATTATCAGTGGTTAGACTTAATGACTGTTATTTGTAACATTCAGGTCTAACAGTTCCATTCATTTTTGGCAGCGATGAGTTTCTAACTGATGAGGTGGCCTTCTGCATGCAGCCTTGTTCACACTTGATTCATTTAGACTGGTCACTATTACATGTATATCCGTCCTCCATTTATTACCACAAATACTTTACTGGGGCCTACAGCTTGCTTGCTTTCATGTAGGTCCCATCATATTTCTCTTAGTTAAATCAGTAATTCATATTGACCACTTATCTTTGTTATTATTATGTATTATTGAAGAAAAAAAATTATACTTTATTTGAAATGTATATGTATATGTATGTTTATGAGAAATATGAAAATAAATGAAATGAAATCAAATCAAATCAACAGCTATGCTGACAAAACCATGTCGCATTTGCTTTACGGCAGCGGATTTTTACTTTACTTTAGGAAGTCAATAGCTTTATAATTATGGCAGTGTAATTTTCATAATAATATCTATAATGTTCTTTCGGTAACTGTGTAAATTTATTATGGGCGTTCCCAACTCAAGCTACGCTTTCCGGGTTTGCTTCCTTCCGTATCTGAATTAATTACTGTATACTCTATGTTGAAATAATTGTTACATATATCATGTATATATACATTGTGTTTTATATTGTGCTGTTGAGAAGGAAATAAATGTTAATAAATACAATAATAAATACAAATATGGCTGAACAGCCCATTAAGTATCCTGCTTTTTGTTTCACTTTCAAACAGTACCTGGAAGAAACAGGAGATAAGAACATGGTCTGTATTCTTGACAATGGCAAAGGCATGACCACCAGGGAACTCAACAACTGGGCCATCTTTCGACTCTCTAAATTCAATCGCAAGAGACAGAGACTAGAACAAGGGAACAATAGGTAACATCACTTTATTTAAAACAAAATGATTCACAAGGAAAACCAAATATGTATAGAGTAGTCATCTTAAAACTGCATTTAGCTGTATGAAACCAAGTCAAGGATCTTTGCACAAAGCCCCTGACATAGACCTTAAAGTTAGATGTCTACTGGGTGTATATCCACCTGAATTTTGAAGTCCTTTAAACGGTAAATCCATGATGCCGTCTCAGGCGGTAGATTCAGTGTCAGACCAATTTAGTAGCACTGAAAAAGAAACTGAATAGGATGAAAAGACAAAACAATATAAACAGTTTAGAACATTGTAATATCAGTTGCCAGAAAGGGGAAGAGATTATAAACTTGGGCAATGATTTAGTTCTTCATTAATTGCGTTTAAAAGACCATCCAAGTAAGAGCAATTGCATGATAATAACATACACTTCTATGGTATACTAACACAGCAGATGACTATGAATTCATGAACTTTTAAGCCCCCATCACACCAAACTAGTTCTCACTACGTTTTGGTACCGTCCTATAAAATAGTAAAACGGGTTATGGTGGGAGTAGAATGTGTAAATAATGTCTATTATACGACCCTTGTTCGTTCATAAACAGTCCTCAATACGTCCATCTTGTCTGTACCCCGTCCACAGTAAGTTCATATCAAGTTTAGATCGGGTAAATTTGCCATGTCCAGGCAGTTCAAGCCAGTCCGTAGTCAGATTATACCCATTATTAACTAGTTCTACCTCGTTCCCAATACGACCAAACCCATTCTAACAAGTCCAGAGACAGTTCAGCTTGTCCTCATCTCGTTTTTAGTGCGTTCGAACGAGCTCCTAGAGCGTGTGGAATTACATCCTGGCTCATGGGTTATAAAACCCCAGTGCGTTCGTGCTATTCCTTATTCCCGTTCATCTTCAACGATTAAAGCTGAGCTAATCAAGACATTCAATTGAAGCCCCCATCACAAAAACTAGTTCTCACTACGTTTTGTAAAATATTGCCAAACGTGCTCAAACTGTGTGCGAACGAAGTGAACGTAGAAGAAACTGTTTACGATCTGTTTAATAACTTTATGAACGGGCTAGGATTGGCTTGGACGGGAAGGGTGCTCTGAAACTTTGAGCCTGTTCAAAATTATCCCCGTCCTGCAATTAGACGGACTGACAACGTACTTAAAACGAGATGGACGTGCTACGAACGGAATTGCCGTACTTCGGTTCTACTAGGAACGTGTAACGAAAGTGTTACGAACTAGTTAGAATGCTTTGGACGTATTGGGAACGAGGTAGAACTAGTTAAAAAGTCTGATCACGGACGGGCTTGGACTACCTGGAAATGGCAAATTAACCCGATCTGAACTTTATATAAACTGACTGTGGACGGGGTACAGACGATATGGACGTCTTGAGTACTGTTTATAAACGATCTGGGATCGTATTATAGACATTATTTACACATTCTACCCCAACCATTACCCGTTTTTAACGAATTTCTAGGACAGTTCCGGAACGTAGTGAGAACTAGTTTGATGTGATGGGGGCTTAGCTGCTGCTAATTGATGTTTTACCATAGTACGTTGTAACACTTTCTAGTAGGTTCGGAGTAGGGCGATCCCGTTCATAGTACAGCAATCATTCCGTTTGTAGTACGTCCTCCTCGTTTTAAGTACGTTGTCACTCCGTGTAATTGCAGGACGGGGACAATTTTGAGCAGGCTCAAAGTTCTAGAGCACTCTCCCGTATAGCCAGTCCGAGCCCGTCCATGAAGTTCTTAAACAGATCGTAAACAGTTGCTACTACATTCAACTTCGTTCACAGTTTCAGCCCGCTTGGCAACATTTTCCAGAATGTATTGAGAACTAGTTCGGTGTGTTGGGGGCTTACAAAAACAAAAATTAGGTGTTGTAAACTAAATTTTTCATTCTTTTTTTTTGGATCAACTATTGTTCTGACAGTGATGGAGACAGAGACATTCCCAAATCGTTAAACAGTGACATCTCATTCTTTGGAGTAGGAGGAAAGCAAGCAGTGTTTTTCATTGGTGATTCAGCCAGGGTGAGTTATAAACTTTTTGCCTGTATCCTTGGACATTGCCTAATAACACTTCGATTGCTTTCTTCGCATCTCTGCACGGTCGGTTGTTTGCCACAAGTGCAATTTCGCCCACCACAGTAGGCACCCATCGACAGAATAATTGCTTTGTGTAACATAATGGCCGTGCAAGATTACCCATTTCTAGTCATCATTAACTTCATGCCAACTTCTGTATCACTTTTACAGATGAATCTTACTATTGAATAAGCTAAATACTCTTGAACCCTTGATAAATCTTTCCCATGATGAATACACTCATGGTACAGAGAGATTACTTGTTTGGCGTATAAAGAGTTAATCGGCAGAAGTTAAATGTGGTGCAAGATAATAGTGTAATGTAACGGGTCTTTCATTGTAGAAGTTATTTCAAAACGAGTGAGGTGAGTTACAATTTACTATCTATCAGATGTCATGCGATCTTCTAAAGATGTTCTAGATCAACTTTGTAAGCTTTTGGTAAGAGTTCCATGAACACAATGAGTCTATAGAATACTAAAACTCTGCATGATTGACTGATAAATAAGATCAAGATCATTAAGTCATCATTAATTTTATTTATCCTTTGTCCTCTACCATTCAATATACAAATACAAACTGGCTTGAAGAATCAATCATGAACGTATTTATTTAGTATATTGATTTTTCGAAAAGTTTTCTATGTCATAATCTGTGGCAGTATAAGGATGTAACAGGCAGATTAACCCGTTCTTTGCAATGTATTTCATACCCAGTGCATAGTGTTAGACTCGGTGCAAATTGCCCATGTTATACATGTTTTCTGACAGATGATCAGTAAACCCAAAGGTTCTAGGGATGTTCATGAGATGACGGTATCAAAGGAAGAGTTTGAAAGGAGAGAGAAGAACAAAGAAGACATCTACGGAGGCATCATCCAAAACAGACAGGTGGGTGTTTAATTACACAATATAACGCTCGTTTCTTTCATTATTAACATGCCTCTTCGCTCTTCGCGAGGACAGTTATCTATCGATATACAGTGCGTATAAAAACTCTGGTAGCCCTTAGATAAACGTCATTACCAATATGACTTAGAAAGCGATTTCATGATGAAGAGTAACTTATTTCTGTCTAATGATAAACCATTCATAATATTTCTGCCACGGGTGAATGAGCAGCAGGGTCTTTAAAAAGACTATTTAAGACTGTTCAGATGAGAGAAAATGGTGATAAGGTATTAACCTCAATGCTTGACGAAAATTAAATATACTACTGAAAGTTTGTGTAGAAACGAACCATTATTAATGATAATAATTTGGAAAACTGATCTGATCGATTCCTTAATTCTCCCAACTATATTATTATGATTAAATGACATTTTAGGTGAATGTAAATCGTCACAAAGTAATTAATTTGCTCTTTAAACCATTCCAAACATTTTATTGTTGAAAGATTTGTAAAAGCCTGTTTTATATTTTATTTTCATGGGAAAACGGTTGGGAAAATTCAAAAATTGGTTGGGAGAATTTACTGTTAGAAGATGTTGCACAGTAGCGCCCTCAATGAAAACAATAAATATCTTTGTGGTTTGATAATTTTTTCAGGATTGTTTGCATGTTAGAGGGTTGGTACAGTAGAAGCAATTATAATAAGTAACATTTCTTACACAAATCACACATTTTTTCATCTACCTTCAACAATGTTACCGGTTCACTTTAAAAAGTATTGTCAAATTGGCCTTGTTCCAAGTTTGAGCTTAAGGAACCAATGTGGGTCAGGCCATATGTATATGCTTCTTCGGTATTAAATTATTTTTAAAGTTGAATTATGCCACGTGATTCAATGTTTTGAATGATGCAATGGATCTATAGGCTTTCATAGAACCTTGTTACGATCCACAGGATAAACTTCGACTATTTTAAAAGCCTACTAAATTCTTGTCTCATGATATCTACGTTCTTTCTGCTCACTTGTCCACTGTACAATTTCACACGCATAAGGTTACTAAAACCAAGTGCAAGAAAGATCACATATAATGTTAAATATCAAACTGACAGCAGAATTTCATTAAAAAAATCTATTTTGTATCACTCAATGAGTAGGTTATTTTGAACAAGGGATGCGAATGAACTCTAGATTGCAATCATCATAACGGAGAGAACGTCTTGAATTTTGCTTGTTAATAAACATTTCGTTGAGTATGAGATGATATTCACACCTTTCTTTTCAACTTAATTGCCTAATAGTCAATATAAATAAATGAGCAATTGTGCTTTTTTTTAATGAAATGAAATACATAATGGCTTTTGACCCACATTCGTTACTTAGGCCCAAACTTGGTACAAGAGGATTTTGACAATATTTTTTGAAAGGCCTGTTGTTAAGTCATGCGTGGCAGCACAATTATGAAAATGGTATCATAGACAGGGTATAATTTTTTATGTACAAACGAATATTCAAGGTCAACTTTTAACTAGAAGCTACCAAAGTTGGGTACACTTTTTTGGTTACGCAATGTTTATGAAGTATCAACAGAAGATGAGAGGTGTTGTGGTCGAGTGGATACGTCACCGGACTGTCGATCACAAGGTCCGCGGTTCGAGTCTCGCCGCCGCACTAATGTCCTTTGGCAAGACATTGATCTACATTTGCCACACTCCACCCAGGTGAAGTGAATGAATACCTGGTAGGAATTTATTCCTTGAAACGCAGCGCGCGTAACAGTTGCACTGCTAAAGCCAGGGTAATTATGCTTCATTATTGTAGAGCGCTTAGAAACTTCTGACAAAGTAAGTGTTAGGCGCTATATAAGCAAGGATAATTATTATTATTATCATGAGATATGAGATAAAGCAGTGGTACTAATTTCAGTAACGTTTCTTTTCTCTTTCTTTTTTGATTTAATTCACACTTAAAGCCTGGCGAGGGCAGCCACGTATCACCAGGAAATGAGAACCTGCAAAAACTGATCGAAGAAGAAAAAGGCCAGGAGAACTTCACCCACGTTGTCATCACCAGTATCAAGTCACAACACATCAAGTTCATCAAAGCAGACTTCAACAGATGGAGCAGACAGCTGGCGTAAGTCTCTCACGTATTGTGTTCTTGATTCCAATGTCGGTACCAACCCCAAATTTCATTTTAAAACCCCAGCCCCTCCCGCCATTCCCTTCAATTCTTTGTTAAAGTGTTAAGAGGGAGTGAGTGTTTCCAAACAGACATTGGAAATTTTATAAACCTGGGATTAGATGTCTGTGAAAAATTACTTTGGAGCCCTTTTGTACATTTTCTATTTACACGTAAAAGGGTACAGAACACTATGTTTTAGTAAAGAAATTCCAGCTATAGGTTGTGGTATAAAATCGTGGCTAAGTAAAGGTTCATATAAGGGGCATTTGACTCCATTTCATATAGCTCTTTAATATGTCTTCGGTATGTCTTCCCTGATTGTCATTACAGACACATCTACCACTACTACATCCATGGACCACAAGGCAACCAGTCCCACCTATCCAACTCCATGTACCGTACGCCAAGCCCCTACGAGAACCTTAACATCAGCATTACAATGTACAAGAAGGGCCAACTGCATCAGCAGCTCAACCTCAGAGACATTAATGACGACCTCCAATCCAACTTCATCAGGTCTGCCAAGGACACGTTTGATTTCCGTGTTTTGGTAGAAGGAACTGGATTGGTAGAGGGCGTGCTTCGATATCATCCATTCCTCTTCGACAAGGAGTCATATCCAGTTGACGATGGCTCAGGTGGGGGACAGTTTTTAATATTTTGTTGGTTTGTGATGTTCAATTTGACTCAATGATTTTTAAAGGAATTGGAGATCTAAGAAAAAAAAACTTTTCAAAGAGTTATAAAAAAACCGGATTATTATTATTATCATAACATTTCAACTTAACACTGAAAACGACTCCAATTTGTGTTTGTTGACATTTGCATTGTCCTTGGCATCATTTTTATAAAGCACATGTTAAATTCTGGTATACTAGTGAGAAGGAGAGAGAGAGAAAGAAAGAAAGAGAGAGAGAAAGAGAAAGAGAGAGAGAGAGAGAAAGAGAGAGAGAAAGAGGAGGGGAGAGAGAGAAAGAAAGAAAAAACATTTTCAATCATTGGTCGAAATAGTGATTTCTGGAAAGTTATCAGATTACTATATCAAAGCTGGACATTGACTTCTATATGATATTTTTATGCTTTATTTATGCAGTACCTGAGGAAGTCGATGACGAAAGTGATTACAACAAAGATAGACCTGCGAGGGGTAGCAAAGCCATATTTGAGTGCTACTGGAATGGAAGGCTTATTCCCTATACTCTGGTCCAAGAGTGAGTAGTAGTTTCAAGTTTCAAGTTTATTTATTTATTTCCACGTATCTCAAACAATCTTAATACAATACGGTAAGTGCAAAACAAAATAAAATTGAAAACACAACTTTAAATGTCACAGATTATAACATCTTAATAACTATTACACAATACAGCCTGTATCATCAAGTGATAAAAGAGAACAAAAATATTCTTGTTTGTTTCAAGCTGAAGAGAGAGTGTGGGGGTAGGGCATAAGAGAATCGAAGTGTGCAATACTATATGCCCCCTTAAATAACTTAGATACAAATATACAAGAAAATGTGACGTAAAAAGAAAGAGAGGAGGAAAGAGTGAGATGAAGATAATGTGCTGTTAGAAAAAAAGGGGGTCTAACTAAGATTATAGTTGGAAAAAGAGATAGGAGAAAAAAATGGAGAGGGTACTAAGAGAGAAGAATAGTAAAGAAGGGAAAGAGAGAGCAGCAGAAACTATTACTTCAATGAAAACCATTTCGGGTTAAATAAGCTACATCATATTATGTGAATGTCACAAAAAATACTGAAGCAACATAAAAATAGCATTTTCAACGTTAGGTCACTTGATATTGTAATAAAAGAAACTTTTTCAAGTGAAGTCTATATGAATACAATGTAGAAGCATTTTTCAGAGTAGGTTCAGGTGAATTAAAATGTTAAGGTCCATTATGCATAAAGGTATCTATTGCCGATACTGTTCTTACAAGCGGTAAATGAAAGAGGTTTGACTGTGTTGTAGGACATGTATGATATCGTTCAATTTTGGAAAACATAGTATAGAGATATCGACTGCTTTGAGAGGTCTGGCTGTTTAAAGTGGAGGCGCGATAGCTCAGTCGGTAGAGCAGTGGTCTCGTAATCCGGTGACCCGGGATCGAAACCAAGTCGATGCGCTAGTGCCTTTTTGGTAAGGCATTAATACTCATTACCAGGTCCCTCGGAGAGGACCTAAAGCCATCGACCGTCCGGTTTCTTACTTACAAGCATTTATGCTTTCTTAGCAGTCAGGTAAAATAACCACCACCACAAAAGAGAACACGCGCACATCTTGCCATGACCCAGAGGCGCGCCTGGGTGGGCGGCGCCCCGAGGGGTCATGGCAAGATGTGCAATTAGTTCTCGAGAGCCTATATATCAGCCAGACCTGGAATATTAAAGCAGTCGATATCTCTTTTATATGCCGAACTGAAACAAAATTCTACCAAGAATTCTTACCTTATCCTTTTATTGAGTAAACATTGGTTAAAACATCACGGAAAATCTGACGAAACTCTCTGTTTATTTTCACTTGAGAAATGACTGAAACTTCAATCATTTTGGGTATTGCAGACAAAAAGCACTGTATGGTATCCGCGCCCTCAAAAATATTTGTTTAACACGTAAACCAATGGGGATCTGAGCACAATTGATTTATGCGGCATGTTACCCGGGACAACGGATATCACTCATGAACTATTGACTATGTGTTCGTCGTTTTGCGGGAATATCCAAAATCACGACTGCAATTCTGACCAATCAGATGGCTAGATTTCTAAAGAGAGGTATATAATACTAAATATTCGTGGTAATTCTTTTGTATCAAGTTGAAACATAAATTGACCAAGTTGAAGTAAATATGAATAAAAAAAACCTTCAGAATATTATTTTCATTAACAAATTTGTCGCTATGAGCAATCCAGCGTTGTTTATAATTCAAAGTGCCCTTTTTTGGCAATAAAAGAATGCAATAATTCCTGACTTCATATAAGGGAGTACAAGTGTATAGAGTAAAGCATTTTCAGAACGTTCGATGGAAATAATATACCATTTTATTGATTATTCCAATATTTCTAGAGAAATCAATTTACTCAAATTGTAAATATGAAAAATAAACAGTTGCAAGTCTAATTTGAATGTTTGTGGGAGTCATTTTCTTTTGAGTGTTAATTTGTTAAAGAAAAGCACTTGAGGCACATTTCCAGATAACATTTTATTTTATTTGAAAACATTTTGTTAAAGTTTTCCCCTTGAACTGATCCATTGTGTTTTGTCCATCAGATTTGACTGGTGTGCCGTGCCAAAGAAACTGGTCGACATTCCTGTCGAGTGCTACAACAGGGTATCTGGTACCCTCTTTGCTAACAGGAAGTTTGAGGTCAGCACGAACAAACTTACTTTTATTGACCTTGAGATGAAGCTGAAGGATAGATCGAACGCAGTCTTTGAGAGAGTTGTTGGGGGTAAGGTAAGAAACAATTAAAAAAAAAAAAATATGTTTCTTATCTAGAGACTGCATGCTCAAATATATGAACCTAATTGGTTGTACTGCCTACGTTCAAAATGTAAAAAGTCGTAATTTCAATACATTGTGCTTCCAAGGAATGTCCAGTATCCATGGGGTAGAAAACAAAGAGGATTTCAGCTGTTTCAATTATTCAGATTGGAAAATTAATGTTTTGTTTCCTAGTCATATTTTTTTAAAGTGATTATTGAGGAGAATGTTTCTATGTTTAGGGTCATATCATTCCAAAATTTATTCAATCGTATTACAAGCCTAAATTTGAGGAACTTACTCCAGAATCCAACAGTATCTTTTACATGTTTTAAAAGAAAATTGGTATAATTTTTGGCCTTTATAATTGTATAATGAAACCAAGAAAAACACTTTCTCAGATAACTTATGACGTCACTCAATACATGAGAAATGATGATAGACAAGGGACATTGAAAGCTCAGCATTGAGTTATGCCTTACATGAGGATCCGTGGTTTGAGTCCTGGCGTGGGACCCATTGTAACATGGAGAAGATAAATCAAGGTCAAAATGATATTATAATAATGTATGAATAATAGTGGTAACATCTTTGTCTCGTTTTCAGTCTCTCAGAGTGAATATTGACGAAGCGTTCTACGGTTGGCTGGACCACTGTCACGAGACCCATGACAAACAGGTCTGGTTCCGAGACTACGTGGGTAACATCACGAGGCAAGGTCTACCCAAGACAAAACAAGGACCCTGGGCTGTGTTTAAGACTGTGGTATGGGATGGGAAGGTGTATACCACAGGTCAACAGGTATGATATCACAAGTGATATTGTGATGAAGAGAACACTATGAATGAAAAAGTGGACACTATCCATCTTTTGAACTGATGGATAATGATTATTTTCTATACATTGCGTCCTAGGAAAACGAAACCGAGAATTATCGATGTTTTATCATTACTTAATCACAATTATAATCAATAAATGTCACATATTTGTAAAGCTTAAATCCTCCTATTTAATTTAATGCAACTAATATGGTGCATATTTCACACATGAGTGATTCAAAACAATTTGAAGAAAGGGTACCAAAAATCATTTGGCGGACGGTATCTGAAATTCAAAGAGAAAATCACATTTCTAGAAAGTTCATTTTCTGCCTCTTGATATGACACCTCAATCAGGAAAAAAAGGTTGTTACCGTCAGTGAAAATGATGCAACTGTTGTGGAAGAAAAATTAACTGTTGCATTAAACAAAGTCATGGCATGGATTAAGGAAAATCGTCTTGTTCTTAACACTGAAAAAACTTGTGTCATGTTAATAGGCTCTCCTGCTAATCTCAAGAAAATTGAATCTTTCACCATTTCATTAAACGGCAATTTGATCAAAAGAGTTCAATTCACCAAATGCTTAGGACTTTTGATAGATGAAGAATTGAAATGGTCTAAACAAATCGAAAACGTAAGTAAACTTGCCCAGAAAAACATTAGCATGATAAAGAGAGCAAAGAGTTTTTTGCCTCAAAAATCCTTAAAGTTACTTTATAACAGTCTAGTGTTGCCACGATTAGATTACTGCTCTGTTGTATGGTCGAACAGATTTCAATCTCATACAACTAAGCTGCAAAAAATTCAAAAGAGGGCCGCAAGAATAATATTGAACAAGACATATGACACACCGTCCGCTGATTTGTTCACAAGTCTGAAATGGATGACACTAGACAAGCGGTTTGAGTTAAGTCGCGTTATGATGATATATAAATGCGTTCATAACTTAGCACCTTCTTACCTTCAGGTAGGCTTAATCAATCCTAATGATGTGCATGAGCATCATACAAGGCAAATAGACAGTGGATGTTTACGTGTGCCTAGACTTCACACTGATTGTTATAAGTGTAGCCCAATTGTTTCTTCCATATTTGAATGGAATAAGCTAGATAATTCGTTGAGAACGGCTTCCTCTGTCAATTCATTTAAGAGATTGTTTAAACAAAGTTGTAATTTGTGAATGGCTCAGCCGAACATACACTACGTGCATGTTCTGTAATATTAACATGACTTATTCGCATAACTGCGACTTAATCAATATTTTCCTATTGACATTACTGTTTACTAGGTTAATGATATATGTTTATTTTGCAAACGAGTATTTCTTTTGTAACTGTTCTGTATAAATGTTATGAACGATATAAATATGTTCATTCAGGGCCCCATGGAAGACCACTACTTGTTGGTGAATGGGCTACCCTGTCAAAAGATTAGAAATAAAAAAAATAAATAAAAAAAAGGAATGCTTGCATTTCCATAATTTTAATGAATGGATACGTTTTCCTGCCGTAGCAACAAATAGAGTTGACAATAGACTTAATTCCGTTTCGTTAACGATCAGCCATAGCCGAAAGACTCCATGTATGGCTGATTTTGCACTGTATAAATGAGATGAGAAGTAAAAAAAAAAAAAAAAAAAACATAGCCATACAAATTTAATTGTTTTCTCAAAAAAGGAGTGAGATAAGAAGTTAGAGAAAAGCCAGTGGGAAGGGGGTGGATGGAAGTCACTACAAGAATTTTACATAATCACAGTTTCTTATGAGGAGTAACGTAACATGAAAAGATAAACATATATATATATATATATAGAAAGAGAAGAAAATCAAGAGAAAGAGATTTGTTCATGTCAGAAATATTCCGTTTACGATGTAAGATGTCATATGGGATAAAAGTGAGTTCATGAGTAATATGTGTTATTCATTCATTTACTTTATAATTTTCATTGAACATGAATGTACATAGTAGGTTATATACCAATAATATGTATAACAAAGTAATAATTTGGTGCCAGACAATACCTTACTCGATATATTCTTATCTTATTCCTTGTTAGGTTCGAATCTTGCGGACAAATCCAGTTGTTTATGGGTCAGTAAAACGGTTCTTGTTGTTCGGAGACTTTGGGAATGAGATTCAGAATAGGTCGCTGTTTGCAACGGGAGGAGAGTTCGAAATTGAGCAGGTATGACAAACTCAGTTACATCATTTATACATTTTCTCTGCATTCATCGTGCCATAACTAAAGCTATGGTCATAAATCAGAGCAGCGACCGACCGATCAGTAGCATGCTCGGTCGCTGCTGGAATTTAGGCATCGCCTAGCGATTAGGTCGGTGCCCGGGCGGCGACTGCCCAGGCACCGAGCGTATTTTGGGCGGCGAGTGAAAAGTGAGCAGGCGCCGCCCAAATTTTAACTCCGCGCTAAAACTTCAGCGGCGACCGAGCGATGCCCTAAAAACGAGCGGTGCCTTGGCGGCCGCCGCTCGGTGGTCGGACAGCTGCCGGGCAGAATTGGTTAAAAACTCGCCGCTCGGCCGCCGAGCAGGCTACTTTTGGGTAATGTGACCATAGCATTAGGGAACAAAATAATTGGTCTACTAAAGATTGGCATCTGTGCTGCAGGAATGTTCGGTACGATATGATTTTGATGTAACCTTCAATTTTCCATAGACCTCAACTTGACTCATGTGAGGCTTAGTATTTGGTGGGTCAATTTAAGATTATTTGTAGTCAGTCGTTAGATAACCAATACCTCAATATCTGTGAGATGCATTTAAGCAGCACTAAATGCGCATAGTGATCTAAATCTGCCCTAACGGGTTACTTCTGCAGTAAGTACATTGGCATTAAATGTAGACAGGTCAGCAAACCGTGTAACTATTCAAAACCATTGGTGACATTGGACCAGTTGATGTTATCTGCTGCGTAAATCTATCTAGATCCAAATGTTAAACAGTGCCAAAATGATCAGATACAACTTTGCCCTTATTTTCGAAAGCATTCAAAGCTAAGCCTGGTACTATTTTGCTGATTGATGGGAAGTCAAGTGTCAACCTCTCAATTTTTTTATAAATTACTATAACTATTTAACAAAATACAGGATCATTTCTTTCTTCAGGAAATGATAGAGAGAAATCAATTTCATAAAGAAAAGTTTTTGTTATACTTTATTTTAGTTACAGCATGATGGTGAGTTGTACAGGACGGAGAAGTTGCTGTTTTGCACTCTATAATCAGCAAACTAACTCTCAAGCACTAAACAATTGAGGATAAGGACCTTTGCTTCTTTGAACTTATTTTCATTTCTCCTCTCTACTTGGTAGGAGCCTAGATTGTTGTACAACGAGACAAAGAGCTACCATCTCAGGAGGCTGGACAGGTTAGCTGATGAGGGCCAGATAAAGAAGGCCATCGATGATGAAGAAGGAAAGTAAGTACTAATGACTTGATGAGGACCATTCACGTTTCCATCTTTCTATTTGCTTAATGTATTTCAAGGTATTCTCTATGTTTATTCAGTTATAATGGAGATAAAATATTTCTCTTCTCTTGCACAAATAATTTAAGTCTTTCATTTAACTTCTTAGTCGGATTTAAATACAAAAACAAATAACCTAACCCCAAAAACATTGCAACAAAAGGTTTTTCAACGGTCTACGTAAGATAGTGTTTGACATCAGAAACAACATAATAAAATTCTAAGAAAATCGGACACCCGGAAAGAGGTGATTCTCAAAATGACGTCCAAGATGACCACCAATACGTTAAAGGGATACTTAACTTCTGTTTTCAGACCTTCAAAGTGCATAGTTATTGCTCTTATTCTTATCTATGACATTTCTAGTGCCCTTTGAGGACCTACAATTGCTATGAAGGTAATTTTAGACCCCAAAATGTGTGAAATTTAGCCCATATAGCTCAGTTTAGTCTCATTTGACAACGCCCCCTATGTCAGCAGCCTAACATGTTAGCCTATGGACTTTTACCCCAAAATCGTTAAAAATTCTTTTTTTTTTGTTTAAACGAAAAGCACATCCACCTCGACGTACGTTATTACTAGCTCTTTCATTGGAACCCTCATGTCTCATTGACTTTTGAAAGTTCACCCACCGTAATTTCATCAAAATAGGTCGCAAGCTCGCCATTGCCTAAATAACACATGTACAACAGGTCGAACTTTGGACTCAATTAACCACGCGATTGTAAGGTTATAAGTCAAACACACGAAGGATAAGATGCATGAATTATCATAGATCAGTTCTGATTTGTTCATTGTGTCCATTTCATCCAACCCCCACCGTAATTTTTCCATTTAGTAGAGGCAAGCATTTTGCCGACGGGGGGGGGGGGGGGGGGGCTGGGTAGTAGTATCTTGGTTTGTATAATTTCATTTTTCTTTGTATATTTATGTTCTTGTTTTTGATTTTTTGTTTTTTTAATATTTCATATGTTATGATAATATGTGTTATCTTATAATTGTACATGTAATTTTTATATTGCGCACGGACCAACAGAAGAACAGCCTTTGGCTGAAGTTGGTGCCGTGCAAAAATAAAATAAACTGAACTGAACTGAACTGATATTCTACTGCGCTGCAATAGCTCGTAAATGCTGTGCTATACATACTTTATGAACAAGTGAGTTTTCAGTTTTGATTTAAAATTATCTAGTGATGGGGCTTTCCTTATTTCTAGTGATAATTTATTCCATAATCTAGGGGCAGCACAAAGAAATGTCCGGTCCCCGAGGGTTACTTTGGTTTTACATGGGGGTATTTGCAACATAATGTGTCTTGTGTACTACGAAGGTTACGACCATGAGTTTGAGACTTGATATGCAAGAATTTAGTAACGAAACTAGGAGTTTGACCATTTAGAGCTTTGTAGACTATCATTAATATTTTAAATGTAATTCCAAATTCTCATCCAAAAAATGGAATATAGGTGTTTAACAGGTGTTAAATATGACCAGATGCTAAATATTTATCCCTTTCTTTGCTATTCTATTTAAGGATCAGTATAATGCTATGTTCTTTCATTGTTCTCAAAATCGAGGGTATACTTAATATGGTTATCTCCATCTCGTTTGAAAGAAAAAAAGTCTGGTTATGGAGATGTTTATGATGATGAAAATGTAAATGTACTACACGAGTTTGTTTTTAACAGAATGGGATCCATGATGGTAAATTGACCAGTGACCCAAACAGAAGATCTACTAGGACCCAAAACTTCTTCTTCTAGTCACCTATTTAGGAAAACGAAAGCCATCTTGAATGCTAACATAATTTACCAAAGTTATAAATTGCATTTATATATATATATATATATATATATACTAAACTCACATTTTCAAGAAATAACGTAAGACATTTGTTATGTGATTATATGGAAACTTTTTTTGGAGATTTTAGGGATTATACTTTTATTTTTGACGCCATCTTGGATTTGAATGATTCTTGTCTGCTGCGAGACAACGAAACTTGTATCTGCCCCCAAAGGGGGGATATACACCAATGACATATACTGCGGCTGATATAATGATTCGATACTGTTTTCAAATGCCGCAGGCCATCTTGGACGGCAAAGTGGTGGAAAATGTAAATCACTTTTCATCTAAGTTACCATGTCCTATGTTTTGTATTCATACAGTGCCAGCAACCAAATTAGTGAGCACAGTAGCAACGATATCACAAAACTTTTCTGCATAAAGCTACAAGATTTTTTTGTATAGGTCTGTCAATGAAAATCCATACCTGTATGTACCGGTTATTTTGGACACCTTCATGGAATTTTCATCACCCCAAAAACTGGTATCGAGGCCGAAATTACACTTCTTAGATAGATTTATCACAATAATCGATTTATGGCTACTTTTAGTTTCGATTTTTGGATTACATAATGGTGGCCCTCATAAGGCTACTCTAAACTTTAATGAACATCCTGACCTCTACAACCCATTTTAATCTTGCTAATCATAGCTTGAGGCCATATAGTGGACGACATCTTGGATTTCTCGGTTTCCTGGTGGCCATAACCCATTAAAAGTAGTACGAATGGAGTCTACAACCCTCTAAACCTAGATTAAGACACCAACATTATAGCCCTAAGATGGATATATCATGATGTATGCCCAATTTAAGGTATTGGCGGCCATCTTGGACGCCATTTGGAAAATCACCACTTTTCGGGGGCCGGTTTTCTTACATTTTCAGTATGTTGTTTCTGATATCACACACTACCGGAAACCATTGAAAAACCTTAGTTTCTGTTAACCTGATTTTATTTTCTTTCAGCAAGATTTTGTACAGCACTTCAAAGCAGCAATACAGTAAACAAATGTTACAGTAAACTGTGGGCACTAACATAGACAGAAAAGTAGAGATTATGAAAGCGTATTCTTAAGCGAGTCTGTCATAGGAATTGAAAAAAACATTTTGTGTGCTCTTCTCCTTACCAGACTTCCAGAGGTTCTTGTCATATCTTGGCCTAAGGCAAATGAGGTCCATGCAGGAGAGAAACGACCAGCTGGGAAACTCATAGGTCAGTGCATAATGTCATGGCATTGCCAGAGACTGCCAAGAATTGCAAGATGTATTTTGTGCAAAATCACTTAATGGTGGACAAAAATGATGATAACAGTATTCCATTCTTAATTGGTGCTGACATGCACGTTTTTTCTTTCAATGATGCATGACAAGTTATATAGAGAGGAAATAATCAAATTTCTCAGGACTTAAACATTTAAAGCAGGATACGAAGATTTAGGACATTTAGAACAGTTTTTCTAAATTTTCTTTAAAATGTGCTTTTATAGAATTAATACATTCTTCAGGGGATGGCCTTGAAATCATGGAATTAACACATATGTTTTACGGGGATGTTTTCAGAACCATACCCAGTTACAGGAACGAGGTTCATAAGAGGCTCAACAATAAAAATCAGCCATGGCTTTATCAGTCTTTGGTCAGTTTGGAGTTGTTACTTGGTTTGGCCGTGAGACTGGGATATAAGACTCCTGGAAACTGGCCCCTGGTTCGTTTGTACCTTTCATACCATATTGCCCATTTTGTTTGTGTACAGGTGAAATCAAAGCTGAGATCCACAACAGGAAAGGTCAGTCCATGTCAAGGCTTCCTGGAGTTCAGCATAACTCTAAGAAACTCATGGTGGAGTTGAAGATCATTTGGCATTGTGAGTAAACACAATCAAAAATGCAATCGACATCCAATAAATTACCTTTATTCTACATATGATTGCAGGGCCCTTAGTGAGAACAATATCAATACACTCTACATCTCCTGCCATCACCGAGTTTATACCTAAGGTTACAAATGCCTGTGATAATAAAGAAACAATTATTAGCCTGTTTTCAGATCTTAGCAAAGCAATTGATTATCTTGATCACACAGTGTTATTAAACAAATTGGAATCTTATGGTTATAGAGAAATTACATTGAAGGTCTAAAAACTTTGTTAGTAATCGGAAAATATATTTACTGGGTGTAAGCCACAAATATGTTTAAATAATTAAAATTTCTCCCAGGAAGCATTACATTTATTAAAACAATTGTTGTACTCGAAAAATATGAGTCACAGACAATGGAAGTAAGAAGTGGAGTGCCCCAAGGCTCAATTATAGGACCATTATGATTTCTTTTATATGTAAATGATATTTGCAATGTTTCAAAAGTGCTAGAACTGATTTTAATTGCAGATGTGGTTTTGTCTCATCAAGATATTGTATTCCTTCAAGATATGGTAAATGCAGAATTTGATAAACTGGTTGAGTGGTTATATATATATTTAAATTTGCAATCAATATTTCTTTTTAAAAAATGCACCCCCAAAATCAATTGTTACTCAAATAAAAGTTAAAGGTGAGTTCTGGTAATGCGATTGCATTGTGAAAGAAAAGGTATGAAATGGATAAAAAAAATGTTGATCATGTAGCATGTAAGTATTGGTGTGCACTGCAAGCTTCTGGAGTTATCAAAATCATAATAAATTTGGCCCAGTCTTGGTAAAGTAACAAGCACATGTATATGGGACTACACAAATGGTGTCGGGGCTACCTACCTTGATTTCCTTATCTTTCTATGCTCATTACTCAGCCATTATACATTTTCTTCCAAAATTGTTTGGCACATGACATTTATTTGTAATCTTGAAAATTCAGTGTAAGTTTCGTTGATTCTATGACAATTTATTTTCATTTTTTTTACCAGAACTTAAGTTTATCTTTAAGGAATCTTTTATTGTACAAGTCAAACATTTAATATTTTTAGGAGTCACAATTGGTGATAATTAGATTGGAAAGAACACACTGTAGTAATCTGCAATATATGAGCTGAACATGTTGGTGTATTTTATAAATTGATTTTTTTCCCTAAAGAAATATTGATGATTTTATATAACATATTGATATCGCACCACTTGTATGGACAATTATAATAATTACATCGCACAGCCAATACCTTGTCCCTCTTTTTTTACAACCTTAAACTTTTAAGAGTATGCGATATCTATATATATCTATGTGCAATTTGTATGTATTTATGCTTTAAATTTGTTTTACCACATACTACTTTTAAACTATTTTGAACTCAATACAAATATTCATGGCTGCCAGACCAGGTATTTAAATAATTGTCATATTCCAGGGGTAAGGACATTAGTTTCCCAAAATACAATTTTCTTAAGGGGCCCAAACATTTGGAATGATATACCTGTAGAAATTAGACTGAGCCCATCGCTGAATAGTTTTAACAGATTATGTAAATTATATTTATAACAACAAAACTCAAAATTGCATTAACCTATAACTTTAATTTTTCATCAGAAAGATCAATAAGTGCGTGTTTGTGTGTATGGGAAAGAGTGCATGTGTGGACATAATGTCCCTTTTTCCCTTTCTATTAAAGAAATAATTATTTAAATAATGTACATAGTTATTTTGATACAAAGCATGGCTTTCCTGCCTTGTCTCCAAATACCGTCAGAAATGTACATAACCCCCTTGTTCTTCTCCACTAAGTGTTATTAGACACGCCGGCCGAGACATCTGGAACTCTCTGCCCATTGAAATAAGAAATAAGTATTGATCCTGTCGTGTGTAATTCTACTGTATTAAAGATAAACTCCAGTTCTGGTAAAAAAAAAAAATAATAATAATTCTCACAGAATCAAACGAAACTTACACTGAATGTTCAAGATTACAAATAAATGACATGTGTTACATAATTTTCGAAGAAAATGTATACTGGCTGAGTAATGAGCATAGAAAGACAAGGAAATCAAGGTAGTAATAGCCCCGACACCATGTGTGTTGTCCCATATAAAGCTCTCTGTGTACAGTGCTTGTTACTTTACCAAGACTCGGTCAAATTTATTATGATTTTGATGACTCCAGAACCTTGCAGCGCACACCAATACTTACATGCTACATGATCAACTGTTTCTGATCCTTTCCACACCTTTTCTTTTACAATGCAATCGCATTACCAGTACTAAAGTTTATCTTTAATGTTCGTGTGTACAGTGACTGTACATTCAACAATGATGTGTAATCGTCCATGACCTAGCATCGTTTATCCATCCATGAATGAACCTGCATTGAATCAGCAGATGAATTAGATTTATTGTATTATTACCAACGCTCCTTCTCTCCCCTTTCCTTTTCTTCTTTGCAAGTCATTTTTTAAAAATTGTTATTGTTGTATCTAAGTTGAGGGCAGCGGGCACGTCAAGCTACTTTGCTTATTTCTGTAGCCCTCCTGCATCAAATGTATGTTAATTATGTATTCAATACATTTGTTTAATTTCTTTTATTATCTGTATAAAATTATATACACTTAAAAAATTGAATCAACCAATATTATGTTTATGAAAATGTATGATGAAAAAAAAGAAAAATGATGTAGACACAAATAAATCAAATCAAATCAAATCAAAGTATAGAATAAATCTTTTGAGGCTCCCCTACGTAAACAAGACTTATTATTATTATCATTAATATCATATTTTGTTTTATCAATTCTCTGAAAGGGATCAGTAAGGTTTTGGTTATTCATTTTGAGTGACAGTGTGCATATATATTACACTTTATGGCAGATTTATTTCTCATATAATAAAAACTGAAAAATTAAAGTTTAATAGCAAAATTATACTAATTTATTAAGAAATTCTTTATCATTGTTTTCATCCTTGCAGCCGATTGCGGTGACAAGGTGATAGTAACCCACATGGGTCAACATCACAAGACATGGGCATACTCCTTCAAACAGATGGGTAAGAAAGTCATATAGATACATACCTGCAGAGGAACAGTGATAACAGATAACAAACATAATGTTAGATAACAAACATAATTCTCATCCTCCAATGAGATGACTGGTTTCACAGTCCAAGTTTATAATTATACAATAACTTTCATACCTCAGTTCCACCACCAAACTGACTCCACACCGACCCACCGATCTTTGGCCTTTCAGGGTGACATAATTTCTGTTTGGCAGGTGTCAGTCTTTAATCGGTCTCATTGATTTGACTGCGATATTACAAAGTTTATATTATACAATAAATTTCATACCTCAGTTCCACCACCAAACTGACTCCACACCGACCCACCGATTTTGGGCCTTTCAGGGTGACATCATTTCTGTTTGGCAGGTGTCAGTCTTTTATCGGTCTCATTGATTTGACTGGGATATTACAAAGAGGGTCACGGGCCCGTTTCATAAAACTTGTTATTAATAGCAAATTACAATAACTGTTATTAGCTACTGAAATTGTGGCATCTCGTTGGCTGAGAGTTAATGTGTCAGAGTATTTTAGCATTTCTTATTGATAACATTAAGTTTTATGAAACAGGACCCAGGTTGAAAATGTTAAGAGTCTATAGGCAAATGGGTTTTTGGGGGGTCTTGACTTAAAATTGTGGGGCTCATATACACAGGGACCTTACATTTTTAACCTTGAACACATATACCCTTCTTTACATTGAAGCAAATGAGTGAAGTTTCAAAGATTAAACTGCACCTCTGTTTTTATTGGATTAGACATTGTCGGGAACATAGGTCCCCATACCCTGATCCTGCAGGCAGTACTCAGGGATGAAGGAGCTACTGACCTCGGAGGACGCCCTCTGCCATGTCACAAGATCAAGTTCACAAGTACAGGTGAGTCTGAAGTTGTTTTTTTGTCCTATTATACTTTCATTTCATGTGCTGACTTCCAGGAAGGGTGTTAAGTCCAAGCTATTCTGTCACATACGTTACCTTCCACATCTAAGATTTTGGTATAACCTATGTCTGTATCAAGCCGATAGCTTTACGAGAGCTTGAATCAGACAACACATCAAATAAAGATGCTTATTTTTGTGTCAATTAGTGTTCACGATTCCATAATATATTTCAATAATACTTGGTTATGTTTTCGGACAAACCTTTCACTTGCCCTTATACAGACCTAGCATAACACCCTTTTCACTTTCAGTAGGTGATTTTTTTTCTTAGATCAAAATTTGAAGCACCCTTAATTCTTGAAAATACTATCCATTTTTCATGAAACTGAAGATGCTGTAAACAATAGAAGGTGCTTCAATTTTGTTCAGTAATATTCTAATCCGGACCTCAAATGTCATATTTTGTGAGGAAAATGTCGGAAATGCATCCAAAGTGACAGAGGATGGAAACAAAGGACAAGTCTGTGGGGGGGGGGGGGGGGAGTAAATATTGGCCTGAAATATCTGGAACTTGCTATTCTATGATATCAAGAATCTTGATGGTAATCATTTTTTGAATTAAATCAGTATTGGTACACAAAACAAATCAAATTATAGTATACTGTATTTGCAACAGGTTAGGCATCAAGTATTTGGATTGATATCAATGCTTGTTCATTGTGCTTTTTTTTTTATAGAGGGCCCATCAAGCAAGTTTAGCATTGATATCCTGGATCCGCCGTTCAGGGTAGACGTCCCATTCAACATCCCTCTTCTGCTACAAGACGAGTTCAATAATCCCACCAAGCCAACGCCTAACCTCAAACCAGTACTCGAAGCGAGGTATACAATTTTAGATAGATTTCTTCGTCAGCATTTAGGATTTAGTATTGTAATTATCTAATCTAATTATTATTCACAATGTCATCACCCGATCTCAAAGCAATGTAAACTGATCAGGTTTGTCTACCAAAATTTTAAAAATCTGAATTGTCATTATGCAATCAAATACGCTGTCAGATTCTCAAACAAAATTTAAGTACATGCGCTAGCCTTATGAGTGAAATCTATTTTGGGGGAATTGCCATTGTTTAATTAACTCTAGTACTTAATAATCAACAGTTCATAATTTAGAGAAACAAGATTAAGATACAGGGGTTAAGAATATGCCACATGAAAATGGTGGAATATAGAATAAAGAGGAAATTGGGAAGATAATAAGGGGAGGAAAAGAAGGAAGGGCAGCATAAAAATTGAAAGAGTAATGAAATGCTAATAGATTCGGACATTACATATGTAGTAGGCAAACAGAGAAGAAATGGAGGCTATTTAAGAATCGTAAGAAGACCTATTTGTAGAAGTTTTAAAAGGAAGTGTAGTATCAGATTATGAAGAAATACGGAGGGAAGCTAAAAGATTTCTCTTTTCTTTCTGTAGTGGCCTTGTCATGAGCTATGAGAAGGTGGAAATCGAGGGCAACTCTCTTATAGTGAAAGAAGTGAAGGCATCCGGGGTCGTTGGATCGGCTCAAGGAAAGAAGTTCAACATGACCGTGACGATACCTGGACTGGAGATCCCCACTCAACAACTAAAGATCAGAATCTTGCCCGGTAAGCAATGGCAGGTCACTTGTTCAGGTGTGAACTTGTTAGGAGAGAGAGTTTAGCTGGCAGACGATAGACTGCTGGTGATGTTTGATTCGGGTGATGACGCAATTAGAATGATAATGATGATGATGTTGAGGATGGTGATGATGATGATGATGATGTTGAGGATGGTGATGATGATGATGATGATGATGCTGGTGATGATGATGATGACGGTGATGCCAATTATGTTGTTCATGATGAGGATGATACAGATGAGAATTATGATGGTACTGAATCCGATGTTCTTTGGCAAGATATTGAACTTAATTTGCTAAATATATAATAAATGAGATGATAATGAAAATAATAGTCACATTTGTATAGCGCTTAAAGTAGCTGTGCGAAGATATATCACAACATGGGCAAATTACACAGGCAAGGAAAGCTTATATCATTGAGAACACGAACCATTTGTTTCAAAGTTGTGCAAAGTTCAATTAAACACTTCAATTGCTTTTTCCAAGACCCTTCTCACAACTTCAAATCATGGCCTGAAATTGAAATATACGGTTACTGAATCATGACTTCACAATTGGGTCAGGGAGCCGGAGCCTGCGCTATCAAGTACACATACATAGATTTTACACGTGCAAGGTTGCATAGTGAAACTGGACTAACAGTCTTTCAAATTCAAGTAATTAAACTTAAAAATTGCCTATTTAATATGCCATACGTATAATGTAAGAATGAGTAATGCATTCCGATTTTTCGAAATATCTTTTTATTTTTTATGTTATTTGTTGAGACGTCATCGTAAAATGCGGATGATTATGAAGATGATATTCTATGCAGTTCAATCTCTGCTATCAATCCTGAGACTGAAAATCATTATTGATTGATTGATTGATACATTTTATTTCAAAATCAGTAAAAAAACACTAAAAAACAGGTTATAAACATTTACAATGTACATATAAAATTAACTTAAATATGTGAAACAGAGTAATTACATTTAAATACAAATAGTTGGAAAATGAAATAGGGTGTATCAGTAAAAGCCTATGTGGCTTGACAAGTTGATACACCCATTACAAAGAATGAAAAACATTTATATAAATTTCAGGTAGCTGACGGTTACATACTAAATTACATTTAACTTAAACATACTGAGACAGTAAATAGCGCTTGTACTTATTTTTAAAAGAATTTCCAAATTGAGTATTACGTATTAAGGGGGATAATATATTCCATATAATGGGACCAACGAACCGAATAGACTTAAAAAGAGAGTGAGATGTGACCTTTGATTGATGGAATAACTAGTTGTGTCTAGTATTATAATTGTGGACATGGACATTTAAAGAAAACATATTCATCAAGTATTCCGGTAATGTATCTAAAAAGTAACGATGCATAAGTATACCCATTTTTAATCTATTAATATCAAAAACGTTCAACGTTTTAAATTTGTAAAAAAATGGTTGTGATGGGGCCAGATAATCTGCATTTCAGCAAATGCGTATTATGCCTTTTTTTTTTAAGACGGTGTAATATAATTAATTTTGAAGGATAAGGATTAGCCCGGACAATAATACAATACATAACATGGGGTAAAATAAAGGCATTATACATCAAAAATAAAATTCGTAAAGGAATAAAGTGTCTCATGTGACAAAGTAAACCAATATTGCGAGAAATTTTCGAACAAGTATAATTAATGTGAGGATCCCATGATAAATGTTCGTCTAACACTATTCCTAAATATGTAATTGTTGAACAATTCTCTATTTTAGTAGTATTAATAAAAATGGATATATCATTATAAACGTCTGACTTATTTTGGGGATTACGGAACATAACATATTTAGTTTTCAGAACATTCAATGATAATTTATTACATAAAAGCCAAGAATGCACAAATTTTAAATGAATATTAATTGCATTAATCAAGAAAGAAAAGTCTGAGTGTGAAGCTACAAGAGTAGTATCGTCTGCAAATAATACATAATGAAAGAAAGGTGTACATTTTATTATATCATTAATATAGATTAAGAACAGAAGGGGGCCGAGTATCGTCAGGATCTAATTGTTCTTTTACCAACTCTGGCACACAAATTATAGGGAGGGCGGAGTACCAGATTTGAAAAATTGTTTGATGCACTATTCCGAATACAATCCCCATATTAAGTTTATAATTTACACTGACATTTTGCCGGAAATTTAATATTTTTTTAATAAATGTGAAACTGGTGCCTGGCCTCCGAAATTCCCCGCAGTAGAAGGGCGGCTCGGAGCATGGAACTTCAAAGCCAAGTGGAATGTTACAAATCCCATCGTTACGCTTTAGCACTCACGAATGTATTTGAATAAATTACAAGAGTTTCCACTCCTTTCTTACACCTCCCTGGTTTGGTCTCCCCTTTGCATTGTTACAAGAATGTTTGAGTTTGGAAAGAGTTTAAATCCTTCGCACAGCTACTTCAATACTAGTTTTCTAAGAAATTTACATTATAATTATTAATACCCGTATTCAATTGCTAATCTGCACCTGATAGTGTACATGTTCCGAGTAGTACTTTACTCTTTGGAGGCGCCTTTAGCATGATATGTGCACTTTATTAAGCTAGAGCTCTCTTATGTCTGTGCTGTTGTTGATGTTGTTGGGAGTGGTCGATAATGATGCTGTTGCTGCTTTTGTTGGCAATGTTATTATTATTTACATTTTAGAGCAATACATTTTTTGTCTACAGGTGAGCCACACAAGATCATTGTGCCAACGTTTGAAGGAACTGGTGACCTCTGCATAGAGAATGGCAAAGAGTTTCCTATATCTGTGGAGATCAGAGACAGAGCAGGGAACTTCTCTGTGCACCAAAATATTGAAGTCCAGTGCGAGGTATGAGATATTATTTATTTCCATCACAATCTAGCAGGTGCGGTTGCACAGGGAGGGGTGACACTCCCCTCTTAAAACAGCTAAGCAAGGAAAGGAAAGTAAAATGAGTAGAAAGAAGGGCTAAAAACAGAAGTTAGAAGTGGACCCAGGGCATTCGCTTATCCGTATATCCGGTCCAGGCCATGCTCCGAGATTTGGTTTGTTTTCAGGTCAGAATTAGCCCTAATTCGTTTTGATTTAAACAAAAGGCCGATGATCGCTTTACACTAGGATATACAAGTTGCAACGTTCAAAAGTACGTCAGAACTCAGCTTCAGGTCCATCTGTTAAATCATCATGCTGGCCGTTGCACAATATAAAGTGTTTAAAGCTGTTGATTTAAACTGAAGCCCGACGCCAGTGATTGCTGTCGCCTGTCGGCCCATCCCAACTACTGTACTAGTCTTGTATTGACTGATTGTGACAATCAAGTGTTACCTGAGGTACTAGGAATGACATACCAGAATCCGGGACCCTTCTTCAAGAATAGCCACCGGGTCTTTACCTGAGCCATCGAGGGTTTTCATGTGGCGTCAGTACCCCAGAGGCGCCCCCCAAATGATACAATACATAAGTTAAAAAACAAAGAAAAAAAAAATTATCAAAAGTTCAAAACATAAGATAACATAAGGACTAACCTGGCTCTTTCAATTGTTGATGTTGTATGATTATCCCAAATGGTCTAAAGAATATATGTAGTGAAAACTAATGTTTTAATATGAAGAATATATGATTTATGGGTAAAAATCTCAATTTGATTTTCTTTTTTGCATAAATTACTATAAATATGCAAATGAGTGGACTAAAAAAAAAAAACTTCACTTGACATGCATGCGAATTTTCGCGGCGATCGGCCTTTTCACGGCCGAGATCATAGGTGCAGGGTTCTTTAGAAGCCCACCCCCCCCCCCCCCAAGCAATGCAGTTTCAAAATAGCCGAGGCTAGATAGGGTTAAGTGGCAATTATAAAACCTGTACAAATCCATAATCGTCCAACCCTTATTTCTTATTTCATTAGTTTCATGGTGCGGATGGGTTGCCTTCATACAGAGCAGACTGCAGTAACTCAGGAAAGGTTACTCTTACTGGAAACCCTATCTTCATCAAGAACATCTCCAAGAAATCTCACGAGATCACTGCCAAAATTGAACTACCGGTAAGTTGGAAACTTCATAACCGATACTTTGAATGCAACAACTTTTTTCAAAATGATTTCAACCTCATTATTCTCCAATGCATTACAGTTAAGAATTCCTGTCCATGAATGGATTCATTCCTCCTAACATGTGTTATAAGATAGTGATTATTAAAAATATTGAGATTGATTAAAATAATTGATTGATGAAAAAGCAAGTTATCCTTTTAAGGAGTTTCAGTGGACATATAGCTGTACCTCACATTTGAAGGACTACTTGCAGGTCATTTAAAATGTATGTTTGTTGAAGAGTGTTGTTCACCTATATTTTGTTAGAATCGTAGTTATCCTGCCCTGTTATCTGAGCCATTTTACCTCTTATTAATGCATATCAAAACATATATGAACAGAGTTTTTGCTTAATCGAAAAAAGAGCCAAACTGTACTACCGTAGTCAATTTCAATATGGATGAAACATTTACAATGCACATTTCAACATAAAGTCAGAAACTCTTGCGATTTTTTTTTTGCAAATTGTTGATAAGGGCAGACTGAACGTCAATATATTGCAACACCAACAACAAATGGTGTTTTGATTCATTTAGTTAGCGGCATGAACCTATCGCAAATCTGGACCACTTCCAATCTCTGACAAAGTCTCTTGACACGTGGAAATGGTCATCTCTGATTTGATCTTCCCTTAGCACATGAAAGGAGTCAGCTCTGTAGAGAAAGTCATTACCGTCAAACCCAGCTCCAGCGCCTGTAAGATCAAGGTATTCTTCTGTAAAGATGACCCAGTCGAGATAAAACCCCAAGAAGACATTGAGTGGACGGCCGGACAGAATACATCACACATGCGTGAGTAGAGAACAGTTATATTTCAAGGGATATATTATATAGATTATATTATCAATTAGAAACGCTGTTAAAACGATTGATATAGAGCTGATAATATTTAAACATTATATCTGAACAAATTGTAATGATATTGTTTCCAAAGATACGATTTACAAAGAAGATTTCGTTTGTGTTGATTAAAGGGATTGGGTAACTTTGTCTCAGATTTTGAAACAAAATCCTGGATTTAGCTCATGCTGCAACGATAATTATAATCCTTTAGGTCAGACAGGAACCTCAAGACTTTTACAAGCCGATCGCCTGTCTGATCATCAAGATAAATATGATTGGAAATCGAAATTTCATTTTTCGTTTTCCTAACGGTTTTTATGCCACTACAGCCTATTAAGGAAATGGGTATGGTAAAACTGGTCATTCAAAGATTTTTACTTTTTTGAGGCACTTTATGATCATTTTGAAGCGCAATTCGTTTAGGGCTTCAATATAAAACGTATCCGACAGACACTGATAACACGTAGGGCCATGCATCGCAGACTCAAGTTTGTTAAACGATGCCTTTAAAGGGCAATTAAACCCTTGTAATAAGTCGATTTGTACATGTATGTACGCAGAAAAATGACAGAAAAAGAATGACAACATTTTGAAATTAATTGGACCAATAATAATGAAGTTATGAATAAGTCTATGCGAATCTCAAATTGGTAGTTCGGTCAGTTGATTGTGACGTAGGACGTGGATTTACTCTCCCATTTGCCGTGTATACAAATATCATTAATTTCCGTTTTTCTCGTACCCATGGGGCACTACTCAAAATATATTGTATAGCATATTAGTATAGGTCCTCTTAAAAGAATAGACCTCTTGAGCAATGCACTTTTGAAAAAATTAAATTTTAGTAATTTGGTGTGTTGGAACAGATGGGAAAGAACTAGTCCGGCACATAACATCCCATTGACATTACTGCTTCAGCAAATTTGAAGTGCTAATTGCAACTTTCAAAAATCATAATTTTTCTAATCTAATCGGATTAAATTGAAACTTTCATCAGTTTGCTTCTCTGATTTTCTGCTTTCTTTAAGAGTAGTCTATTTGTGTTGGATTTCCCTTCAATCCCAATTTATTCAAAAATCAGGAATTGCCAAATGAAGACAGTATACCGACAGGGAAACGCAGATTTTCCTAGTTCGACCGATTACCCAATCCTATGTTGTAGTTCTCAAAGCTAAATTAAGATAATACGTTACTGATCCGCTATTGTACATCGAGTTGATGGATGCATTAAAAAGATATGTTTACAAACTCGTCCTCGACTATTGAACACTTTAACACAGATAATCATCAAGTATACTAATTAGATAATGTGACGTTATGTGTTTAAAAGTGGCAAATGGGAGGTGGAAAAAAGGGTATCTGTGTAACTAACGCCTCTATTAAAGCATACTCACGTATCTGTGTATGAGACTTGTAAAGTATCCCCATCAGAAATGTGAGACTTGCTGTGGTGGATTTAAAAAAGGTAGTTTACCACATGTTGATTCAAGGCTATACCGTTATCTAATGAGAGCCTTCTGCAGAAACTTGATTAGTTTGGGTAATCCACCAGCAGTTTATGGATTCTTTTCTTTGTTATCTTATATTTTAGTTGTCCTCTTTTGTATGTATTCTTTGTTATTGTTATACTCCTTTTGGAAAGGTTATACAATTTTAAAAAGAATAAAATTAAAAAGTACATTTTATTCTTTGTCTGTTAGGTTTTACTCTGTATGACGAGGGTGAAAACCAGATGAAGATCACCAAGGAACAGGCAAGCAAATTCAAGTTCACCTGGTTACGCACCTTCGACACCTCCACCGTCATGGAGGGGAACTTGCCCCCTATCAAGGTCCCAAAATCGGTGGGAGATATCAAGTTCTGTCAGCTGAGACTCACAGATGGATCGGGCCTGGAGTTTTCCTTCAACATCAAGTGAGTATTGAGTAAAACAGATGCATTTACTTCAACGACGTGAAGATATGACAATCAGGATTGCACTCTGTATTACAAAAGCTTTAAGTGATGACCTACATTAACAAAATACTATTATTTCAGCTGCTTATAGAATATTTATGTGGGCAATCAACAACAAAAGACCTAAAGCCACTGCTATAACTACCCTGTATTTTTTTTAACACATCCTAAGTGAATAAAACTCCACCTAACTAAATTAACAATACAATCAAAACAAGTTTGTATAATATCCGGGAACATTGTTGGTGGGTTTTTAATGGTTAGCAAGGACGCATGATGAGTCAACGGAAGAACATTGACCAAGAAACCAGGAAGTCTAGGGTTCGAAGCCAAGTCGATTCTCTAGTGCCCTTTTTATGCCTCCGCAACGAAGTAGTCAGAGTCATTGTGTTTTGGGGGTTGTCCGTCCGTCCCGTTCTCGAGATAGTCTTCAATTACCAACTCCCTCTGAGAAGACTTAAATTCGTTGTTCCACTGGTTGCTTACCTTCAAGCATGTACGTGCTCTTAGTAGTCGGGTCAAACAAACCAAAAATGAATGTTTAAAATCTTAACAACTGTTATATTTGCGCTTAGTGCCTAGTACCCTTTGGTAGGGCATAAATCCTCGAAACCGAGTCAATCGGAGAAGACCGTCGGTCCCCTGTTTGCTTCCTTACAATCATGCAAATGCTTTCCAAGCAGTCAGGTAAAACAAACAACCATAAATGTTTGAAATCCTTACAATTGTTATTTTTTCAGGCCAATCCCTGGCGAGGCCAAGCACATCAAGTGTCAAAGCAAAAAAAGTGTAAAGGTGAAGCTTGGAGAGATCTTGGATGGTGATATTGTCGTCCATGTCACTGATGAACATGGGAACATTATAAAGAAGGTAAGAGAATAAAGACGAATAAGTCCTAAGAACATGTTCAATTCATAAAGTTTGTACCATATTGCATTATACATAAGCTGTAGAGCCACTTGAAACATGGATGCTATGCCCGGCTCCAAAGTCAAAGGTACCTTTTTTCAAAGAAATTCTGTAGCATCGTCACTTTACTCATCAAAATTATGTGCCCCATAATTTATTTTGCCGGATAGCTTTTTTTTTTCTTTCAAAAGTTATTTTCAAAATTGAGATAATGCCTTCGATGACAATCAACAGTTCTAAATCGACATGCAGCAATATCATATCACTAAGAATCTCATGTTCCTTCTACAGCTCCCTCATGATTCCCTGAGCAACCTCAGTGTGAAGGCAGAAGATCTAGACACCAAAGTCCTGCAGAAAACCCTTCTACCTAATGTGGGCTTCAGTCTTGGGGATATCAAGTTTGACGGTTCAATAGTAGGGGACAGGCCGGTCTTGGTGAAATACAACGACTTCACAGATCTCATCAGTTTAGAGGTGCTTCCTGGCCAACCGGCGCAGCTGCTTGTGATGGGCTGGATGCCAGAGGAGGTATGGTGGCTAGGGGTTAGATAACACATGCTCCAGTCAGTATTACGACACTTGCTCCAGCCACAATTGCTTTGTGTCAATGTTGTGCAATAACAAAAAATCAACCTAAACCCTAACCCTAAATCTTTGATGAAATAAGTCCAGAAGCAATTGTCACTAGAGAATATGTCGGAGCACCACGCCTCTGGTGACAACTGCTCAGTAGGCCATATCCTACACTTACCTAATTTCTAACGTCATCCCTGGACTAAGCACTATACCTAAGCCTAAACCTAAACCTTACCTAAAACCAAATTGTAACTCTTACCATACATCTTTGATGAAATAAAGCCTGGAACAATGTCTGTCAGATCACCTGGTAGGGGAAGGTTTGGCTGCTGCCTTGGAACTTGGGTATGAGTAATTGTTTGTACGGGGAGTTGAAGGCGCTAAGAAATATGTTTTGGACAATGGAAGGGATGTAGATATTTGTACGCGGTGATTGTAGTGGATGCAGAGACGAATGATTGTTAGATGGTGGTGGCGGAGTAGATGATTACGTTAATAATGTTTGTCATGGTGATCATGTAGTCTGAGGTCATTGAGAATGCTGAGAAAGATAACAATGATGACAAAGAATCCATAAAGTATCAAATATATATATTTGTTCATCTTCCCTTTCAAGACACTGATAGCATATGACGGCGCCAAGATCAACAATCCATTGGGCTTTCAAGTTTGTGATAAATCTGGCAATCCTATCTCCGATGTCACCACACCTATCTCACTGCAGTATGACAAGGCATTAAAGGTAAATGTTGTATTTCACCATTTTATTAAATGTCTTCTCACATTTTTAAAGAAGAATGTGAAATTTTCAATGAATCAGTGGTTCCTAATCTTGTTGCTGTAAAGGCCCAGTCCCATATAGGGGACGCATGGGGTACGCAGTACCCCACCATACTACTACATACATTAAAATAAATATACGGCGGATAGCCCATTTCAGGCCTATTAACAAAATACGCCTGTTCTTACATGGGGTCTGGATAAAAAAGCTATTACATAAAAATCCAATATTTTATACAATCACGGGGAAGTAAAAATTTAAATACAAATACCAAGGCAGCCGCATTGCAAACGCAAGGCCATCGTACGCCCGACGTATGGTCACTGTGGAATCGCTTTACGGCATGGCTACGGCGTGTCTAATTGCTACGGCGAACCTTGAAATGAAAAAAAGTTATAACTCCGCGTTATAATCCCACGGCGACCCGTTCGGCCCGTGGAGATAGGGATACGCCCTAAGGTGACCCTGAGGCCACTGCAGAATATCTGCGGCCGCTGCAGATATCTCTCGATTTCGGGGGCGTGTGGCTGCCGTATTTAGCCGTAGAGCAAATGTGACTTAGGTATTACCGGCCCCAACCCCCAATTAACTCACTGACATGCGCCCGCTACGGTGATTCAACTCCGTTACATTATTTTGTGTTTGTTTTTTCTTTTCATGATTGTAACAAGTCTCGTCATCAAATTTTTCTGCATGCAGGTATTGTCAACCGCGTCACTGACAGCAATGCCATTCGAAGGTGGTCAAGTGACTTTCGGGAAACTTACCTTATCCGGTCCCTAGTGAGTAGATTTATGTTATCTATGAAGTAGGGTGGTACATTTCAGCAATGTGAAGTGTCATTATTTGATGATTAACCCTGATGGCAGTTGTGCTAAAAAAAAAGAGTTATACACAATGTTTGCAGACCACTCAAAAAGCAAAACACAATTCTGCTTCTTAAGGAAGCTTAACAAATGTGTGTACTGTAACTGCTAGTGTTTGAGATTGTTTGCATGACCATGTGTGAATGAAAAATGAGTCAGAAATAAATCTTTAAAAACAAGAGGAATTTGCCCTTTCATAATCTACTGCTATGCCATCAGTGACTATACCACCGGGCTACTTTTTTTGTCCAAAGCTCAGCCATTTTACAATATATACTTCCACGAGAGGACGTGACATGACCTTTGGCTAATTTCATGAGGGGCATAACCCTGAAGGAAAATGATCGCCTCCACATCACTAAAGGTACCATAGTTTAACAAGAATTTCGAATAAAGGCAGTATATACATGTATGTGATTTATAATAATAATAATAATCTTTTAAAGTCCATTCCAAATTTTATTAAGTGAAACCGAAAAATAAAAATTCTTTTTGCCCAATTGAGCGCGAGCCCGGCAGCCAGTGAGCGGCGCCAGATCGACGTTGCTCTATCCCTTATTGGTGAACGCCAAACAAGGTAGCAGCAACTCCCGTCTTTTGGTATGACGCGGTCGGGTTCGAACCCACGACCTCCATGTTGTGAGTCGGACGATCTACTGACTGAGCCAACATCTTTGACAGAAGCCGATATCTATTTATCTACTGATGATCATCTGCATCTCACTGTACCGCAAACAATGATGAAGAAGTGATCAATTTGCATGCATATCAAACACGTAATGATGGCATCATCACATGCTGGTGCCTTAAATCGTAGATACACGCAAATTTATAACGACACAATACAGTATGCACTTTACCAAGACACCAAATGTTAGACCTGATGGGAATTGTATATGATCACCTGATGCACAAAGTCAATGGATCAATCACGCAGATTCTTTGTACGACAGATATCAGATAATTTTAGAAACAAACATCTCATCTTTCTCAATTATCTTGTTTCCTGACAGTGGGAAGTACATGCTACATGCAAAGATGTCCATGGAAAGGTCATCCCTAATGAGTTCTGGTCTCGCTGTCCAACTCAAGCCAGATCCCAATAAGGCACAAAAACTTCAGTTGGACTACAAAGAGGGGAGTGTCTACATTGCTGGGGATCATTTTCCAGGTTAGTAATATAAAGGGGGTGAAGCATGATGTCAACGACACGATGAAGATGGTGTTTGTGACAGTGGTGGTGTAACTACATTAAACTCTGACATTGTCTGTGGTAGTGGGGATGAAAGTATTGAACCCCCCCCAAGGGCGTTTCACCTTTTAACTTTACGATCTCCCGAGAAAAACCACACTTTCACACAATAAGGTTGTACAATTAAATATCAGCGATTTAATATGGGTAATCAAAACCAATAATCAGGGTTTAAATAATCATTTGGGCAAACAAAAAATACACACAACATACAAATGTCAAGGGGAGCGGACAGCTTTCCTATACGTCAATAATCAACACATAAATAGCAGTGATTACTGGATCAAACGGGAACAATCAATCTCCAGTATATTACAAAAAGCGATAAATAATAAACATGATTAAAGCGTCACAAGAGAACAAGAAACTCACCTCGCGGTTAATCACTGTCACGATCAAATGAATACACAAATATACAATCATATAAAAGCAACAAAAAGGATCATCAAATAATTCAGCAAAGCGTTCACACCAAATCAGCATCCACGGCGAGGTCAGGAATAATGATGCTGACAATGGAGACGGTGATGGTGATGTTGATGACGCAGACAATGTTGAAGTCAATGGCGGCGTTGAAGACGGTGATGACGTCGATGATGAGGACCATGATGACGGTGATGTGATGACGACGACTATGTCGGGATGATGGGGATGAAACAGTCAATAGACGAATTAGTGATGATGTCGATGACGATGAAGATGACAATGATGCTGGGATAACGATGACGATAATCAAAGAGTCAGCACGACTCAACGGACTACAACGAAGAGACAGATGTGAAAAAAATAAAACAAGACAAAGTGTTCATATTTGGTTCTTTAACTTCAGATTTAAACAAATCTGAGAATAAACATTATTCGGAGTTTCTGTTTCACAAAAAATAATGTTTTACTGATAATCGTTAAGATTCTGAGGACGACGGTGCGGTCTTCCAGGACGAATTGGTTGAGATGACGTAGCGAGATTGTGCTTCCTGAAATGACGCGTGACGCGAACCAAATAACCAACCTTGAATTGCGGTTGATGAGCGCGACGGCATTGAACCGTATACACTTTTGCTTTTTCTTGGCATTTTTGCGATTCCTGACGCTCTCGCTTTCATGCTGGCACTGTATAGGAGGTTTGAGAACATTCAACCCCAATTGAAGATTGTGCTTGATCATGAGTTCTGTTGGTGTCTTCCCTGTGAGCGCGTGTCAGTTAGAGCGAATGTACGAATATTCCATACAATCAGCTTCGTCAAACGTCCTTCCTTCCGCTAGAATTGCTTTCAGACTTTGCTTGATCACGCAATTTAGCCGCTCAACCCCACCATTTGCTTGGAGGTTGTAACGATGTCAGGTTGTAATGGATGCCGTATCCTGCGAGGAATTTCTCAAACTGATCGGACACGAATTGCGGAACGTTACCTGTTGTGTTTGTTTCTGGAAATCACTGTTTCACGACAGTTCAGCTTCGTGCGAACAACGCCGGGATGCCCTTCGTGCGCTACTTGCAACACTCCAGGTTGGAGCGTTTTGTGAATGACTTGAAAGTACGGAACCAATTATTTGATCATCCGAAATTTCTCGAGGCCATGTCGTTTTCAGCTAATGGCTGACCTTTTTCAAGACAGCATCCTCGTTGGATTCTGCATCCATGTCGTCTTACGTCACCAAATTTGCAATCGCGTTTGCGATTACTGCCCGTAACGAACTCTTCAGTGCCATGCGTCACGATACAATCGCTGTCGATTGGCTCTGTGTAATCACTATCGCTTCACTTCTTGTGATCGCGATTGCTTTCGCACGCTGTGGTGGATGAGCGACTCAACATGTCTACAACCGAGTTACGCGGACCGGAATTGTACTCGACATCAAAGTACTGGTGAAGGCGGTCCGACCAACGATATATGCGTAAGGGTCGAGGGCATGATCAAGATGAGCTAACAGGTTTTTTCAGCGCTTGATGGTCCATGCCCAATGATTCCATCAGACTCGGATGTGTTTAAGTTCGTGTAAAACTTCCTCCCGGTTGTACTGACAACGGAAGTCTGCTCAGTCCTTGATAAAAAGGGAAACTGACTTCACTGCTGTCTCCATCATGTAGGGGTTGAAGGTTCGTACATGTTACATTTCTTATCCTAGGCAGGGCGTTCCGCGAAAAGGTGGCACACAATTCTGAACACAATTTCTTGCGTGTTTGTTGCTGTCTTGGATTGTGTATTTTATTGACACCCGCTGTACAGGTTTTGCTCTGCCAACACCAATACTCGCTGGTTGTTATCAATCTAGACATCTGGTATCTTACATGGCAATCTCAATCTGGACTGTTATTTGACTGCTTTTTCTAATTTAAGAGTATCATCGTCCACCAGCAATTACCCAACCTGTGGTGGACTTTTTATTTTTTCTCGAAAAGCTGGTCTCTCACCAACTTCTCTCTTTTCTACAGTCAACGACAATACTCTATAGTATTGCAACATACTGTGTTACAAGCTCTCCTTGTCCATGTGAGCATTAATTGTCTGAAGTTAAATCACTTCGGGAGAACACCTGTCTTTGGACCAAAGTAGTCTTTGAGTGCTTGTAATGCGAGCTCGTGTGTGTACAGGTCATTAGATACTATGCATATTCCTCTGCCCTTCCGTACCCAGGCAATGCCATTGGACTAATATTGCCTAGCGGCGGTCGTCACGGACGCTGTCCCTGTCAAACTCACTGGCTACCAGTACCAGGTAGGTTTTAAAACCGAAATCCACCTCGACAAGCTCACTGGCAGCTCACTGGAGGTTCTCCTGGCGTTACAAAAAATGCAGAAGGTGCAGATATGTTTGAGGTTGCCATCCTCGTTGCCAAATTTTTTGTTTGACCAGTTGGAGAGAACTCAAATAAACGAAATTATACCAGAAATTACCATGTGTATTGTTTCTTTATTCCAGGTGCATGCGTGATGAAATTGTACAAACGAAGAATCATAATAATGCCCTCAAGAGTGCAATACCATTTAGTTGAATATGCAACGAAGCTGATGTTATTGGAGATGATGAAGAATTTGATTATGATGATAACGATCATGATATTAAGGGTGCATGATAATGACACTAATAAAAGGGTTGAACAAAGAGTGAGAACATCAAGATGGCAAGGGTAGCAATCATAATGATGAACTTATTTGTTGTACAGAAATAGCAGGTTGTAATTTGTGTTTTACTCAACTAGTTGCCTCAACATTTTTTAACTGTAACAAATAAAAACTTGATCTCCCAGATTTTGACATCTCTGTAATTGCTGCTGATGAAAGCACCATGACCAACATCCCTCACAAGATCTCCATGAGGTTGTGGGAGTCTGCTACCAACGATCAACACTTGGGACCGCCACCAACGAGGGCACAAATTATAGACATGGACAAGCCAAGTGAGGAGGATAGGGAAGGACATTTCTACTGCAGGTGAGAAACAAAAAACGAAATCTCTAAAGATTACTTCTACAAACTCATATTCTTGCTTACCTAGGGCAGGCCTTCACATTACCTATTTGGTAGGTGGTCTGGATTGAGATTTTAGGGTCCGTTTTGATGAGCTATTTCTTAATTTGAAAAAAAATTGGTCTGGACTGATCTTAATTTTGTGTTAAAGCTGCCTGTTGGTGTCAAGCCGTGCCTAGTGGATATGAAAACATGTTGTCAAGCTTGCAAAGTAAGATTGGGTTTGTTAAATCCTGAGGCAAAGGACAAACCATTACATTATTACAAAATACGCTTTTAGAATTTCAGCCAATCAAATTAGTGTTACTGTGTAGTTGACTGAAACAGACTCTTGCCTCTTGACCATCCAGTCATGTCAGAACAAATTTGAATCATTCACATCAAATTTTGTAGTATGTACCTTTGTATCATCTACAAATCACGTTTCATCAATTATTATCTCTATATCACTATATATTAAAACATTTTGGACCACAATTTGACTGTAAATTTTAGTGAAAGACTTGATTAAAAGTTATCTATGAATTATCTCCTTAATTAACAAAAAAAGATGTGATAAATGATGTGAAGGTAATGAGAAGTACACATCTTTTTCCTAAACAATAACCAAAAACTAAAGAGCTCTAGATAGATAATATAATACCTCCATCAATTATTGTTTTTACGTTGTAGAAAACACAAGCTACCCCAAGAGGCCCGCATGCATTGGATCATCTTTCAAGCTTCCCTAAATCAAAAGATGCTCTACTCTGAACCGGTGAGTAGGAAAATAGTTGGGATGGGGAGGGGAGGGGGGGGGGGGTGGTAATAGAAGGTAACCCTACAAAGGTACTAGGGTACTACCTTGTTTCACTGGGAATGTCCTACACCAACCGAATTCCTCATGGCGGTCATGCGGCAGTCATAGATTTCGTACAGTGGGAGTCAAACTCCCCCACCCCCTTCCCAGTAATAATAGTGATTAAGGTTGTTATGACAAATGGATACAGTCTGTAATACACACAATTTCAAGACATTGTGCAAGATGTTATCAATCCTCAATTCCAGCATAGTTATGTGTGTTTTGTATGGCTTTCATATTAACTGGCCTCGGTCTACAATCCAATAGATTGTAGAGATCACATAAGATGTTTCCCGTCCTCAATACCTCTGCTCGTATTTGTAACTGTGTTTTTTCTTGAACCCATTAAGATTGGGTTTGACATCCAGCCTGGTCCACCAGTGAAACTGAACCCAGAGGTAACCCCGCCCACTCCCACGGTATCCGATACACCGCGAGCACACAGCAGGATTATCATCAAAGCTCTCAAGCTACAGCTCGTGGTAAGTTTTTTCTTTTCTCTGACCACGTTGCCCCATATTCGGGTAAACATTGAAAATTGAGCCAGGGTAACTTGGGCTCGAGTCTATTGAAATGGGTTGAATAGGGATGTCATATAAAAAATATAAAAACGTCAGATTTCAAGCTCTGGTATCTGTCTGTTTCAGGCTTTTGGTTTGTTAGCCTATTTGGTCTTTAACACATGAGGAAATGCAATTGCTCAGTGGTAGAGCAGTGGTCTCATAATTTGTAGGTCCCGGGTTCAAAACTAAGTCAATGTGCTTGTGCCCTTTGGAAATTACATCAATCCTCACTACCAAATCCCTCGGAAAGGACTGGAAGCGATCAGTCCCCGGGTTGCTTATTTACAAACCTACACATGCCTTCTTAGCAGTCTGGTATACCTACGTCAAACGTGGGGTTCAAAGCTAGTTGAGTAAAACTAAGGGACATCCTTAGTTAATCTTCACCTTCTTTGATATCTGGACTGCCCTCTTGCAAATTGCTACCGATCATCCAACTTACAAAAACATGTTAGCCAGCTTATGCATTTCAATTTTTTCGTGGTGCTTGTAGGATGAATTTGGGAATGTGACTGGCAAAGGTTTGACAGGTAACATTGAAGTTCATATGAAGGGAAAAGATGGAGCGGAACTGCCTAAATTCCAGGGCAATAGGAGTATGATGCAGTTCCCGCTGGATAACGGCATTGGCTCCATACAGGTGAGTCTCGTACAACTCCTTCCTCTCACCCTTCCTCCACCCAATCCCTTCCTCATTCCCCTCCCTCTCCTAGCCCTTCCTTCTACTCTTCCTTTTCTCTCTCCCTCTCACCTTGTCTTTCTTCCTCCTCTCCTTCTACTCCGCCCCTAGAAGGTTGCCAACCAATGACAATTACAAACAAAGCAACTGTGTGTTCGCTGAATAATTCCTATTAGGTTTGAAATGTTTTAGTCAGGACATACATGTAGTTGAGCTTTCTCCATTTCATATAAATATACTTCAAACAAAACATTGTTGTGTTAACTATAATTAAACTAATATTTTATTTCAGGATATTCTAATCCAAGAGAACACGCCAGGACATGATGGAAGTGAGTACAAATTACACTTCATACTGAAGAGCAAGGGACTTGTAGTGATGCCGTACATTCAGCCATTTCTGTTTTATAAAGGTAAGCACAATATGAATATGAAAACACCTGCCTTCTTTAATAAAGCGCGTCTCCATTACCTGACCAAAGTGCTTTCAGTGTTATGAATACCCCGGTCATTGGTGATTTATGATTTTGAAATTGTACTCCTCTTGGGATGAAAATGAATCTACTATAACTCTTTAGAATGGCTGGTTACCCGCAATTTTATTTTCATTTTCTGATAGGGTATGAATTTAAGATGCGATTTCATGTATCACATTTGCTGTTAGAATGCTTTGACGTTTAACAAAGTGCTACTTAAAGGAAAAATATTGAATTTGTTTTGATTAGGTAATATTTACCATTGTTATTTTTGTATATATCTCGTCTATCCCTAATCTGGTGACTCCCATATTTTATTATTTTGAAGCTGAGACTTTACAAGTTTACTACGATTCAAGTTTTGATCACAAGACGAGATCGCGGTCAAAATTCCGATTTCAAATGAAGAAATCTGCCATTATGGTTTCTACTTGTACATGCCATCAGTGGCAAAAACGTAAGGGGGACAGAAAAACCCCCGCATCACCACCACTTTCATATGTAACATGCAGGCCCCGCTGAATGTTTTACAAAGTGGGGGAGGGGCTAAAGTATTTAGTAGAGCGTAGCGAGCAAGGCGAATTGGGGCAGACCCGGCTGGGTCAAGTGATGGAGCCCCGGAGCTCACAGGTTTTAGGCATTCAATTACGGTCAGATGAGCATATTTTGATACCTTATTTGTCAAACTGGCAGGTCACTAATTGACAAAGGGTCGAGGGGTGGAGCTCCATGAAACTCAGCGATTTTAGGCATGAAATTACGGTCAGATGAGCATCCAGACCCCTGGTGGGGTCCAACGGGCAAAGCCCCCGCAAGCTAAGGAGTTTCAAGGATTAAGTTATGGTCAGATGAGCATATTCCGTACCTTATTTGTGACACAAGCAGGTCACTATTTGACGTGGAGTCCAGGGGCGGAGCTCCCAGAAGCTCAGGGGTTTTAGGCATTAAATAATGGTCAAATGAGCAAACAGGGGCCAGCCTCAGGGCTCTTGGTGGAGTCCAATAGGGGCAGAGCCCCGGAAGATCAGGGTTTTTGTAGGCATTTAATTATTCTCAGATGACCATCGAGGGACCCACCTTAGGGCCCCCGATGTGGTCTAGGGAGCAGAGTCCCTACAAGCTCAGGACTTTTAGGCATTAAATTACGGTCAGGGGGCCCGCCACAGGGCTCTTGGTGGAGTCCAATGGGGGCAGAGCCCCCGAAAGCTTGTTTTTTTTAGGCATTTAATTATGCTCAGGTGAACATCGAGGGGCCCGCTTTAGGGCTCTTGGTGGAGTCCAATAGGGGCAGAGCCCCGGAAGATCAGGGTTTTTGTAGGCATTTAATTATTCTCAGATGACCATCGAGGGACCCACCTTAGGGCCCCCGATGTGGTTAAGGGTGCAGAGCCCCCGCAAGCTCAGGGGTTTTAGGCAATTAATTACGGTCAGGTGAGCATATTTTAAAGACTGAATCTCCCATGCATTGAGTTTCTACATGTGTTATGTCTCAATCAAAGCGGCAGATCACCTAATTCGTCTCCTTGACGAATTCAATGTCTAGTTATTATTATAATTAATCCATGAGATTCAATTTCTATTCCTGTACCCAGATTCCGAGAAGCAGCAACGGATGTCTCAGCTGTTCAAGGAGAGAGACACACTCAGTGCTTCTATCAAGGCGTACAAAGGGCAGTTTGAAAAGGAACAACAGCATCTACAGATGTTGAAAGGTAATGGCTCACAGGAGCACGTCTAGGATATTTTCAGGAGATGGAGGGAGTAAGTTGTGATTCTGTGGAAAGAGAAAAAAAAGGGAATAACAAGGACAAGGAATAAAAAGCTCCATCCAGACCATTTGCTTACAAGAGCCCATTTCCCCGAACACACACACACACACACAAACTAGATTCTAGGACAACCATCCCCTCCCCAAAACTATCACCTCTGAATAACCACCACAGGAAAGAGCTACCCCCCCCAAAAAAAATGTAACTAAATGAATACCCCCCCCGTTGTATATGTGTATTAATTCAATAATAAAAAGTTAAGAAATGTGTTATTCTGTTATTCTATAATGGGACCAATGTTTGCAAAACTTGAATAGAATTTTCCATTAACAATTTCTTAGTTTTTATGCGTGCATCAAAAGTGGGACCGGAGTTATTTTGTTTACATGTTAGTCATACTTATCTACAATAAGAATTCAAAGACCCAATATGAAATATGGGTTATTTTTTTAATGTACCCGTAGGGAATTGCATATTTATCGTTCCATTCATATTTTGTGCGCTTTTTTGGACAGAATCTGCTGAGGATGCTGCTAAGGATGAGCTCAAGTTAGGAAAAGAGTTGAGACTACTGGGAGTGATATTCTTGGATGCACAGATAGCAACGGTGAGAACACAATTTACCTTAAAGGCAGGAACTATCATTAGAGAATTTACAACATTTTCTTTCCACAACTGTTGTATCGTAAGACTGAATTATTGCAATTGGCTATTAAAAGTATCTTGCTGCAGAGATGGCTGCCATTGATAAAATAGTGAAAGCCCGTGTCGCAGAAGTTGCTGGGGAATGCTTGCTAAACCTAATCTTGAGGTCCGGTGATGAAATAGCATTTCTAGAGTCTTTCGAATTAATCATCAAAATATGTCCAAACAATCATGTGTTGGAAATCAGCTTCCCTGGAGAGCAAAACTCAAATTTGCACTTTTTAAATATAGCAAATTATAAGATGTGCAGGGGGAAGAATCGAAATAATAATTGAAGTGGTACATGTAATTCCACGCAAAAATAGTTGGAAGGGGATTAAAAGCATAGATATATGTAAATGGCCACTTGAATAAAGCAAATTTTCGTCATACAACAGAAAACTTTATAAAATGAGTAGTTTATGTCAGATTTTTAGGGTGAGTTCAAGCGACAGTTTTTCACCGGAGAAACACGGTTTTCAAAGACGTTTAGTTTAAAGTTCTATTGTGATAAACACATGCCTCTAAAAGAAAGATCTTTAATTAACAACAATATAAAAAAAAGCCTTGGATAACACGGGCTCTTTTAAAATCTATTAAGAAAAACAAAAATCTTTTATAAACGATTTCGTTTTAAGCCAACGTGTGTGAATGGAGCAATATATAAGAAATATCGTAATAAGTTAAATACGCTTCTACGTTCTGCTAAAAGAAAATATTTTCATGAAAAATTTGACAAATTCAAAGGAAATTTAAAGAAAACGTGGCAATTTTTAAACGAAATTCTAGGTAGAAACAAAACATCAAAAGCCAATGGAATTATTCACCAAGATATCAAGGTAGAAGATCCGTTTGATGTGGCAAATATATTTAATGATTTCTTTTGTGAGTGTAGAAGATAACCTTACACGATCTTTACCAAATTCAAGTGCAAAATTCTCTGACTATATGCCTTAAATGTCTGAAAAATCTTTGTTTTTTAACCCTATTACCGAACATGAAGTTGTTGATGTTATAAAGAATATTAGTTCCGGAAAGAGCCCTGGATACGATAACATATCTCCCGATATTCTTAAACCTAGTGTATATTTCATTATTAAACCCTAGACTTACATATGTAATATATCTATACAAACCGGCGTCTTTCCTGATTAGATGAAAAAAGCAAAAGCTATTCCTATTTATAAGAAGGGTGGTAAATTTGACTGTAATAATTACAGACCAATATCTGTTTTGCCATTGTTTTCTAAAGTTCTCGAAAGACTCGTATATAATAGATTGTATAATTCTTTTATCATTAATAATTTGTTTAGTCCTAACCAATATGGTTTTAGGAAGAACTGTTCAACTGAATTTGCATTGATTGAACTTTATGACCATATTCTTAAATGCATTAATACAAACAAACATGCAATCACTATTTTCATGGATCTATCGAAGGCGTTCGATACTTTCTCACACCCAATACTGTTATCTAAGTTATCATTTTATGGAATAAGAGGCTTACCACATTCTTGGTTTTGTAGTTATTTAAGAAATAGGAAACAGTTTACTGTATATGATGGTCAATCATCAAATTCTAAAATGATTTCATCCAGTGTTCCTCAGGGGAGTATACTCGGCCCACTTTTATTTTTAATATATATTAATGACATAGTAAACTGTTCAGATTTCTTTAAATTTGTCTTATTTGCAGATGATACGTCACTGATAGCCTCTGATGTAAATTTTAATTCATTAGTCCGTAAGATTAATATAAACCTGGACCATGTGTATAATTGGCTTGTTTGTAATAAATTGTCATTAAATATTTTGAAAACTAAATTTGTAATTTTCAGGAATAAACAAAATAACAGACCTGACTACTCTGACGTAAAACTGTCACTAAACGGGTCAAAGTTGAAACAATGTTCTACTTTTACATACTTAGGCGTACAGTTAGATGAATTTTTAACATGGGACTCTCACATTAATGTAACTTATAGTAAGATATCAAAAATTACTGGGATAATGAATAATGGGAAATGTATATTAACACCTAAACTGCTATTTACCATGTATAATACTTTTATTTTACCTCATTTTATGTATTGCAATGTGGTATGGGCTTCATTAAATTCATCTAAATTATCACGAATACATCGTCTTCAAAATAGAGCACTTCGAATTTGTGCCAATGCTCATTATCTAGCCCCTTCTTTACCTTTATTCCGCCGTTTTTCAACATTAAATGTGTATGACACAAGTTTTTTACGAAACGCCTCCCTCCTTATCTTATTCAAATGTTTTGTTTAAAAGAAAATGTCCATGCTTACTCTACTCGACAGTCAGCCAAATTCCATCTCTGGAAAACAGAAACTAATATACTTTCAAAATCAGTTCGTTACCTTGGCCCCCATTATCTGGAATTCCTTGTCTTCTGACATTCAACACACACAATTCAATGCACTCTTAAAAAAACGAATGAAAAGATTCCTTCTCTCTAAATGATCAAATTAACCAATGTCAATTTACCTTGCTACTCAGCTTTGTAGAGTGCTGGAGTGTGGCGTCGCAACGGTCACACCCCTCATTATTCATAATTCATTTGTAAACAACTATTTTTATGCCTCCGCCACCGAAGGTGGTGCCGGAGGCATCATGTTTTCGGGTTGTCCGTCCGTAAGTCCGTCCGTACGTCCGTCCCGTTTGACCGTTATCACAATATCTCAAGAGCCATTTAAGATTTAATCTTAAGACTCGGGAATAGTATTTATCACCATAGGAAGACGATCTGATTAGATTTTGGAGTACGTAGGTCAAAGGTCACAGGTCACAGAGGTCAACTTATGAAATTCCTTGTATTGAGTTTGTTAGCGCGATATCTCAAGAACCATTTGAGATTTAAACTTCAAACTTAAGGATAGTATGTATCACCATAGGAAGACGATCTGATTAGATTTTGGAGCACGTATGTCAAAGGTCAAGGGTCACAGAGGTCAACTTATGAAATTCCATACATTGAGATTGTTATCATGATATCTCAAGAACCACTGGAGATTTAAACTTCAAACTTAGTGATAGTGTGTATCACTATAGGAAAACAATCTGATTACATTTTGGAGCACGTAGGTCAAAGGTCAAGGGTCATAGAGGTCAACTTATGAAATTCCATACATTGAGATTGTTATCATGATATCTCAAGAACCACTGGAGATGTAAAAACTTCAAACTTAAGGATAGTATGTATCACCATAGGAAGACGATCTGATTAGATTTTGGAGCACGTAGGTCAAAGGTCAAGGGTCACAGAGGTCAACTTATGAAATTCCATACATTGAGATTGTTATCATAATATCTCAAGAACCACTGGAGATTTAAACTTCAAACTTAATGATAGTGTGTATCACCATAGGAAGACAATCTGATTAGATTTTGGAGCACGTAGGTCAAAGGTCAAGGGTCACAGAGGTCAACTTATGAAATTCCATACATTGAGATCGTTATCGCGATATCTCAAGAACCACTGGAGAGTTTTCACTTCAAACTTAATGATAGTATGTATCACCATATCATAATATCTCAAGAACCACTGGAGATTTAAACTTCAAACTTAATGATAGTGTGTATCACCATAGGAAGACAATCTGATTAGATTTTGGAGCACGTAGGTCAAAGGTCAAGGGTCACAGAGGTCAACTTATGAAATTCCATACATTGAGATTGTTATCATGATATCTCAAGAACCACTGGAGATTTAAACTCCAAACTTGTTTAAATTGCTCTATGGCGGAGGCATCATTTTCGACTGCGCGCAGTCAAAATTCAATCTAGTTTTTTTTTTTTTTTTTTCTCTGGTGATCCCCTCCTTACAAGCCCTTGAGGCTTTTTTCGGGACACCCTTTTCTTTCATTTATTTGTATTACTAGCTCTTATGTATGTATTACTCTGTTATTTTGATGTAAACATGAAATTATGCATGACATACTGTAAACTTGTTTGATTTTTAATTGTACATATAGGAAGAAATAAATGAGAGCTATTTGCTCTCTCAATCAATCAATCAATCAGATGCGATCCTACAATATTCAATGATCGTTGTCGCGGTTTAAATCGAGTCTAAAGTGATGACATTGTAAATAATAAACTGTTTATGTTGTATATAGCTCCTTCTCAAGGTCAATATCTCAATTTAGCTATAAAACAACGTTTCTTGACTAAAATCGATCGATTGGCTATTCCCGTTTAAAAATTATATATCACAACTAAAAAATTCTGAGATTTTCATGGTCGCAGCTACCATTGTATGGCCGTAAGCGCTATTTGAAATTCATCAAAATTTACCGGGAGCACCGGTCAATTTTTATAATCAATTTTTCTCCAAAGCGGAAGGGCTTTAGAGGCTAAAATTTCTAATGCTTATAATACATCCACAGGGGCATCAAAATATTACAAAATTGTAAAGAATCATCTCCAAACAATTTTCTAAATTTCCCCAAACTTTGTAATACCTTTAAAGCACGATTTTGTTCAAGCAATTTTGAGCGGTTTTTCGTCGGTCGTAAAAGTAGCGTGTTTCAAAACGCAAACATGAAACGCTGAAAAAGATGCGTTTTGTAACGTGATTCTGCAGAATCACGGTTGCTAAAAATCGCTTGACCGTAACGGCAATTTCAATCATAATTTTATGACGTCATTGTCGTGGGCTCCTTCCGGTTTGGCCGACAGTTGACCGTTAACAAATTTAGAAATTCATGGGTCAAACTGCGTAGTGTGATGTCCAGAAGCTGGGCTTGAAGTGAGAATCAGCGTTGATGGAAAATCGCATGAACGATCTCCCGCAGTAACCATGTTTTGTAGCGGCGTTTTGATTTGTGATTTAGAATATTGCAATATAAGGTTTTATATATCTAAATCTTTGGATGTATTATGGTACATTATATTATTTACTGTATGCATCATATGTCATGTTATTACAACAAAAAAGATTATTTTTGCTTTATAAATTTTCCTTCTGTTTTGCTATATACAATACATTGTAAGTTGATTTATATGATATATATGTTGACAAACAGAATACTGACTTGTTACGTTACATGGTAAACTGATTTATATTACGTTTACAAACATGATACTGATATGTTACATTGCATTGTAAATTGATTTATATGTTTATAAACAGAATATTGAAGTACATCAATAAAGTTTCATAAATTCAATAAAATACATGTTTGTGATTCTAGCTTAAAAAAATCGCTTGAACAAACCTTTAGAGGAATAAGCAATTTATGTTTACAATTTGCTTCTGTTTCCCTTGGTAGAGAAACGGAGCAGAAGAGTTAATGACTTCTACTAAAAAGAAAATTGAAGAGCAACCAAGAAGGAAATGCGGGATGCCGCGATATGAAACACAGGATGGTGAAATACTTGGAAAGGTAAGCAGTTGTCACCAATGTCAAGTTTCTGATTTTTGTCCTGTACGTGTTTTTATTTATATTGTATACTTGTATTATCAATGTTCAATAACTATATATACGGTAGTAAAATCGAAAAGTGATAACTTGCATTTTTTGAAGGATGAAATTGTATGAAAAATCATTATTCATGTCTTGGTAGCGAGAAGAAATTTTGATCAAAATAAAGTTAGATGATACATGTTTCTAATTATCAGTATATAGTCCCACATTTTTTTTAAAATCTGTTATCTGAATTCCTCATGCTCCACAGGTAGCACACCTAGTTGAGGTAGAAGATGAGAATGTTGCCTATGTGTTATCGTGGCATATGGCCCCAGATATGGACTGCGTCCTCACCACCACAGTCGCTAAAGCTAAGGAAGTCTTTGCAAACACAAGAGAGTGTCAACAGGTTCTACCCATTGAGTCAATCTACAAGAAAGGCCTGACTGAGTGGGACAAGTGAGTGTGCAAACCAGCCTTCAATTCTCATCTTTCAGTTTCTCCAATATTGCGGAAATGAAGAACTTTTCTTACAATTTGTCAGTAATGTCAGACCAATGCAAAACAACACTTTTTTTATACATGGAAGTCAAGAGTAACAACACACGACAATGTCCTATACGTTATTCACCTAGTTCTGTTTTATCATGTACAGGAAAATAAAGAGTATAACCCTTAATAACATCATTTTTAAAAAAACCACCGTAACTGTCTCATATCTGAGCGAGGTTTAATAATAACAATACAATAATATCCCAACTTTAGCAATAAGACTTAATGTAAATCTATCACTTTACTGAAGTGTTACAATTAAGTTTCTTGATGGGAAGAAATCCATTGGAAAGGTGTTTTGTTTTAGGTGCTTTAGTATTGCAGCTTGCCTAATATGCCAAGGTTGTAATTCAATTTTGAACATCCCTTCCCGAGCTCATGCGCCAAATCCTCTGCAGTTTTTGTTATGATGATGTAAAGTTTAATATTCGTCACTTTTATTTATCTTATCACACGGCTAAGTGGATTCGCATATTACCTTTGTTGCGCGTAGTTATCGTTCATATACACGTTACAAAAATATGGCCGTTTTTTGCGTTGGTTTTCAGTTTCATGTGAACAAGCTTTGAAATCCAAAAGACATCCTTTTGAATTTTTTTTTTCGACAGGCCTCTACCACACATGGGAGTTCCCATCAAGCAGGGTCAAACCCCATCAGGAAACCCTGTATATGCAAGGCACCTTTTAAGGTTTACAGGTCATGAAGAGCATTGTAAGATAGGTGAGTAGAGATCACATGAGATTTATCTTAGTAAAAACAAGGGAAACGCACTCGGCGGTCTCGCCTGCATTACGCAATTCGATATGATGAAAAATTGAAGTTGGAACATTATTAATAGGCAGGATGGCCCATTAGCAGGCCCCCCAAAATGAAATCCTCTGAATATAATCAGCATTTTGAAGTGAATATTGATTAAGAATCATGAACAAATAAGAAAAATTAATTATTTATTCTTATATTAAGTTGTGAAAACATAATTTAAGTCTACTGACCTAAAATAACCTTTGACCTTGTGACCTGGAATTTGTGCCATATGACTTGTGATACTTGATAACCATTGGATACAAGTTTCATGGAAGTTGAACAAACACTTTTGAAAATATGCTAAAAATTCAAAATCTTGATGTTGATCCCACAAAAAATTCTAAGTTTGTTGACCTGAAATGACCTTTGACCTTGACTTTGTGACCTGAAATTCAACTCACATGGTTGGGGATACTTGATAACCCTATAGTCCAAGTTTCAATGACTAAGGACTTATACATTTCAAAGTATATCAAAAATTCAAAAACTTAAACTTAGGTTAAGTTTTCGATAATGATGCCACAACATAGTCTAAGTCTGTTGACCTGAAATGACCTTTGACCTTGATTTTGTGACCTGACATTCAACTCACATGATTAGGGATACTTGATAACCCTATAGTTTAAGTTTCATTGACTAAGAATTTATACTTTCAAAATTATATCAAAAATTCAAAAACTTAACCTTAGGTTAATATTTTGATGTTGACGCCGCCGCCGCCGTCGCCGTCACCGGAAAAGCGGCGCCTATGTCTCGCTTTTTTGCTACGCAGGCGAGACAAAAACCTCTCTTCAAAAAAATAATATAGATATATCGACTGCTTTGAGAGGCCTGGCTGTTTTATAGGCTCAAGGGGACTTGTACATCCTGCCATGACCCCGAGGCGCGCCTGGGTCTTTTATATACCGAATTGACACAAAAATCTACTAAGATTTTTTACATTATCCTTTTCTTGAGTAAAGATTGGTTAGAGCATCACGGAAAATCTGAGACACTGTCTTTTAATCTTGGCTGGAAAGATGACTGAATGTAACAATCATTTAGGATTCGCAGACAAAAAGCACTGTATGCTCGCACAAATTAAATCATGACAATTTTACTAATTTCCCGGTACCCGGAATCTTTAGGGAATCTCACTCATGAACTATTGACCGTTACTGGCATTGTTCGTTTCTCTACGGGAATAGCTACAATCACGACTCCAATTTCGACCAATCAGATGGCTAGATTTCAAAAGAGAGATATATAAATAATAATAGTTTTTATAGCAGGGGAATCGCAATAATGAAAACATTAATTGTGCATACAACATAGTATACTACTTTGACTATTGCGTTTTTCTCCCCCTCCACCTACCCAGTCCTAAAGATGGATGGATGCTGGTTGTACTTAGTGACGTTAACCTGTGCTTAGAATGATTGAGAGGTTTAGTGATTCTTGGTTAAAGTTGGGAATTTGACAAATTTTAGAAATTGCCTGCAGAGTAATTGTCACCCAAGCATGTGTCATGGAAGTCAAATTCTCTGAAGCTTTAAAATGGAGTGAGTTTAGAGTAACTGGGTCTACTTTATATACCATGACAATTGTTTAATCATTGTTTTCAACAACATAATTTATATGATATTCCCTATTTTGTTTGTACAGCCTTCAGTCTCTTGCTACAAGATACCGTACTCTTAGATACTCTGAATGACGCAACCGCATACAGACAGTCAGTAAGTTTATATAGAGATGGTTTGATTTTCATTATATTTGTTATCGTGTTTAGGGTGGCATTTTTAGGTAAAGGAATCTCATCGCTTTGCAAGAAAAAAAAAACAGTAAATGCCTCTGTTATTTCTGAAGATATCACTGTTAGTAAAAATGTCCAATGTCACTTTATTCCAGTGCTGAAAAAAGGTACTCACTTTGCTTGAAATGCTAAGAGTATTATGGTAATTACATTTTCTGTAAATCATAGCTCCATCAAACATGCAAGCAAAACAAGAAAGATTGTAACTAAATAAATGTTCATTTGAAATGGAAAAAATATGAAAACCTATGTTTCATACCGGTATGTTGGCTCAGTCAGTAGAGCGTCCGCCTCACAACCGGGAGGTCGTGGGTTCGAACCCCGGCCGCGTCATACCAAAAGACGTTAAAAGACGGGAGATGCTGCTACCTTGTTTGGCGTTCAACAATAAGGGATAGAGAAACGTCGAACTGGCGCTGCTCAGTGGCTGCCGGGCTCACGATCAATTGAGCAAAAAGAATTTCCATTTTCGGTTTAACTTAATAAAATTTGGAGTGGACTTTAAAAAATTATTATTATTATTATTATTATTAAGTGTCCTCTGTCTTCTCCCTTTTGCAGATTGTGAAGCACATTCCCTGCCCCACGCTCCTCACCCGCGATGGCAAACGTATCCGTGGCAACGGAAAGTTTGGAGGACGTGAGAACCAATGTCCATCGGACCTTCTGAAAATGGGTCGTGTCTTTGGGGAACCTCCTCCCAAACAGTTAGAATCACTGAAGGAGCAGATGGGTGAGTCCTCATAGAGAAAGAGGTTACAGTTAATGCCTGGACTACATTGGGTCTATGAGATATCCGTACGGGTTCACGGGCTCCGCGACCTCTACGATTTTGTTTCGGAAGATAAATTAGTCTACGATTTTTCGTGCGACTTTGGAGCATCATAGGAGGCTATGGGCTACGATGTTAGTGTTTACATTATCTACGAGCATCGTGTTATTTCTTGTATTTGCCCTCGCGGGCAGGGGGCAAATCCGTACAGAGGCTGCTTGGAGAGTGTACGGAAATCGTGCAATCTCAGTGCAATCTCAGTGCAGTAGCCGTCCAGTCTCCGCAACCTCCGCATGGAAATTGTACTGAGCCCGTGCAGCTTCCGGGCAGAGGTTGCGCGAAGAAGGTGCGGTTACTGTGCAGCCGCCATGCCGTTTTGAGCGTATTTTTGCCCCATGTTCACTGAAAATCATGCGTTTGCTGCACGATCAGAACGAGGCTTCCGCTCGTACAGGCTACGGGCTCACGATTTTCAAATGTGTATAACTGCGAAGCAAAATCATAGAGGCCGCGGAGCCCTTGAATCCGTGAGGACGCACGGAAAAGGGGATACGGGCAGGGTACGGGCTCCGTAGACGAATCGCCCCCGAAATCAAAAGATACTTGCGGCGGCCTCAGGGTCAACCTAGGGCGTATCCCTAACTTTACAGGCCGTACAGGTCCCCTTGGGATTATAACGCGGAGTTATAACTTTTTTTTATTTCAAGGTTCGCCGAAGCAATTAGAAACGCCATAGCCATGTCGAAAAGCGGTTACACGGCGACCATACGTCGGGCGTACGGTTGCTTTGCGTTTGCAATGCGGCTGCCTTTGGGTTTTTTAAATTGAAATTGACTTTTGCAGAATACAGACAATTGCGGTGGCCGCAGGAATTCCACGGGCGCCATAGGGCAGTCTTAAGGCGACTGTGCGTCATCACTTTAAAGGCCGTACGGCAGCCGCAGGTTTTCTGTCTCCACAAATTCAAAATACACCATGGGGCTACCCTAACATATGTGAACGCTACCGTATGTGACCGTGGGAATACTGCCATGGCCCTATAATTGCTATTAGCCGTAGATAGTTTAGACCGCACGGTCGCCGTGGCAAATGTGACCTAGGCATTAGGCCACTGCCTTTGAGAGACGGGATTTATCCAAAAAATTTTGCAAACTAAATTTGGGTTCGAAATCAATTGCAACACTGTAGATTAGACAGGCCATTTCAACTTTGTGATTAATTGGAGGATTTGCAACTCTTTAATAGGACGGGCCGAGACATGCTTACTTGCAAAATCCTTTTCCTAAACAGTTAGAAAAGGGGATAAGACTGATACTAGTTATAGCGTTAAACCATTCCCAAAATATTGTTTATCTGCATGTATGTTTTCTTTTACCTTTTTTACGGGACTGATAACGCAACTCTAGTATGTGTTATGTGACCTATTATTCATAGCTCTTGAAGTTTTTATTACAAATAAATTCACAATTTCAATCAGATTCAGATACAGTACCAACCTCATTAAGTATCTTTGGGGAATTTTGAATCATAAGCAAATTTTTACAATTTTGCTCTTAATTATAATACAGCAATCCTCGAGAAGATCATGAATGCCATAATGAGTCGTGAGCAGGCTGAGGTAAAGTACAAGGACCAGGAGGCAGCCCTAAGATCAGGGGATATAGTTGCCAAGCAACGTGCTTGCCAGGAGGATGAAGAACAGCTTGCCCTTATCAACCAGAAACTCAGTAAGTCCGTATATGCCTTTCAGAGTTAAATTCATTAGACCAGCTCGTAGCTAGTGCAGGTCTTCTGGAATTTCTAAGCATGCGAGGTAGAAGTGTCGTGGTGTAGCGGATTCGTCATCGAACTGTGGATCACATGGTCCGCGATTCGCGTTCCGCAGTAGCACTGGCGTCCTTTGGCAGTATGTTAATTAACATTTGGCACTCTCCACCCAGTTGTTAGATGGGTACCGGTAGGAAATTTTTCCTAGAATGCTGTGAGCACCCAAAACGGTAATCTAGCAGAGCCGGGGTATTATTAGAACGCCTTGAGCACCATGTGTGGTGGATATGTGTGCTATAAAAATATCCAATATTGTTAATATCATTATTTCATAAGTGACCAACAATTTTTATAGATTAAATTTTTCAATAGATCCAAATTGGCACTTTTTGAATAATCACATTGAAACTGATGGAGGCGATACATTACTACTGCACATGCTTGGAAATTCATGAACTGAGCGCACTAAGTATTTAGTTTACACTTAACTTTGGAAGTGGCAACAGTCAGTCGTCATTTTTTATCACATTGACGTAATTTACTGGAACCGAATTTCTCACCATTTAATGGGAAATTTTATTGGAAGTGTGTTAGCCGTGCATGTTTTGAGGAAGGTTTGTGGTCACACAGGTGAAACTTCAGGAATCAAGTTCCCAGATCTTTTTCCCAGCATGACCGCACCATCTCAAAGTATTTAAAACCCAATTTTGTCAATTTATGATCAATTTAGAACATGTAACTAAAACATTCAGTGAGCATTTTGCTGATCAGGGAATATACCTCGCTTTGCCAAGTGATTGTGTTGATCAGTTTACGTGGCTTATCCTTGGTTTAAAAACTTTGTGCTTATTGTTATAATATCTGTGTCTCTACCCCTTCTTCCTCGATCATAGATGAAGCTTCGGATGAAGCTTCAAGCACAGATCATTCTCCGATTCCAATGTCCATCGCATCTTCCAACTCAACAGGGCAGTCTAGTGCCAGAGGAATGAAGAGACAGGCAGCACCCTCTGTGCATGAGAGTCTTCCAACCAAACGAAGGAAACCCTAATGGCATGACCCCTCATTCAGCTGTGATGTGTGTGCTGCCTACACCCCCCCCCTCCACCATTCCACACTGCCAATATACGTCAATACCTATATGAAGAACACTAAATGTCATTTGTGTGCTCTCATATTATCTATAAGATTTTTGTACTGGAAACCCAAATCCTTGTAAGAATTTTGAGCATACCACTTAATTATAATAATGGCCATTTATAACTCGCCATATCTGTCAACTTGACACTCCTGGCGCAGGATATGAGAAAATGATGTTGTTACTACAGTACAGTCTTGGCATAAATTAAAAAAGAAGTACATTACAGTAACCCAAACAGAGTTAAGCGTTGAAAAAAAAAGGTTTTCAGTTGTGATTTGAAGTTGGTGAGGGAGCTTTCCTGCCAACGGCTAGGAAGGAGCGTGTTCTAAAGGTATGGCCCTGAAACAGAAAATGATTGGTGTCCCCAGGAACGCTGTGTTCGTGAAATGTGCGAGAGCCTGGTGTTGGTGGAGCGAAGTTGTCGTGCAGGTTGTTACGATGAGTGAATTTTTGGATGTATGTAACAATAACCTATGAACATGGTAAGAGAGGCAAACTTACAATATATACCCTGAGATCATTTCATAGATGTATCTGTTTGTAAATTTGATATTAATGTTTGTATATTGATAACTGCCATTAAAATGAATCGAATCGATATTTTTTAGATGTTGTCTGTATGGATCCACAAGGACGTTAACACAGTGTAAAGTGTATGCTCAAGTATATGAGCCATTGCCTTTGTGCATTTAAACAGTTGCTTTGTTTATATCTAACTTGTTATTCTTTGATATGTGTTTAAACTTTCTATATGTTTGCTTTTTAAAAATTATTATTGGTACTTGAGGGCCTCGTCGGTCAGATAGACTGAAATCCTGTTTTCCATATTACTTTCCATGCATGTATAAACTGGTCATTGTGTCTGCTGAGAGCTGGGAGGGCGTAATTTTATTTATTGCTCTCAGCAGAAGAAATATATCATGACAATTGACAAATGTATCATTATCTTGTGACCTGTATAGAAGGTTCACCTATCCACAAAGGCCGGTGATACTGAATCCTCAATCACTTGTGCAGTTGGCCACGTGTAAAGAGGCCTTCCGTTTGTTCCTTTCTTTCATAAATCGTAGTAATGTTGAGATGTACATGTAGCTGTCATTATTTACAATCTTTTCACCAGCAATATAATTATTTGTGTTTATATATACCTATCCTTTTTATGTTTAATGAAAGAATACTACCATACTGGGTTGCACTAACTTCTGGTACCTTCTGCAAACTTTGTATTTCTTTTTATTCATATTTCTTTTGGCAACATCTTTTTTTGTTGACATGTAGGAATGTTTTGATAGGCTGTAGAGCTATAATTCTCTTAGGAGTGGTAAAGAGATAAGGGCCTTTATGTCAGTAAGATAGTATTCGGCTGGAGCCAAAAGCGCATTAACTCGTATATTTAAAAAACCAGGCCTGTAGGATTGTCGGGAATTCCTTCATGATAGTATTATTATAGGTCTTCATCAACCCGGGAAAGGGTCATGTTAGGACTGATGGGATTTTAGTTCACAAAAATATGGGCATGGTTAACAGATGCTCGTCTTTTGTAATGAGCCTCAAACATTTTATTTGGATAGGCGCACTAATTTGGTCCGAATGTAGGATGCGATGCGGTCTTGGGCGGGGCACGTGTTGTGTACTGGTAGTATTTTTGGTGTGTAGGGCGTGTCACGTCACTTTGCAACTTTAAGTCGAGGTGCCTGCAACGTCAACGCTGGGCTCCACACCATATTCGTTGCTCATCATGTTGATGGTGTACTCTTGTTTCTGGTCACTGACCTGAGGTAAGCATCTTGTATATGTATATTGTATTAAATGATCCAGTAATTTTGTCGAGAAATGTTCTGTGTGATTGTATACATGTTTTTTTTATTTAGATATAACTCGATCATTCATAGTGATGTTACATTTTAGAGTTTGCTGGCATAAACTGAGGATATTTCTAGACCAAGTTGTTTCTGTTTGATAAAAGATTCGTGAGGTTTAAAGGTAAGACAAAGTGATTCTTTACAATTTTGATATATTTAGAAGCCCTTGTGCATGTATTTTCGCCACTAATTTTTTTTGTAGTCAAACGGGAACAGCCAATCGGTTGATTTTAGTCAAGAAACATTGTTTTATAGCTAAATTAATATCTTGACCTTGAGAGGAAGCTATACAACATAAAGAGTTTATTATTTTCAATTTCATCACTTTAGACTCGATTTTAACCGCGACAACGATCACTGAATATTGTAGGATCGCATATACTCCCAGTATAGTCATTAGAACCAAATTAATGACCACATACCAAAACTTTCTTTTGCAGTGTAAATGTATATTATTATGATGTTTAACACAGTAGTAAAAATGTATACCATGTTTATAATTTACTCGAGTTCAAAACTACTCAGAGCCTTGGTGTAATTATTTTGAGTACAAGAAATTACTCAGTCTTTAAGATGTGCACCTTGCTTGTAAAATTGCTTTCTTTTGTATAAAGCTTAGATAACATGAAATGCTTCAACATTTCAGAGTGCACTTATGAGATTACTTCAGTTCATAGCCAGAACTTTAGTACAACAAATTGTATTTTATTCGTGATCAAATGCTATTTAGATAATTGATTCTTGTTCAGATTTTTATTCAGATTAATTTTCATTCGGAACTTAAAAGATAATATATCTCTTTTGCAGCCAACATCAAATTCAATAGAACTTTGTAGGAATTATGAATATGTCAAGTTTGTCCTATCTGTGAAACATAAGCAGTGTCCTAGTATTCAAGTTATGCAAGGAAACCCGTTTACCTTCTAGACTTTACTATCAGACACTATTGAGTGACCGACTAAAAGCCATTTTCAAGCCCTTTTCTTTTGAGGGAAGTTCTAAATTAGTATTGTCTTTCAAATGCCGTTGGAATTTAACCTGTTAATTTTTTGGCCTGCAAATGGGGCATCTTTAAGGAATAGTATATATCCAGAGGGTAATGAGTGAATTTTAGTTAGAATAGGGATATAGATAATGACTGTTTATAGTCATGTAGAGATTGCCAGTGTTTTCATGAGCCCTGACAGTTGGAGGCATTTGATGGAATATATGCAAAGATGATGTATATTGAGTATTGTAAACTTGTCAGCAATTCTATACTGAATTAATTTACCTTCATTAAACATCCTAATTTCATAGTGGTATATCTTGTTATTCTGATATAACATATGTTTACACTGAACTATTATAAGCAACTGTCTTTTGCAGATATTGTATATGTGATTGACTTTTGTGAACATGTACTTAGTGATGTTTTATTCTTCATCCTTTGCAGGGTTTTGGGGTTTTGATTTTGTTTACGAATGGTGAATAAACTACTCTACAACGCACTACACCTTGTACGATTCCTTTATTGTGTCAGTCTAACTGCGACCTTCGTTCTTGCTCTCAGCTGGTGATATGAACAAGCAGAGCCAAAGACAGACAAATCAAGGAAGACGGTCTGTGCATGAACTTCATATATTGATTGATTCATTGATGTATATGTTTTATTGAGAACTAAGAAATCATATGCAGCCAAGCCTGTGTACTGAGGTCACCCAAGGCAAACAGAGGATGTGAATAGAATGTATTGAGGAAAAAATTGTTTTAATGTTTGAAGTTTCTGCATTTCCCAACATCCTCCTACCAATGAAATTAAAATACTAGTGAATGTGTGGTATTAAAAATTGTGTTCTTCTTTTTATTTAAAAAGAGTGCAATAATCTAAAGAATTGCTCTAATTCTGCGGCTGAAACTCCTTTCTTCAGCAGTTGGGATAAAGGTGTAAACAAATATTTGATTTGATTTGATTTGATTTTATTGGTTCCTCCATCTTTTTTTTTCTTTTTACATCATACATTTTCATGAACATAATATGGTTTGATACAATATTTTAAGTGTATATAATTTTATACAGATAATGAACAAATTTAAACAATTATATTGAATGCATAGTTAACATACATTAGATGCAGGAGGGCTACAGAAATAAGCAAAGTAGCTTGACGTGCCCGCAGCCCTCAACTTTAACAAAAATAACAAATACAAATAGAAAAGACTGACTTGCAGAGAAGAAAAGGAAAGGGGATAGAAGGAATTGTTTGTGCTATTTGATATCGGTACTTTTTGTAAGCAATGCATGATTTTGTCGAACATTTTTTTTTCGCATATCCCTCTAAGCCAGGTTGGTCCTTCAGCGAAATTCTTCACAAGGACGTTATCCTTTGCTTTGAACTATAGGGTTTGAAGGCCATCCCTCATCCCTGTACGCCTTTACGCGTGAGAGTGCAGAGTCTTTATTGGCGCACCTTCTTACTTCTTCAGTTTCCACTGGTGTCTACTTCCAGAATCTTAATTTTAACTTCGGGCTGCTCATCAAGTTCTGCAAGACTTGGGTGCAACCAAGTAGATGCATCCTCCTTCATAGGTAGGCGCGACAGAGCATCTGCATTCTGATGTTTTTTTCCTTTCTTTTGGAAGATGTTGTAATTGTAAATAGAAAGAAACATATGCCATCATGCTAATCGTGATGAGGCCATTGGGCTTGCCTGCTCCACAATAAATATTTCTACCGATGGCTTAATATGGTCCGTGAATATGGCGAATGACCTTCCAGAGAAGTACTTGTGGATCTGTTTAGGCCAAATATGATTGACAGTCTTTTTTTCATACTGGGCATAGTTGCGTTCTGTTTTAAAATTCTGACAGGAGCGATTTCATGGCAAAGTAATTTTCAAAAATGTAATGTGTTTTTGATTTGTTACTGAAACAAACTTTATTTTAGACTCTGTAATACCTCAATAATACGATATATTTATTACTTTGTCATGGAAAGATGTACGCGTCTAGCACAGCCTCATGCAGTCTGGTCATGAATACAATAAAACAGCCTCTAAACGGTCAAAATTTCCTCGTTATTATATATATTTATTTCAATGTACATTTGTGTGCGTATGTTTTCTTGTGTGGATGTTTCCACAAACCCGTGTTAGTATGTGTACACAGAAGGGATCCAGGGGGGCCGAGCGTGCCTTGCCCCCCCCCCCCCCCCGCAAAAAAGAGAGAGAGTGAGAGAGAAGGAAAAGAAGGGAAAGAAGAGAGCAGGGAAAGAAGAGGAAGAAGAAAAGAAAAGGGGAAAAGGGAGATCGGGGGGGGGGGGGGCGAAAGGGCCTTGCCTCCCAGCTGTTACCCCCCCCCCCCCATCAAAAAATAAGAGAGTAGGAAGGGAAGAGAAAGAAAAAATGAAAAGAGGAGAGAAAGGGAAGGAAAAAAAACGGAAGAAGAAGGGGGATATCAGTTACGATTTTCCCGCGAACAAGGTGTAGAACGGGGAGGGGGGGTGGGCTTGGGGGTGACAAATGCCCCATAAATATCATCCAAACGTGGTTTATTTCTAATTCGATACCCGTTATTTACAAATGTTGTTGAAATGACATAATTTTCCGAGATTTTTCATCAATGTTTAATTAATTATACTTTTTTAAAGTATTTGTTGGAAAGTGGCAAATTATTAAAGGAAAGAAAGAATAGTAACCTAAAAGTGCGACAAACGGAAAGTTCTGCTTCTCCATCTTTTAAAATATTTTTAACACACCCTTTTGGCCATACCGGTGGGGGGGGGGGGGGGGGCTTTGGACGAACGGTAGCGTTCAAGTTAACGCGACGCGACGCGACACTCCCAACGCACCCTTTCGGCCAAACCGGGGGGGGGGGGGGGAGCTTTGGACGAATGGTCGCGTTCAAGTCAACCCGACGCGACGCTACCCTATCCATCCTTTTGGCATAAGCCGGGTAATTCTTACTAATGGCAATGCCCTCACTGCTGTTTATTATTTGTATATTACTACACTTGAATACGGTCTATTTCTAGACCTGGTTTAAACTTCTGTAGGCCTACATGGGTGGTAACACAATATACTAGTTTTAAAGCAAAGACAAGTCTTTACACACCAATACTACTATGCAACTGTAGGCCTATCAACCAGACTACTACACTAAATAATCATTGGTCTATCAACATCTAGATCTAGATCTACAGCTTCAATAAAATCATACATTTTCTAATAACAACTTGATCACGGTATTCACTTGTCAATATCAAACAGTACAGTAACTGTTCCTTGGAAATATCGATCTAGACCAAATGCATTAGTTGGTTCCTGGTCCTAATTAATGTGGACTAATTGTTTAATAGGTCCTGGTCCTAATGTAAGTGGACTAATTTTTCAAACAGTTCCTGGTCCTAATAACGGTAGACCAAATTGCTACAATAATAAGTCTAGGCCTAATTAATTGCAACGGGTTATAAGTATAGCCTGAGGCTGAGATCTATTCGGATCACGAGCGATAAAGTTAAAGGTTTGAAACTCAATTTGGTAATAAAAACATTGACCAAATTTGGATGAGCGCGCAATGCACGTAGACTGCACAGGGATGCATTTAATCTCTACAAGTGTATGGGAAGGATTTTAGCACATAAAACCGAGTGCGCCATCAGACACCTCGAAACTACACACTATCTGGCTACAAAGTCTCGATTTCTCTAATGAATAACGGCAAAATCTCATAATCATATTCACGTAAAGATTTACTTACCAGTTGAACTTGAAGTTCCACAAAGGTTGTTTTTAATACCTGTGAGACTTTCACCTAGATCTACTCGTTGCCAGGCGTCATCAGACTGACGTTTTTTCACAGTCCGAGAGAATCGGGATGTTCACTGACTGCACTGGCCCTAGTCCAACCTCTGTACAGTACCCTTTCCGTGTCGCGCGCCCAATTTCAATCACCCGATAAAATGACACACCCTTGAAAGTGGGGCGCTTGTTCAGTAAGCAGTAAGGAGACCCTACTAAAACATACCAAAAATTAAGTAAATATTCATTAAATATCCAAATAAAGATCATGAGTTAAAAGTCGTTATGTTTATTACCTGTTTCGTGTCAATTTTCTTGTTATTTTTGAGTATTTTTCAAATATATCGATGGTGGGTTGCGGGCGGGCGCGCGCCTGTGGGAAGTTATTTACCGTCATGTCTCGGATCCTCATTTAATACGGTAGATAACTTCAGACTGGCGCGCGCGCGCGCCCGCTGCGCAACCCACCATCGACATGCACATGTATTGTGCAGCGGTTTGCCGTGAAACCTGTGAAAAGTGTATACTAATATCATCGTTTTTTCGAAAAATACTAAAAAAAAAAAAAAAAATTTGACACGAAACAGGTAATAAACAACGACTTTTAACTCATGGTCTTTATTTGGACATTAAATGAATATTTACCTTATTTTGGGTATGTTTTAGTATGGTATCTCCACGCCGGAGTTACGGGTCATATTTTGGATACCTTATTGAACAAGCGCCGAAAGTAGACCCGACCATTCATTCCTCATATGCCACCCTGCCAAACTTGCACGAATTTTTGTTCCCGCATTGCCCCACATTGAGGCGTGCCAGTGCGTGACATTAGGGATTTTTAGATTTGCACGTCGACAGCTTTGACTGCAACGTGTGACGTCATTTTAAGGCACTGCGCATGCGTCACGTCGTCTCAGTCGGCGATCGAGAATGCGTCAACCTTGATTTTGCTAAATCTAGTACGGTACTAGTATGTGCCGCGTGCGCATAAAATATACAGTTCCTCAGGTAGACAAAGTCACAAAGGAACATCCTTTCCCTGCTATTATGTAAAAATGTGTAGACATCCCAGTTTAGCTGTATGATAGCTGCCATCGGGATTATCTCTACAAGTAACAAGTAACAGGTGTCACATGCATATTCGCCTGTTCTAAACATTTTTACATAATAGCAGTGAAGGGATGTTCTACCACAGCAATAGACCATTTTCGTAATGTAACCAAATTTGATGCATAAGTCTTTGTAAAGTGCCTCAATTCAAATTATTTTAGTCCGTCATGTTCAAAGTGTTACTTCCTGCATGCATGTATATCGCCCAGTGCAATCTAAAAGATTTCTAATTGTAGTCAACATGGGCAGTTGAGTACGTTGACACGCATGATCAGTCGGCGTTCGTCGTGTTCTCGTCCACTCAATCTAAAAGTCCCTATTTAGTTGCACGAAGACCGTGTATCGTTCGTGCAATGCTTAACAACATGCCATGCATTGTCCCGTCACATTTACGACATACGTACGTCTTACTAACGCCATATTTACGTATTGTTCATGCATTGTCACGAGATTTTTTTCCCTCTATATTTTTCCCTCCACAGGGTTTTTATTAATTTTCATTTGCAACAAATTAACAAATATATATTCAAGGTAATTAACATGTATAACATAAATAAAATTGGCTTCTCAAGATACAAGTATTGTTAAACTGTTGAGTCAACAGAAAAATAACAAATTTTCAATAATTCTTTTCTGACACTCATGGAAAAAAAAAATACAGAGAAATATCATTTTATGTAAACAAATTCCTGAACTGAAACCATAAGCCCACATCAAGGGTAAAATTAAATCCAATAGGACAATTATGTTTCCCAACTCTTTTCATTCAGGTCGAAAATGCATTTCCATTTAAGAAAACTTTTACATACTCCTTTCCTTCTCTTTAGTAAAGTTACATAGATATGTGCACGTCCTTTAATATGTTTCATAACAAATGTCATCGTATCTGGGAAAAGGGGTTGGGGCACCTTGTTAAAAATAGTACAATTGTTAAACCATTGTGTAATTGCATCGCGTAATCCACGATAAAAAGGAAGAATTATTTGAATAATATACTTTTCTTGGAAAGGGTCCACCAAAGTGTATGATAGAGGCATAAGGCATAATCTTTTTACTACAATAACAAGAAGGCAAATTGCATAACTAAGTTAGTGCTCTTCTCAGTCTTCAGGGGTGAAGATTTCTAAAAGATCAAATAGATTTGTCAACTGCTTTATTTCAGTATTTTTTAACGAATTAGCAACAATTGTTCCCCTGTTATACATTTTTCACCAATCATAATTTCTATCATTCTCACATATTTTTTTTTTTTTAAATTGAAAAGTAAAGATTTTGTCATTGATTTTGAAAGTCTTTCCAACTAAAGATTTGTGCATGATACGGTGAAAAATAATAAAATGCCGAAATACATTAAGGATATCGTGTGCTATCGAACGATTAACGTTCATGCTAGGTATGCGACTACCTCTCCTCTGTACATTGAAAACCCCAGAGCCGAGTACTTCAAATGAAAAGATCTTTCTGTTACCAAGGCTCCGTTATATGGAATGCATTACCCCCTTCTTTATGTTTATTAGACTCACTGGATTCATTAAAAAACACCACAAACTCCTTTTCCTCACATAGTTTATAATTTATTTCATAAATATTTTTTTAATTTATGTGCTCATTATAAGTTATGTATGTTTATGTTTATATGTTATGTAAATATGTTTTTGATCATGTTGATACAGGGCCCCTTGGTAGACCATTTTATTTTATAACTGAAAGGGCTACCCTGTCAAAAGAAAACGACACATTAATAAAATAAATGAATACATGTACAACTTCACCTGATACGTCACATTTTCCAGAAAATGGCTTCGCAAGGTCATGCTAATATGCATCACGTCATGCCAAGAATATTTTTATTTTTTATATATCTTGTACATTTTCGTAGGAAATATTGTTTATCAAAGGGCAGGAATACATCTCATTTTTCAGAATACCTACACTTATACCTCGAGGTGAGGTTTCCTTTAACACCAAGTCTCTAGCTCAAATCGCGCATACGTGCAAGCAATACTCATTACAATGATGTCATAACACGTCTCGATCGACACATAACACTCATATACTTCAAGTACATTTAGAATTAACACCCTTCTTGCTCTGAAACGATGATATGTCTGCTTGGAGCCAGAAGTTTGATAGCTGATACCATCTTATACATAGCCCTTCTTGCTCTGAGCTGGTGATATGAACAAGCAGAGTCAAAGAGCCAATTACCCCCTAGAACAACTACTCCAGACAACTACCCGCTAGGACACTTCCCCCGTACATTAACCCCTAGGATAGTTGTCCGGGGGTAGTTGTCCTAGCGGATGGTTGTCGTAGGGGGTAGTTGTTTTGGGGAAGTTGTCCGGGTGGTAGTTGTCCGAGGGTAGTTGTCCTAGTGGGTAGTTGTCCGGGGGATATTGTCCTAGGGCGTAGTTTATTGGGGGTAGTTGTCCCAGGGGGTAGTCGTCCTAGAGGGTAGTTGACTTGAGGTGGTTATCCGGGGGAGGATGTCAAGGGGGCAGATCACAGATGCCTGCGTTTAGATCCAAAAGGTAAAGTACACTGTCGCTCATATAGTTGGAATATTTTTGTTTTACCCCAATTTATGGAATTATTTAAAAAATAATTAAAAAATAGTAGATCTAGACAATAGTATACATTCTCAGATTTTATTGAATAATAATTTGCCAATGTATGTTTTGCGTGACTACTAAAGCATATGTATGCTACTATGCTTATCAACTAGGGGACCTACGCCCTTAGGTCATAAATGACAGTAATGAGGATTAATGCCCCACAAAAGGGCACTAATATAGCACATCGACACGGTTTGATCCTGGGGCCTCACAGTGGCGAGGCCATTGCTTTGTCACTGAACCATGACTGTACGCAGCGGGGGCTAGGGTAGGGTACAGTTTCCATAAATTAAAAAGAAAACAGAAAATGCAATAAATTTTCAATAATTTATTGCATTTTACCCCGGTTCCCAACATAAAAAAATCCTCTGTGTGCCCATGCCTTAAGCCATAATGCACGGCCGTCCAGAGGTATAGTTTGAAGAAATGGGACTTTTCTCGATAATTTCAAAAAAATATATTTGCCGCCGCATGCAGTATAGTGTCATTGACAACTGATTGGCTAGTTTGGTAGTGACGTCAGCAGATCCAGCGATTGAAAATGAGACTACCGGAGCTATATGAAACATCTCCGGACAATTACAGCCGAGGACAAATACGGCCAGGAATGTTGCCACGTGGTCTCCTCCCACGGGCAACTAACCTCGGTCACTGTTACCACCAAGAACAACTACCCTCAGAACAATTACCCCAAAGACAATCACACAATATTCCCACTGGGAAAAATGTTCCCTAGTAGAGCTGGTAGCTAGCTACATGTATCATCCCCGTAAAGACTAGGGGTTCGGGGGTTCGCGCGATAAAGTGGATTTTTTTTTTGCTCAAGAGGGGGGGGGGGGGGGGGGAGTGTTGATTAAAAATAAAATGGTCCTTCATAACCCCCCCCCCCCCCCCCCCCCCCCCCGTTGAGCAAAAACAAAATGGTGCTCACTAAGATTCAAAAATATTAATTCAACTTCTTTTCAGTGATTTCTTTGAAGTACACGTGATTTTCTCCAAAGAAAATTCACCGAAAAGAAGTTGACTTGATATTTGTGAAAATAAGTTTATTTCATCTTTTACACCTAGGATATTCAATATACAACACTAGCCTATTACACTCCCTTCTCCTCGGGCATATGTAGAAGTAGGCGGGCATCATGCATATTCATGACCTCCTTGTAGATGTGCCCAATTAGAGGCTACCGAGAAAGACAAGGGCTGTCTCCGGTTTAGCGTTGAGGGTGTGTTATTTTCTCAGCTAACAACCGAGTTCGTAAATAGCACTGGAACGCATGACCCCTAAATATCCACAAATCTTTTACACTATGGATCCGTCCCACTTGTGCATTTTAGAATTATTACTGCCAAAGTGATGGAGGTGCTTCATGAATACCTTTTTGTTTGCCTCTTGAGAAGAATACTTCCACCTGTGTATCAGATAAATGTACTGTTAATGCATAAATGAATACTGATAACATAACTTTCATGAGCGCGATCCGAGTATTACAATTTGGGTACGAATGACCTTTATCTGCCCATGCGCAAATCTAATTACGAACTCGCATAATACTGTTTTCACACTGGCACTATTTTGCTTAACCCCGTATTGGGCGCGCGACACGAAAACAGTCCAGACATGCAGTGGAGTAGTATATATAGAGAGAGCGAGAGATCAATATTGCTTAATATTATATCGCTATAATTTGCGAAGAACAACTTGACGACGACCATGGCAGGCTCAACGGTGTACGTTTTCGACCGTCGCAAAGGCTCTAAACCAGAAAAGGAAATCACTCTCGATGATGTCTTCAGTTTTGCTGATTTTAAAGAGCTAATCAAGAAAGTAAGCACGTCAACAAGTAACATGTATTTAAACCTTTATGTGTATACGTATAATGATATTCAGTGGTTGTTTTTTAAAGCCTATAAATTGATATGACGAAACAGCTCACAAATATCAATTGTAGGCTAAAACTGATTCGGCCTTAAAACTTTTTTTGTTATCGAAATCAATTTTAGGTCATGAAACACCCTTTGGAAATGTTTGGTCGATGTGTGTTTGTTGTGTGTTTGTGTGTGTGTGTTTGTGGATGTTCACGTTCGCTGCGCTGATTTCTACTCTCATATTCAACTGCAAGAGCAAAATAAATAACAATATATCCGTTTAATATCCGTTCGGAACTAACTACTCGGAATCATAAGTTCTGTACAAATATTTTCAAATATTTACGATAAAGTAGAAGTCAGTCGTATGGGTTTAATCAAAGCTAATTCAAATAAAAGGTTTATCGAAATGCTACATATTTTTGAATGAATCATAATATTGTCTCCTTTTATTTGGAAGATCATACGGCCGTCTCTAATTTATGTAATTCCTTTCTTTTCTGTATCCACTTTTTCGGGGTCAGAGATAGAGAAATATTTGAGAAGTAATCCATATTTCTCAGCATTTCCAATGCAGTCTGATATGCCTACATGACAACATGATACGGGGGAGAAGATTGAGTGAGAAAAAGGCAAAGGTGGGAGGGGGGGGGGAGAAGAGAAAAAAAAGTAGATGCAGTCATAATAAAGTATTTTAGATATTCCCCTTTATCGCAGTACTCGAATTTTCACCATTGATTTTTTGATACAAAGTAATGACTATCTTTTCTTAAACATTATATAATCATAAATAATACATGTATAGCTCTCGTTAACATGGTGAAAATCTAGAACTACCCCACGTAATAAGCTTGGATGGCACTGTTGCTAATAAATATAGTCTGCTTAATCTTACAACCGCACAACAGTTCATTTCCCCGTTTATTTGATTTGATTTTATTTGATTTTATTTGATTTTATTTGATTAGATTTATTGGTTTCTGCATCTTTTTTCTTTTTTGTTTCATCATACATTTTCATGAACATAATATGGTTTGATACAATATTTTAAGTTTATATAATTTTATACAGATAATAAACGAAATTAAACAAATATATTGAATGCATAATTAACATACATTAGATGCAGGAGGGCTACATAAATAACCAAAGTAGCTTGACGTGCCCGCAGCCCTCAACTTAGATACAACATGGATAGGAAATTACTTCAAATATTATAGTATTAATGACTGCTTTGAGAGAAATAGTTGTTTTTATACGCTCAAGGGAAGGTTACAATTGTGCTATTGCCCGAGGCGTGCCGAGGGCACTAGCCCAATTGTAACCTTCCCGAGAGCGTATAAAAACAATTATTTCTCGAATATTAAAGCAGTCTTTAATACTTTTATATGCCGAAAGAAAAGTCAACTTATGACACCACCTTGGCCTTTCTCTAGTTTATCTGCACGGTTGTTTTTTTATGAGTGTATCTTTGAGAGTATAGACTAGATCTAGATACTAGTCTCAGGAAGATATTTTTACAATTTTGGGGGTGGGCCGGCCCTGTGGGGAATATGGAGAAAAAACTGCGCTTTCATATGACACCTCACTTATTGAGTATCACCTTCAGGATCACAACAGATAAAGGTTTGAATCTCGAATTGAAAAAAAAAACTTGACTTTTTTTGCATGGTCGCGCAATGCACGTAGACTGCATAGAGACTGCATTGCGTGCAATCTCTATGGGAAGAATTTTAGCACACAACATCGGGTGAGCGATCAGACACCCTAGACTACTACTATATCTATTTTCGTCTACGTCTATGCTGGTACTCGTCATAAGCATTTTCAGCAACTAAACGAACATGTACTTTATGGATAATTTCACGTACCCTTTTTGTTGTTCTTGCTGTCAGCGAGTCTGGCATTTGATAAATTGAAATCTTGGGAGAGTTTCTTCAGCCATTTTTGTCTTGTTTGGAATTGTCTTGTCTTGTATGAAAATACCGACCAATTCTTCGCACACGTACGGTATCCTCGATCGCTCAAACCATTTTTTAACATGTGAACCTATGGGTATTTCACCAAGACTGAACTATTTTCCCAGTAACCATGGTAACTGGGATTTTAGAACTATTTTTTTGAACTATTACATGGGTTTGGAATTTTACCGGGAATTTTACAGGAGTAGTTAAAGTTTATGAATGCAATTTCGACCAATCAGATGGCTCGATTTCTTAAGGGAGGTATATAAAACAGTACATTTTTTAAAATATAAATCGATTATTCATTTGTAAGCAAGCGTCGGCATTTTAAGTGAGAAATAGGGCTGGGACAAACAACCGATCGTGATTCACATCAAGAGGTAGATCCCTAACTAATGTAATGAGAAAACAATTGTTTGAAAAAATTGTTTGAAACAGTAATGAAGCAAATTGAAAAAAAGAATATATATCCTTAAAGTTTATATGTAAGACGTGTGTGTTTATGAGTACACATGTAGATTTATATGCATATATATATAAACATTTGTGTGTGTGAGATATAGGCCTATTATAGAGAGAGAGAGAGAAAATATTGTATATTGTTTTACACATTTCTAAAACTCGAAAAACTTCAAAAACTCGCTCATGATGCACGTCGTCTGAAATATTACAAACAAGTATCCAAATGTGTGTATATAGTTGTGTATGTTATGTGTGTGTGTGTGTTAGTGCGTACGCATGTGTATTTTATTTAATTGTATGTTATGGTTTGTATTGCACATTTGGAGAAATAAAACAAAATTGTTAAAAAAAAAAAAGTATTTGTATTTTCCCCGGCTGATATGCCTGAAAGATAACATGACACGAGCGGGGCAGTGTGTGGGAGAGAAAGGGAAAGAGAGAGAGATAGAGAGAGAGAGAGAGAGATAATATATATTATTTTTACCCATCTTCTATCTCACTGCTGCAAGGTAGACTACGACGCCTACGCATGTGGAAATCCCCAGTTTTCTTGAAATACATACACGTCGTCTGAAATAGGACAATCAAGGTGCCCAAATCATTGTTGAGGTAGCGAGTTTCATTATCACCCAAAATGAACATGTAACCGTACTGTGCCCCAAGACCATAAAAATGGTTTACGTTTTGTAGTTTGAAAACAAAAATCAATTAATTCATAGAGATAGAGAGAGAGAGAGAGATAATATATATTATTTTTACCCATCTTCTATCTCACTGCTGCAAGGTAGACTACGACGCCTACGCATGTGGAAATCCCCAGTTTTCTTGAAATACATACACGTCGTCTGAAATAGGACAATCAAGGTGCCCAAATCATTGTTGAGGTAGCGAGTTTCATTATCACCCAAAATGAACATGTAACCATACTGTGTCCCAAGACCATAAGACCGTTAAAAAAAAAAATCATGTTTAGCGTCCGCGCCTGATTTCTTAAAAAAAAAATTAAATTAATTTGTTTTTTTGTAAAGAAATAACACATGAAAAACATACTGCTAAAATGATCTATTTCTGATTTTGAAAAAAAATTCCGGCGGCCATCTTAACAAATAGCCCGACTGTCAGGGAAAATGTACCGAGCGGCCATTTTGAAGAAAGAAAAAGAAGAAGGAAAAAAAGGCCTCCTCCTTCCTATTTTTCAAAAAGGCAGGACGCTAAACGTGTTTTTTTAATTTCCTGAAGATGGCAACGGTTTACGTTTTGTAGTTTGAAGAAGAAAAAAATCAATTACTTCAGAGACTGTGATTTCAAACTTGAACTCGCTAGATAGTGGTGTATATATATTTATATATATATATATACGTATGTGATTGTGAGTACGCATGTCTATTTGTATTTTCCCCGGTTGATATGCCTGAAAGATAACATCACACGAGGGGGAAGTGTGTGAGAGATAAGGGGACGGAGAGCGAGAGAGAGAGAGAATGAGAGAGAGAGAGAGAGAGAGATAATATCATTTTACACATCTTCTAATTCCACAACGCCTATGCATGTAGAAATCCCCAGTTTTTCTTGAAATACATACACGTCGTTTGAAATAGAACAATCAAGGTGCCCAAATCATTGTTGTCGACGAAGCGAGTTTCAATATCACCCAAAGTAAACATGTAACCGTACTGTGCCCCAAGACCATAAAAATGGTTTACGTTTTGTAGTTTGAAAACAAAAATCAATCAATTCATAGACTGTGATTTCGAACTTGATCTTGCTATACAGTAATGTGTGTATGTATGTGTGTGTTTGTGAGTACACATGTCTATTTGTATTTTTCCAGGCGAATATGCCTGAAAGATTACATCACACGAGGGGGTGTGTGAAAGAGAAAGGGACAGAGTGAGAGAGAGAGAGAAAGAGAGAGAAAGAGAAAGAGAGAGAGATATAATATATATTATTTAACACATCTTCTAACTCCCTGCTGCGAGGTAGACTACGACATCTACGAGGGGGGAGTGTGTGAGAGAGAAAGGGACACAGAGAGAGAGAGAGATAATATCAGTTTACACATCTTCTAATTCCACAACGCCTATGCATGTGGAAATCCCCAGTTTTCTTGAAATACATACACGTCGTTTGAAATAGAACAATCAAGGTGCCCAAATCATTGTTCACGTATCGAGTTTCAATATCACCCAAAGTGAGCATGTAACCGTACTTTGCCCCGAGACCATATTAGGATGGCAACGGATAACGTTTTATAGTTTGAAAAAAAAAATCAATTAATTTAGAGACTGTGATTTCAAACTCGAACTTGCTAGATAGTGGTGTATATAAATATATATATATACGTATGTGATTGTGAGTACGCATGTCTATTTGTATTTTCCCCGGTTGATATGCCTGAAAGATAACATCACACGAGGGGGGAGTGTGTGAGAGAGAAAGTGACAGAGAGAGAGACAGAGAGAGATAGAGAGAATGAGAGAGAGAGAGAGAGAGAGAGATAATATCAGTTTACACATCTTCTAATTCCACAACGCCTTTGCATGTGGAAATCCCCAGTTTTCTTGAAATACATACACGTCGTTTGAAATAGAACAATCAAGGTGCCCAAATCATTGTTGTCGACGTAGCGAGTTTCAATATCACCCAAAGTAAACATGTAACCGTACTGTGCCCCAAGACCATAACTATTGCAACGGTTTACGTTTTGTAGTTTGAAAACAAAAATCAATTAATTCAGAGACTGTGATTTCGAACTTGATCTTGCTATACAGTAATGTGTGTATGTATGTGTGTGTGTTAGTGCGTACACATGTCTATTTGTATTTTTCCCGGCTGATATGCCTATAGATAACATTACACGAGCGGGGAGTGTGCGGGAGAGAAAGGGAAAGAGAGAGAGAGAGAAATAGAGAGAGAGAGATAATATATATTATTTTACACATCTTCTATCTCACTGCTGCAAGGTAGACTACGACGCATGTGGAAATTCCCAGTTTTCTTATACCCGTCGTCTGAAATAGAACAATCAAGGTGTCCAAATCATTGTTGAGGTAGCGAGTTTCATTATCACCCAAAGTGAACTTGTAACCATACTGTGCCCAAAGACCACATGGCCGTTAAAAAAATGATGTTTAGCGTCCGCGCCCGCTTCCTTTAAAAAAAAAAAAAAATTAAATTAAAATTTTAAAAAAATCTGTTTTTTGGTTGTATTTTTGAGAAAAAAAATAACACATGAAAAACATACTGCTAAAATGATCTAGGCCTATTTCTCATTTGGGAAAAAAAAAATTCCGGTGGCCATTTAAAAAAATAGCCCGACTGTCAGGGAAAATGTACCGAGCGGCCATTTTTGAAAGAAAAAAAGAAAAAAAAGGGCCTCCTCTTTCCTATTTTTCAAAAAGGCAGGACGCTAAACATCTTATTTTTTAATGACCTAAAGGTAGCGTTTTTTTACGTTTTTTAGTTTGAAAACAAAATCAATTAATTCAGAGACTCTGATTTCGAACTTGAACTTGCTATAAAGTAATGTGTGTGTGTGTGTGTGTGTTTGTGAGTACACATGTCTGTTTGTATTTTTCCCGGCTGATATGCCTATAAGATAACGTAACACGAACGGGGAGTGTGTGAGAGGGTTGACTACGACGCCTACGCATGTGGAAATCCCCAGTTTTCTTGAAATACATAGGTCTACACGTCGTCTGAAATAGAACAATCAAGGTGCCAAAATCATTGTTAAGGTAGCGAGTTTCAATATCACCTAAGGTGAACATGTAACCGTACTGTGCCCGAAGACCATAAGGATGGCAAAGGTTTACGCTTTGTAGTTTGAAAAAAAAAAATCAATTTATTTAGAGACTGTGATTTCAAACTTGAACTTGCTATATAGTGGCGGATATGTATGTGTGTTTTTGTGAGTACAAATGTTTGTTTGTATTTTTTCCCGGCTGATATGCCTAAAAGATAACATGACACGAGGGGGGAGTGTGTGAGAGAGAAAGGGACTGAGAGAGTGAGAGAGAGAAAGAGAGAGAGACAGAGATAATATTTTTTTACACAACTTCTAACTCCCTGCTGCAAGGTTGACTACGACGCCTACGTAGTCTGCAAGCACAGACCCTAATTTGACACTTCATCAAAAAATCATTGTGCCTTGAGAGAAGCCTAGCCCAGTTACCTACTGGTTGTGTCAGGAGCAGCTACAGTACATGGCCTATGGTAGTCTTATAGTACAGACTCTCTTTTACGATTGACCAGGGTTTGTGCTTGCAGACTCACGCCTACGCATGTGGAAATCCCCAGTTTTCTTGAAATACATACACGTCGTCTAAAGTAGAACAATTAAGGTGCCCAAATCATTGTTGACGTAGCGAGTTTTAATAAAGACTTTTAGATTAAGAGGACGAGAACGGCAGGAACGTCCACTGATCATGCGTGTTTATGGCAAGCCGTTTTTACATTTACTCGTATTTCTAGATATCAAGAATTAACTTCTTCATATCCAGAAATAGGAATAAATGTTGAAACGGCTTGCCATAGACACGCATGATCAGTGGACGTTCCGCCGTTCTCGTCCACTCAATCTAAAAGGCCCTTCTATCACCCAAAGTGAATATGTAACCGTACTGAGCCCGAAGACCATAAAGATGGCAACGGTTTACGTTTTGTGATATGAAAAAAATCAATTAATTCAGAGACTGTGATTTCAAAGTTGAACTTGCTATAGTGGTGTATATGTATGTGTGTGTTTGTGAGTACAAATGTATATTTTTATTTTTCCCGGCTGATATGCCTGAAAGATAACATGACACGAGAGAGAGAGAGAAGAAGAGAGAGAGAGAGAGAGAGATAATATATATTATTTTATACATCTTCTGACTCCCTGCTGCGAGGTAGACTACGACACCTACGCATGTGGAAATACCCAGTTTACTTGAAATACAAAGTCATACACGTCGTCTGAAATAGAACTATAGCGAGTTTCAGTAGAGCGATTTCGCAAAGACGACGGGAGAATTACAGCGATACAGCTCTTCCGTCGCGTTTAGGGAACGAACGCTATCATGGCCACGTACAATCGTGAACATGAACAGGCTGAGAAAATTCTGGTTCGCGCATGCACAGAATGTTTTTTCGCTCGCGTTACCGTCGTCTTTGCCTTCCGCCGTGTTTGCAAAAGCGCTCTAATATCACCCAAAGTGAACATGTAAAGCTATGGTCACATTAACCCCAAAAAGTAGCGTTCTCGGCGGCCGGGCGGCGAGGTTTTAGCAAATTTGACGGGCGTCAACCGGCGGCCGCCCGGGCACCGCTTTTTCTTAGGGAATCGCTCGGTCGTCGCTAAAGTTTTAGCGAGGAGTTAAAATTCGGGAGGCACCTGCTTACTTTTCATTCGCCGCCCAAGATTTTTGACCTAAATCGCTCGATGAAAACGCACATGAACGCGTAGAATTTGAATTTTTTTGTCTGGCCTTGAAGCTATTCCTATTCTCATACGTCTCAAAAAGACGAAATCAATATTACTTCTTAATTGGTATCTGCCTCCAAACTCAAAATCTGATCTTTTATATTATTATGAAAAGTTTTTGGAATTCACAAAAATTCTTGACTGTCAACGTTTTATCATGGGGGACATTAATAATAATAATAATAATAGTGGCTACTTGTATAGCGCACAGGTCCACCTTTCGGTGCTCATGGCGCTTAGAAAAGAGTACATGTAACAGGCATAAGAAAGAAAAAACAATAAACCGAAAAACAAATTCGGAATTCTCCTAGACATAGTAAATTAAAATATTGCAATAATTACAACGAAAGAAACAAATAGGTTTTTAGTTGTAATTTGAATGTTTCTGTCGATGACAGTTGACGTAATTTTAGGGGGAGCTTATTCCACAGTTTTGGACCCATGGCTGAGAAAGCCCGTTCACCCCAAGCATGTTTTATTCTGGGTGTATTAAGTAATAGTGTGTCTGATGAGGAGCGAAGACTTCGTGTGGGGTTGTATTTTGAAACAGAGTTGCTCAGGTATGCAGGGGAAGAAAGAGAGTAAACTGAATGATGTACAAGTAACATAATTTTAAAAATAATCCTTTTTTCAACTGGCAACCAATGGAGAGAACGGAGAATTGGTGATATGGAATCAGATTTCTTAGTGAATGTTAATAGGCGGGCTGCAGAATTTTGAAGTCGTTGCAGTTTTGTGACATCTTTTTTTGGAAGGTTACAGAACAATGAATTTGCAAAATCTAAACGAGAAGAAATTAAAGCATGAATTAAGATCTCAGCCGCAGGTTTAGATAAACACTTTCTTATGAAACTTAGATTACGTAATTGGTACCTTACACTCTGTTGAATATGTGTTATGTGACTACGAAAGGACATTTCCTGATCAAATATTACACCCAAATTACGAGCTGTTTTTGATGGAGTGATACACGTTTTTCCAATATGGAGATGACACGATTGATAGTCAACCTTCCCTAACATGTGCTTGGAACCTAATAATAAAAACACAGATTTATCATCATTTAGCTTAAGGCCATTAGATACTAACCAGGATTTCAGTTCTTCTAGACATTTTGCAAGTTTTGAAACGGCTGAGGACAGTGAAGACATTGTAGGTTTAAAAGAAAGATAAATTTGGATGTCATCTGCGTAGCAATGGTAACTAATACAATGTTTGTGAAATATCTTGCTGATTGGTTGCATATAGAGAGAAAAGAGCAGTGGTCCTCCTACCGAACCTTGGGGTACACCATACTTCATAGTAGTTTTACTAGAGGTAGAATTATCAATTTTTACATACTGAGATCGTTCAGAGAGATATGATATAAACCAATTAAGGGCGGTACCCTTGATACCTAATGATTTCAGCCTTCGAGTCAGGATAGAGTAATCTACTGTATCGAAAGCTGAGCTCATATCTAACATAACAAGAGCAGTAATATTACCGCAATCCAGTTCTCTAAAAATAGTATCAGTTAAGTTGACAAGTAATGTTTCCACACTATGACCAGGCCTGTAGGCAGATTGACATGGGTCAAACAATTCATTATCTGACATTCCATTTTTTATTCCATTGTTATACATAGTTTTCATCAAAGATTTAACCTCAGTTTTTCATTCATGCAAACTTCATTATTTTGTACGCAGATGACACCGTTATTTCCTTTCCCTATGGTGTTGTACGGATTCAGGGCATTTTAATCTTGAATTATCTTTTCATTCCATTTGTAATTATAGGAGTTTGGAATTCCATATGATGGAGAGTTTGTCATTGCTACCACCAACAGAGATGAGATTAATACAGATGAGACTTATGGTAAGCTGTTTCACACAATCTAAAATTCTTCAATACCCCCTTTTAGTTAGGTACACCGACAGCTCCAACAGGGAAATGGTGTTCAACTGAGCTTTTTGAAACATTTTTTAAAATTGGTGCCCAAAGTGCCCACATCTTATGTTTTAGGGGCCCACCAGTCTTTTAATGTATTTCAAAACATATATTTTAGATGAGAATGTTCCTTGGTGTAGAAAAAAAAACGCTATCATCAATGCAGTGACATGGTATAGGTACAGAAAACCACAAGGCCACGGAGTTGCTCCAGCAACTCTAGACAGTCAAGTGAATTGCTTTAAACTACTTTGGGGGTAATTGGGTCACATGAAAATTTCTTTTTCGGTACAAAAATACAATGATACATTGGGGGTATGAGGCTTTGATAGCCAAAATGTCTCAGGTTCACATATCCAATTTTAAAAGCCCAAATGTAACAAGTGATTCAAGAACATCGAATTAAAGTTAAGTGAATTTTTTTTCTACATACATGTGTAACTGCGTTATACTAAAATTACTAGTTAATTAAAGTAATATGACCTCATTTTCGGGGCACCTGAGCGGGCCTCGAGGGCCCTGAAGCTATTCATCGCAACCCAATAGGAAATGCTTGAAAAATCGTGTATCTTACTGACTATAATATTAAACATATCGCGGGCACCAACACCTCCTAACACATTGCTTAATGTTCGTATTATTTTGTGAATAAATCAAAAATATGGGCTGAAGTGCTCATTGCCTTGCTAAAAATAATGTAGTGATCATTGAAAATATTGCTTGTTTTATTGATTATTCATTATTAAGAAGTGCGTATAAACTACCTAATTTAGAAATTTCAGCTTCCCAGGAGAAACTTTGAATCTAAAATCAATTTTTGAAAACACCTCTTTGGTGAATGTGACAGGCTTTGTAAAGTAGCCCCATGCATAGCCTTTTGAGTACCACCACACAGCCATAATCAAGGCGAAAGGGGTAATTATGAATTTATGTTCAACATGTAATGTCATGTACACTTATACGTTTTTTCTTCTGATGGAGCTCACTCATCGCATGCAGAATTGGCTGTGATGAAGAAAAACAGTTCATTATGATTTAATTAGTAATATCATTCAGTACAGTGACACTATTTTTGGGGTGTACTGTATTCAATGTGCGGCTAGCATTCAGATGTATAAACAGTTAATGTGCTGTTTATCATGAATTATGACCTAATATAGTAATTATAATAGTCTAACCAGACAGGGAGAACCTTATTAGCGCCTAATTATCGAGTCATGAATGACTCAGGAATGAATCATGAATGAATCCTTTCGACTAATTAGCATTTATCAAAAGCTCCTTTGACTGTTTCCCTCTTGTTCCCCTTCGATTGTCAGAAAAAAGGAAGTTTTTAAGGGCTGCAATTTGATGATTTTAATTAACCGTCTTGCTTGTGATTGGTTCAACAAGAATTTGCTTGGTGTTGATTCGTCGACTTATTAAAAGAGTGTGTTGCGATTATTCTATGGGTGTGGTGAATGGGAAGTGTAGTGAAGAGAATACATATTGGTGTCGAGGGAAGGCAGCACATTTAGCACTGGGACTCCAAACCGGTCCTTGAATTGCGCCTACAACATACCACGCGTACCACCTGCTCACCGAAGAAGTACACCACTTCAGCCACCACCAACGACAATGCTAAACACGCCTAAGATCACGATGATAACAGAGATTCACGCCACCAATGTCTTGCGCCGGGCCAGTTTTTCACTTTTTCCCGTGGAGCAGAAGATGCTAAAATCAATAACCCCCACGTGCGCTTGTGAAACCCAATTAATTGATTTTGTTTACAATCAAATAATCCAGTCATTTGGTGGGATAAGAAGTTGGAATTATTATTATTATTATTTGTTTGGTTATGTTTCCCCTATTTTTGTAAGGTGTACTCTTTACCTAACAGACACGTCAAAATTAATTTCTTTCTCGTAAAGTCCAATAAATGAAAATACAATGTTTGATTTGATTTTCTTTGAATGTCTTTACTAACAGCAACACAGTAATACATTCATACAATGTGTTTACATATACAGGAAGAGAAATTATTGGTTGGTAAAAGGGGCCAGATAATAGCACATGTGCTTGTCGAGCCTAACCCTTTAAACAGCTTAACAAAGTATTTTGTTCAAACCGGTTCAGAAAACGTAGCAAAACAAAAATAATGAATTTACAAATACAACCGATACTAAAAAAAAATAAGACTACTTAAAGATGTCTTGCAATATACAAACTGTTAATGTAAAAATGTAATTTGTGTACATTTGCAGGTTTTTACACTTGATATTTCTTTCACGATTTGTTCAACAAATCACTTTTAAGAGAATTTCGATACGTATTTCTAGACCTTGTTAATCTGACATTAGTAGGTAATCCATTCCACAATTCACTAGCCACAAAAGACAATTTAAATTGACCTTGTGTCATTCTATATTTTGGACGTAATTGTCCACCCTCTTTTTGTCTTGTAGAATATGCTCTATAATGTCACAGTACTATATATCAAAATATGAGGCAAAGTGTCATTGACTAAATCAAACAAATTAGAAATCGATAGATCATGTTAATTATACACATTTAGGATTCGCAATCTTTTAAACATTGGAGCTGTAAGAGTTCTTCATTCAGTAAATGTTAATTGCACGAACTGCCATTTTCTGTGAATACAAAATACTTCTTAGGCTAGCCTTATAAGTGCTTCCCACACCTCTATTCCGTAATAAATGTGTGGTAGTATAAATGCTTTATATAATATCAGAGTACTGCTATATACAAAATGTCGCAATCTAGATAGCACATATTTTCTTTCTAATACACTGTTTACAAAACGAATTTGACAATTCGAACAAAAAACAATCAATGTGAACCCCAACGAAAATGGCAACGTCAATCTCTTAAATATTCTCACCAGCAATTTTCAGTTCACCATTCATACCTATTTTTTTCCTCCTACTACCCATTAACACGAAATTAGTTTTCATTGAATTAATTGTTTTTTAGTTTTTAGCAAAGTTTTTTTTAGCAATGTAATACTTATGTATCTTCTGTATGTTGTTATTTACTTCATTGGGATATAGGTGAGGGCGGTCTGCGGACTATAGTTAATTGGTTAACTTTGCGCAAGGCCTGGCAGCACAGCCGGGTGCACCCAATATTCATATATTTTGTGTGTGATTTGCTATTAATTGATTATTTCAATGCTGTATTTTGTTATCATGTGTTTTTTGCTAAATAAAATAATATTTTAATATATATGATCTAGTAAAGTAGCGGATTCTTTTGTCACCCTGGTTGGTGATTGAATAAATTGACCCAAGCCTATGCATTGTAATGATGTCAAAAACTCTTCTACTGTGTTTTCTTCACTCATAGAATTAATATTGAATTCACCTAAAAATACACATTTATGATTATCTACTCTAAGTTCTTTAACCCACTCAACAGATCATCTTACATTTGTATTCGGTTTTCTATAGATTATCTTAACCGTAAATTTTATATTATCTGTAATATTAATTTGCAACCAAAGGGATTCCGCCCGAATGACGCGATATTCAAGACGCATGTACTTAAAGATGTATTGATATATGCTCCAACTCCTCCGCTTGAATCACCTGGGCGGCAGTATACTTCTAATGAATATCCTTCCAAACTGAGCATTGATATGTTGGATAATTGTTCTTGCTGGGTTTCTTCCCATGTTCACATATAAAGGATTTCTGGCCTCCGAGAAGCAGAGGATTCCAACCCAGATGAGTGTTTTTTTGTTGGGAAATACATTAGCCGTTTTCACACGATGGCAATTTTGGTCGGCGCAAAGATCGTGTTTAGAGCTAGTCTGTGTAAGTAGGGTAAGGTCAGCGTAAATGTCGACGTAATATTCAATATTATGTTTTGTTTTGTTTTCTATGCATTGCACAATTATTTTTAGACATTTCTTTGACGTTATATTTAATATTATGTTTTGTTTTGTTTTCTATACATTGCACAATTATTTTTAGTCATTTTTTTTAACAAAGTGAACTTTAGAATTAATAAATATCGGTAAATGGTCAGAAATATCGTAATACAACAGGCCATTTGTAAAATTGTTATGAGCTACATTCGAAAAAATATTGTCAATGAGAGTTTGAGAAATACATGAAATTCTTGTTGGTTTATCAATATGTGAGTTAAATGCGTAAGATTGCAGTGCACTACTAAATTTCACAATGTGGTTATCATCAGAATTTAAAAGATTATTGTTAAAATCGCCCATTATATAAACTTCTTTATTTTTTCGAGAAACAGTATCAAGACATCTATCAAAATTGTCCAAGAAAATATCTACATTATGATTAGGGGGTCTATGGTCTATACATTATGCCAACTATTGTGTTTTTGGTTTTCTCATTTAATATTTCAATATATAAATCTTCAGCACCTTCAGTGTGTAAGTCAGAACTAACTTTATTTTTTAAAATGATTATGTATGTATAGCGCTACTCCGCCCCTTCTATCATTGTCACGATCAGAACGAAATTTATGATAGTTTGGTATATTAAATAGAGGTGGGGAATTTTTATGGAGCCAAGTTTCAGACATGTTATTATGGAAATCTGGAAGTCAGGATTGGCTTGAAGATGCATGGAGTTTGAGTCATCGTACATTTGACCGTTATTATTAGATGAATTAAAACTAGAATTAAATTCTTCTACTGTATAATACTTACTTTCAACATTTCTCAAACCTTGGTCAAAATTTGCGTTAGGAAAAATCATTGAGAATTCTAGAATATCTAAAATATACAAGAAAATCCACAGAGAACACGCTATGTGAGTTTGTGTCCATGTTTGAATTTAATTTTTATTTTCGAATGTAAACAAACAACCTTACGCTGACCAAAATTGCCATCGTGTAAACACGGCTACTGAAAAAACACCTGTGGTATGCTTTTTTTTATATTTCTTTTGTTCTTGCTGTGTGTATTTTCCTATTTTCATGCACAAACGATTGCTGTCCTTCAAGCAACAATGGATTCCTACACAGCTGGGTGTTTTTGATGGAAAAAAAAAATCAGTGCCTATTAAATTTTGATCGAAATGTGGGGATGAACAAATATGTGTACCCACATTTGTAAGCGACACTTAATAAAATGAAGTGGTTTGATTTGTTATTATGTCTGTATTTCTTGCTGTTTCCCCATTTTCATGAACAAAGGATATCTACCCAGATGGGTGTTTCCACTATTCAACGTGTGAAGATGGGCGAGGTTATTATATTGGTTCCATATAGTGATATGACTCAAAACCCTCAGATAGTCTTTAACCCTAGTTTGACTAATGGGCATTTTGACCCCCCACCCCGCACTGTAAAAAAAAAATCCACAACTGCCGCGAACTTGCTTCAGATCGTGACTTGCCTTTTCGTGACGTTTTCTTTTCAAGTATCTCGCAACTTTTGAGACCAAGTTTGCAAAATTGGACAATCCTTTGCGAGGTCACCGTCAATTAGTAGTCACATGCCGGGCCAAGAATTGAACGAAAGTTCACATTTTGCATACATTTGTGTACAAAATATTTATTTTCCTAAATTGCTCTACACTGCCAATCGTGTCTTGTATTGCTTTTTCTTGATCTTGTATGTCTTCAAATTTATCAATATAAATTTTTGAAAAACAACTTTTCTAAAAAAGAATGAGGTAAACAGAACAATAAAATAAAAAGTAATTCCAATGCTAATCTCATGTAACGAGAGTGTTCCTCTTTTCTGGCAATCAAAGAGGAACAGTCTAATTAATTAGTTATGGATGGTGGGCTGATTAGCTCTCCCTATTTATAGTATTACTACTTAAGTTATTCTGTCTTATAATAAGATGATGAAGTGTATCCTGATCAAATGATTGGTCGAGAGCGTACACGTGCCAGGCATTTATTTTGCCTAATACGTAATTTTGATAATGACCGGTCATTATCAAATGCTAATGACCGGTCATTAGTAAAATCATGACAAAAAACAAAAACAAATAATATATTGTGGTGGTTGTTATTTTACCTGACTGCTAAGAAAGCATAAATGCTTGTAAGTAAGCAACCAGACGGCTTCAGGTCCTCTCCGAGGGACCTGGTAATGAGGATTAATGCCTTACCAAAGGACACTAGCGCATCGACTTGGTTTCGAACCCGGGTCACCGGAATACGAGACCACTGCTCTACCGACTGATCATCTTATAACACAAATAGTAAACACCATTTTGTTCGGGTGTTAGTAAAATTACTGCTACCGCCTCGGACGTGATAAACTTTAAAAAAAATAAAGTTCCAAAGGTACCTTGTGTGGGTAATTCTTACTGATGCCCTCACTGCTGAATATTATTTGTATAATTATGCATGAGAACATTGGATTAGTGAGTAAATGTTAGGTAAATTTCAAATATTTCAAATAGCGCCTAAGACCATTCCTTGATAGCTGCGACCATGAAAATCTCAGAGTATGCAGTTCTGATATATCATTTCCAAAGGAGAATAGCAAATCGGTCGATTGTATTCAAGAAACATTGTTTCAGAGCTAAAGTAATATCAGTCTTGGGAGGGCGCTATACAACATAAAGAGTTTATTCTTTACAATTCCATCACTTTAGACTCGATTTCAACCGCGACAACGATCATTGAATATTGTAAAATCGCATATGCTTCCAATATGTTAATTTGAACCAAATTCAAGACCCTACACACAAAACGTTGTAATACCTTTAATAAACTGATAAACCTTCAGTTGCAATTCTTGAAAATAATATGTTTAAACATTACAAATTCGATTGCAGCTTTTTATAGGCCTATTGTCTACGATAACATACAAAACATGTATATGTTGATTTTAAAAAAAAAGTATGAACATCATTATACCTGGCAAATGGGCTAACTATATTTTGCAGCCACGCCCTATGCAAGTACATATATCAGTGCCGATCACAATCCCTTTTCATTGTAATCATATTCATAACTATAAATCTTTCCTTCTCTGAAAATTTGCTTGGTTTGGTATTGATGGAAAATTTACCAAACGATAGATATCTCATTTGGGATACCATGCATGCTGCACAGTAGGTTTAATCTCACAAAGGCCATTCTCATTCACCAGAGAGGTATTGATTTCAGCATTTGGAAATTGTCCTTCATTTCTTCCACATCTAGGTGAAATTTTCTTTGATCAACATTTCTTTTTCTGTTTCAAATAATCTCGCCATTTTAGTATTTTGGTTGTGAAATCAGCATTAATGTTTTGTAATCGAAAAGTGTCCACATCATTCAGAAGAAAGCAAATCACAGGCTTTATTTCCTTAGACAACGTAGGAAACTATACAAAGACTAGACACTTTATGTTCTGTTCTATAAATCAATCATTCAGTCTATCTTGACATTCAATCTTATTTGTTACTTTGGTATTGGAACACGTGCTAGCAAAAAGAAAACTGATAGAATAAGGAAAATTGCTCAGCGCACCAACAGTTTGGAATTGCCCAGTTTAGAAAATATATATGTTGACCGTACATTGCTGAAGGTAACACGTTTTATGAAGGACCCAACACATCATTTGTTCCAAGATTATAATTCAAAAGAGCAGGGATTCGCCTCTGCGTTCCCCGCACTAGGCGGGAGTGCTTCAGACGTTTATTTGGGCCGGATTCGATTCATGTTTACAACAGAAGGGTAAAACGAGGGCAATTATTGTACTATTGCAATGCTTTGCTCCATTTCCTAGGCAAGCAATCACATTGTACTTAACATGCTTACCTGATACAGACTATTTCAGTGTTCCCTATTTACGTTTGAATTGTGAGGTGCCTGGATGTGGGACGTCGCTCGTATTGTTGGATGTAACGCCATTGATGTTATGTTGTTATTATAATTTGTATAATTGTGTACATTATTTGTAATACACCTGTACCAGTGAGGAACGAATTTCAATTTTTTGGACAATAAATCAAAGCAGTGCATGCAGGAAACACATGAGCGTAGCTGTAGCATTTTTATCAAACTTATTTAATACCAAAGTTTCTTTTCATAGTGCCTACTGAAAAGTATGGATGGAGATTAAAGCTTCAAGATGAATCATTTCAATGCAACCAGCCATTAATGGTAAAGGCGGTATATTCCTCCTTTGCTATTATGGAAATACATTCAAAATATCGTCAATAATTACTGCAAATAGTACAATTTTATTACAACTTGTGTTTCATCATTTTACAAAAAAATTGTCATTTTGGAGCTTTCATCTGAATAGCTTTCATTCATATTCAGATAAAGCAAATGCCAATAAATCATGAGAAAAAGAATTGAAAAAATACAGTGTTTCATTTGTTTGTATGTTAAATCAATGGATTCACCATTTATTTACTGACAAAAACTTACTAAAATTCACGTGACTCCACAAATAAGGTGTGAACTTTAATTTTTGTGTAAAAAATTGTGTGTAATTGTTTTTACCCTGTATACATTAATCCCTGTCCTTTAGAAATGTAATACTTTTTCATTTTTACCGTTTCAGAGGAGCTTGTGGAGGATGGAGACACTCTCTTACTGCTTGTGCACCTTAAGCAGGACTTGTCGGCCCCTATCCAGGAGAGGGTGGATTACCAACCCCACTATGACACCATCATCAGGAGTGGCATGTATGAGTACTATGCCAGCGAAGGACAGAATCCATTACGTAAGCCTTGAAATCTTTCATCATATGATCAGTGGTATTGGTAGTTAATTCTTTACTTTCATCTATTAAGCTTCATCACTACTATTTCCAAACAACCTGTTCAAATTCACTGTTCTTACACTTTAAGAGCCATGCTTTTCTTTCTGTTTGGCTGTAGGTTTCATTTATGAATTTGTAGAATTTGTAGAATTTTTTTGTAGAATTTTATTGACTGTTTGACCCCCTCTCGGGATTCCATGACATTTGCTCCGGCGACAATTGCTCCGCTGTAAATTTCATACACTAATCGAATGGCTAACTTCAACCCTGGATTCAACACTATACCCTACCCTAAACCTAACCCTAAACCTAACATAAAACCCTATTGAAACCCTAACCCTAACCCTACATCTTAGACGAAATAAAGCCCGGAGCAATTGTCGCAGGAGCAAATGTCGTGTCACCCCTCTCGGGGTATGAGAGTACAAACAAACATAAAGTATAAATAGCAATGCATGACTTATTAATACAATTCACATACATTATACATAGATAATGACACAAAGATACAAACGATGATAGGTATATAGTGTATGAAAGTACAAACATGAACAATGAACCAACTAGTAAACACAAAGTATATATACATGTACAATGTAGATAGTGACAATAATAAAAGGATAAGTATAATGCAGTTTATTTACAAGCTAAATAGTAAACAAAAAAGGCCGTTTCACTATCCTACCGCTACGAGTACGTGTAGGTTCAGCTCTAATTGTACTTCTTGAAATGCTTGAACGATCTTCTTTCTCTGTTTTTTTAATTAAATTTCAACATAATAAGGCGAGTAAATCTTGCTAAATTCTTCAACTGAGAAGTGCTTTTAGTATTAAAAAGTTTTGTCATGTGCATAGCACTTGGAAGCTTAGACTTACAAAACTTGTTTGATAAATATAAACATCCCTCCCTTTGAAAATATGGACAAACAAAAATATAGTGAAATACATCTCCTATATCAGTGGACAGCCAGAGTGTGCACTGCATATCACAATATGGTGTGTTCGCATCAAACCGACCTTTGTTTACAGGTAATTTATGTGATTCATGTCATCTCACCATAACACCAGTCAGTTCTATTTCTTCCTATACCTAACAGCTTTTGCAATTGCAGAACTGATAGACAACTCAGTTACAGCCACGGTTAATAACGTTGGACCCAGAAATATAGAAATCAGATTGGTATGTGCCTAAAGTTATTTATTTTCTTTTAAATGTGCAAAGTGTTTATTTTTCATTGGAATTTGGATGGTAAATGAAATTAGTCTTTGAAGTTACTGATACTGTCATGACTTTTGTGACAGGCATATAACCTTTGTTAGAGACTCAAATATACACAGTTTGTATCCTGATGGTAATGCCTGTGCAGGTGCTGAAAAACTCACACTTTTGGGGGAATATTGGAAAGTCAGCATCTTGTAGTCTAAAGTGGTTACATCATGTCTTTTGTAAATATTTCTTTTCAGTTATGTCTTGTATTCAAATAGAAAAATATTGCTTCACCTTGTAGTTTTATCAGTGGTTAGACTTCTTTTCCAATACTATGACAATCTTGGCTTATGTTAAGTACAGTATTTAAGGTAATTCATTTCAAGTTTATAATCAATGTTTCTCGTAATGGCTGTTATTTTTAACATACAGGACTAACATTTTCATTAATTTTTGGCAGAAATGGGGTTCTGGCTGAGGATGTGGCTTTCTGCAGGAAGCCTTGTTCACAACCTTGTTGATGTAAATTGCCCCCCCCCCAAAAAAAAAAAAAACAAAAAACAAAAAAATCAACTGCTATGCCAAAATAAAACCATGTCACATTTAGATGAAAGGCTAGTAAGGATGGGGGGGGGGGGAGCTGCATGCAACAAAGGCCTGTAAGAGTACTCACTAACATGTGCGGTATAAGGGTTTTGCTCTAGTTTTTGCTTTATATCGTCTGTTTAGAGCCAGAAGGATGTTATCAATGTGTTTAAGTATTTGAGTATATGCCCTTCTTGCTCCAAATAGATGATATGGGCTTAAGAGCCCATTAATTATCCTGCTTTTTATAATTCACTTTCAATCAGTACCTAGATGAAACAGGAGATAAGAGTATGGTTTGTGTCCTTGACAATGGCAAGGGTATGACCACCAGGGAACTCAACAACTGGGCCATCTTTCGACTCTCTAAATTCAATCGCAAGAGACAAAGACTAAATCAAGAGAACAACAGGTAACATCACTTCATTAAAAAAATTGATTCACAAGGAAAGGAGAGAAATGTTCATTATAAAATTTGATTAGGTTATTTGATTTGGTTAAGCGGTAGATTAGTCATCTGGGAACTGCATGTTAGCTGTATGACACCAAGTCAAGGATCTGTGCACAAAGCCCCTGACTCCCAGATATAGACCTTAAACCCAGATGTCCATGGGTTGTATATCTACCTATATTCTATCTGTTTAACAGTAAATCCATGTTGTTGTCTCAGGCGGTAGATTCAGTGCTAAATTTATTTGAACGAAGTCTCAGACCAATTTATAAGGCTCATTTAGTAGCATTGAAAAAGAAATATAGTAGGATTAAAAGAGAAAACAATATCAAAAATTGAATACATTGTTATATCAATTGTCAGAAAGCGGCGAATATTATAAACTTGGGCAATAATTTAGTTCTTTATTCATCATGTTTGAAAGAGTGACAATAATATACACCTCTATGATGTACTAACACAGGCAGATTACTATGAATTCATGAGCTTTTAGAAAACAAAAATTAGGTGTTGTAAACTTAATTTTTGTTCTCCATTCTTGTATTTAATCGACTATTGATTTTATGACAGTGATGAAGAGAGAGTCATTCCCAGATCGTTAAACAGTGACATCTCGTACTTTGGAGTAGGAGGAAAGCAAGCAGCGTTTTACATTGGTGATTCAGCCAGGGTGAGTTGCTTTTGCTTTTTGCCTGTATCCTCGGACATAGTCTATTAACACTTTGATTGCTTTCTTCCATAGAGTGCACGGTCGCCCGTTTGCCACACGTGCAATTTGCCCCAATCGACAGAGGAGGGTTGCTTTGTGCAACTTACTGGCCGTGCAAGATAACTCATTTCTGGTCATGATTAACTCCATGACAACTGCTGTATCACTTTAATAGATTAATCTTACGATTAAAACAGATAAATATTCTTAAAGCCTTGATACATTCATCCCATGATTAAAGGAAACCGAACCCCAAGTAATAACTTTACCTATACTAAGAGATTTATTATATTATTGCCCATAAATCTACAATATTCCCCACCAAAGTTTATGAAAGAGGAATAAATCAAAAATAAAGTACAGTTTCTCAACACGACATGGGCATCGCCATTTTCTTGATAATGTGACGTACTATGCGAAGTCGTTTATCAAGTAATGTATTCAAATTTATGGATGTTTCTTTCCCAGACGTGTGTTGTGATGAAGCATTTCATTCACCTGCTATTATCCTTTATACTATAATTGCCAGAACGCAAATTGCATAAATAAGTTAGTGCTCTTCTGGGGTGAAGGTTTCTCATAAATGAAATATATTTGTCAACTGCTATAGTGTAGTATTTATAAATGAATTTTGTTACAATTGTGCCCCTATTATTTATTTTTCACCTAATATAATTTCTATCATCTCAGTTATTATTATTTTTTATTGAAAAGTAAAGGTTTCGTTATTGATTTAAAAATTCTTTTCAACTAAAGCTTGGTGCATGATACATGTACAACTTCAACAGGTACGTCACATTTTCAAGAAAATGGCTGCGCCCATATCATGCTGAAAGGCATCACATCATGCCAGGAAAATCTTCATTTATATATATCTTGTACATTTTCGTAAGGAATATTGTACATCAAAGGGCAGGAATACATCTCATTTTTCAGAATACCTACACTTATTCTTTGGGTTTAGGTTTCCTTTAATACAATATGGTACAGGGATATTATTTGGGTGGTGGTCGTGGTTGAGTGGATATGTCACCGGAATGTCGATCACAAGGTCCACGGTTCGAGTCCCGCCGCGGCACTAATGTCCTTTGGCAAGACATCGATCTACATTTGCCACACTCAACCCAGGTGAAGTAAATGGGTATCTATTTATTATTTCCTTGAAATGCTAGAGCGCCGTAATGGCCGCATTGCTAAAGGCAGGGTAATAATCGGGGCAGCCACCATTATTATTATTAAAGAGCTAATCGACAGCAGTTAAATGTGGTGCAAGATAATAGTGTAATGTAATGGGTCCTTCATGGTAGTTATTTCAAAACAATGTTTGATTTTCAAGCAACAGTGGTGTAAGTTACAATTTACTATCTATCAGATGTCATGCAAACTTCTAAGTATGTTCTAGATTAGTTTGGTAAGCTTTTGTAAGAGTTCCATGAACACAATGAGTTTATAGAATAAAAAACTCTAAATGATTGACTGGTAAAGATAACTAAAGATTGTTAAGTCAACAGTGATTTCTTGTCCTTTACAATTCACTATTCTGATACAGACTTGAAGAATCAATCATGAACCTATTTATTTAGTGTAGCTTTTTCAAAAAGTCTGCTGGGTAATAATTTACATCTGATATCTCAGATGTACCCCTATATGTGCAATGGATTCTATACCCAATGCAAATTGCCCATGTTATACATCTTTTCTTATAGATGATCAGTAAACCCAAAGATTCTAAGGATGTTCATGAGATGTTGGTATCAAAGGAAGAGTTTGAAAGGAGAGAGAAGAACAAAGAAGACATCTACAGCGACGTCATCACAAGCAGGCAGGTGGGTGGTTGATTAAATATGAAAATGTTTGTTTCCTTTCTTGCTCTTATAAAGCCTAGCAAGGACAGTTATCTATCGATAGAGGAATATATGAAGTATCTGCAGAAGCTGAGATAACGAAGCTGTAATACTTTCAGTAACATTTCTTTTCTTCATCTCTTTCATGCAATTCACACCTAAAGCCTGGCGAGGGCAGTCACGTATCACAAAAATATGAGACCCTGCACAAACTGATCAAGGAAGAGGAAGGGAAGGAGAACTTTACCCACGTCGTCATCACCAGTATCAAGTCACAGCACATCAAGTTCCTCAAAGATGACTTCAGCAGATGGAGCAGAATACTGGCGTAAGTTTCTCACGTATAGTGTTCTTGATTACATTTACATACGAGAGACAGGTGTTGGGTCAGGGCACAGGTAAATGTTTGGTATCAACCCCAGATATCCATTCAAAACCCTCAGCCCCCCCCCCCACCCCCTTCAGGTTTTGTAAGTGAGTGAGTGTATATAAACAGACCTTGGATTACAAACCTGGACTCTCTATGAAAATAAAATATTTTGAAGCCGTTCTCCATTTCCGTATCAGGACAATTACCCCCTGGGCAATCACCCCCCGGAAAATTACCCCCCCCCCGAGGACAATTACCCCCCAAGGACAATTACCCCGGAAAATTACCGCCCGGAGAATTACCCCCGAGGACAACTACCCCCCGGGGACAATTCCCCCCCGAGGACAACTACCCCGAGGACAATTACCCCCCGAGGACAACTACCCCGAGGACAATTACCCCCCGAGGACAATTACCCCCAAGGACAACTACCCCCGAGGACAACTACCCCCGAGGACAATTACCCCTCATGGACACTACTGGGTATGGTGGCTCAGTGGTTAGAGCGCCCGCCTCATAAACGGGAGGTCGTGGGTTTGAACCCCGGCCGAGTCATACCAAAGACTTATAACAATGGGACCTTCTGCCTTCTAGCTAGGCGCTCACCATATTAGATTGGAGAAGGGTAGTAATAACATATTATGTTATGCAGGGCCCGCTGGAAGAGCAGTTTCATAACTGAAGTGGCTACCCTGGGTAAATAAAACGTTATTATATATTATTATTATTATTACCCTCGAGGGCAACTACCCCCGAGGACAATTACCCCCGAGGATAATAGCCACCAGAGGACAACTACCCCCAATGACATTCACCCTGAGGAATTTAAAACACTGTGACGTATAACGCAAGCTTATCTCCAAATTGCTATTTACAGAAAATTGTATAAACGTTCATTTTCATTTCCAATTATTTAATTCGATATGGGGGGGGGGGGGTTGGAGGTTGCCCAATTCCCCTGTAGTTTTGCTACCGAGTTAAGAACATAAATTACATTCTTAGAAATTGAACAATACATTGCGCGCAGATGAGTACGCGTTACAGCCTCTCTCACCATCAATGGCACAGCAAAGAAATTAGGTTGTAAGATTTGCTTTATGCATCCTCTTTAACTTTTTAATCAGCTGATCGTGTATTTGTCTTTGTATGTATAATGGGCCCTCATCCATGCCATGATCCATGATTAAGGTTTTCTTCACGTTATCTATTTATTTCTGTTGTCATGCTGAACTTGCTGAAGTATAATATGTTTTCGTTTACGTTAAGTTATTTTGAAATAGAAATTGCCTTCAAGTTATATGTACGGTGCCAAGTCAAAAGAAAATAAATATCCGCTATCTGGTAATTCATCTCATATGATTTTTTAACTCCAGCACAGCGTTTTTCAACCGGGGTGCCGCAAAAGAACGATTTGGAAAACGTTTATTTTGTAAAAAAAATCTAATACCAGAAACGGTTAAAATATGTCATTACATGAGAGGATATACATTTTTGAAGATACTAAAGAGTCTTCCTTCCTCGCTCGTTGACAATATTTTGACAGCAAGGCAAATAAGGGCAACAAGAGGCCCGAATATCCTCATATTCGTGTATCAAGGTCATGACCGAATATATCACTATTTATTTATGTACATTCGGCGGCAAGGTGCCCGCATACAGTACTTTAAATAGTTTCTAGTGTGTGGATTACAAACTAATTGTTTACCAGTTTAAAAATGTCTTCTCCTTTTTTATTCTTAAATGTGCCCATAAGTGTGTGCATAGTACTTGACGAGAGCCAGAGCAAAATTAATAGTCTGTAAAGACTTTGGGATCTGGGAGAAAATTTTCATTTCTTAAGAGGGTACCGTGACTAACAAAAAGTTAAAATGACGCTGCTCCAGAGAAATGTATTTCTATGCATTTTGAAAAGGGCTGGATAATTACCTAAAACTTACATCCTTCGTGGAAATTAGCAACCGCACTGGCGTTGCATAAATTATAACAAAAGGGAAATGTGTAGTAATGAGGAAGACAACGTGCTATAGTATTTGAAAGAATATGGGTTCATGCAGGGGATCTTATGGGCTCGTAGCCATCTCTCAATGTGTCAGATCGTCTTTTGCTATTGAATCCTGATTGTCCACGGTGGTAGTTGTCCTCGGGGCGTAATTGTCATCGGGGGGAATTGACCTCGGGGGGGGGGGGGGGGGTAATTATCATCGGGGGTAGTTGTCCTCGGGGCGTAATTGTCATCGGGGGAATTGTCCTCGGGGGGTAATTATCATCGGGGGTAGTTGTCCTCGGGGGGTTATTGCCCTCGGAGGTAATTGTCATCGGGGGTATGTGTCCTCGGGGGGTAATTGTCCTCGGGGGGTAATTCTCCGGGGGGTAATTTTCCGGTGGGGAATTGTCCTTGGGGGGTAGTTGTCCTCGGGGGGTGATTCTCCGGGGGGTTATATTCCAGGGGGTAATTGTCCTTTGGGGGTAGTTTTCCGGGGGGTAATTTTCCGGGGGGTGATTGCCCAGGGGGTAATTGTCCTAGAACCGTATTGCTTGAAAGATAACGTAGAAATGTTCAGCCCACTGATTTTAGAGAACAATACGTGTTTCTCTGTCCTAAAAAAGATGATTCGTAGAAAGATTTGTCAATATCAAGATCATACAGCTCCGTTTAGTCTCATTTCACAACGCCCCCTATCGTCAGAGTCAGCAGCCTAACATGTTAGCCCTGGTTAGCCTATGGAATTTAACCCCCCCCCCCCAAATCGTTAAAAACTCATTTTTTGTCTAAACGACAAGCACATCCACCCCGAAGTACGTTATCACTAGCTCTTTCATTGGAACCCTCATGTCTTATTGACTTTTGAAAGTTCACCCACCGCAATTTGATCAAAATAGGTTGCAAGCTCGTCATTGCCTATAATACACATGTGAAACAAGTCGAATTTTAGACTCAGTTTGCCAAGCGATTTTAAGATTATAGTTTAAGCACACGAAGGATAAGAAGCATGAATTATTATAGACCACTTCTGCTTGGTTCATTATGTCCATTTCATCCAACCCCCACCGTCATTTTTCAATTTAGTGAAAGCAAACATTTTGACGAGGTAAGCAAAAACATGAATATTCATGAACGATCAGACAATACAGCCTTTTAGTACGTAACGTATAGTGAATGGGAATGGGCGATGATCCGTCCAGGAGGAAGAGGTCAGTGGTTTGTGCTGGCAATGTTCCAGCGAGCTAAAATGAGACAACCGGAGCAATATGTTTAACCAATAATCAACTAATAAAGGAGATTAAATCAAATACAAACCGTTAAAAATGATTAGGTATTATGTGATAAAGGAGACTGAAGAATAGTCAGAATTCAATGAAATCGTGGCTTGGTGAAGGTTGCAAAGTTATAGGGGGTCATTTGCCTTCCATTTCATTTAGCTCTTTAATATGTCTTCAGTATGTCTTCCCTGATTGTCATTATAGAAACGTCTACCACTACTACATCCATGGTCCCCAAGGCAACCAGTCCCACCTATCTAACGCCATGTACCGTACGTCAAACCCCTACAAGAACATTGACATCAGCATCACCACGTACAAGAAGGGCCAACAGCACCAGCAGCTCAACCTCAGAGACATTGTAGACGACCTCCAATCCAAATATATCAGGTCTGCCAAGGACACGTTTGAATTCAAAGTTTCGTTAGGAACTGGACTGGTAGACGGCGTGCTTCGATATCATCCATTCCTCTTCGACAAGGAGTCGTATCCAATTGATAATGAATCAGGTTGGCGTGATTTTGTTGTTGTTGTTGGTTTGTTATGTGTAATTTGACTCCATTATTTTTAAAGGAACAGGAGATCTACATTATGCTGAACTTTACAAAGGAATATAACATTTAAAATTAACACTGCCAACAACTCCAATTTGTTTTTGTTGACGTTTGCATTGTCCTTAGCATGTTTTTAAGGACACGTTAAGTTTTGATATACCACAGAGAAAGAGAGAGAGAGAGAGAGCGACAGAGAAAGAAAGAAAGAAAAAAAAAAGAGAGATAGAAAAAAAAGAAAGATGAGAGAGAGAGAGAGAGAGAGATGGAGAGAGAGAGCATAGGAGAGAGGGAGGGAGATAGGGAGGGTGGGAGAGCGAGAAAGACAAAAACATTTTCATTTTTTGATCGGAATAGTAGTTCCTGAAAAGTGATCAGATTACTTTATCAAAGCCTGAAATTTACTTGTATAAGATGTTTTTATGCTTAATTTCTCCAGTACTTGAGGATGTCGATGACGAGACTGATGACAACAAAGATAAACATGCGAGGGGTAGCAAAGCCATATTTAAGTGCTACTGGAATGGAAGGCTTATTCCATATACACTGGTCCAAGAGTGAGTTGTCGAGAGTAACCGTCCTAATTTGAATGATTGTGGAATTCATTTTCCTTTGAATGTAATTTGGTTAAAAATTCATTCTTCATGAATTATTGGGTAAGTATCATGCAGTTTAAAAAGTTGAGACATGGAGGCACATAACATTTTATTTTGAAGTATTTCTGTTTGCTTCATGGATATGGTATCATACAGCATGACAGTATCATTCTTTCATCTTGTATACAACGAAGTTGATGTGAGTGATTGAAGGTGTGACAGATTGGATGAATGTATGATTGAAGGAATTACGAATATATTGATGGAATGAGTCGAAAAATACAATATTGTATGAGGAATGGATGAGTGATGGCATAAAAGTCTGAGATCAGCCGACCCAGCTCTTCCGACAGAAACTCTCAGTCGCACAATTTGGGGTGACAGAGCCTTTTACTTCTCTGGACCCAAGCCGTGGAATAATCTTCCACAATATAATTATCAGGAGCGCTGAGTCTATGTCAACCTTCATGTCAGCCCTCACGACTTTCCTGTTCCCAGCTACGACATCATCTCATAAATAATACTAATGCCAACAAAGACTATTAATGGATAATAATCTGAATTTATAACACTGACCAAGAACGTTGAATTTGTGAGACATTGTAGAGCAAGCGCCGTAAGTCATATACTTTTGTATAAATCAGTAGATATACAGTATAAGTGAAATAATGAAAATAAGTGGGCATTCCAATATATTTGCTACAATCAGATTTTAACCTCTTGAGCCTATCCATTTGTTTTGACCATCAGCTTTGCCTGGTGTGCCAAGCCAACGAAACGAGGCAACATTCCTGTCGAGTGCTACAACAGGGTATCTGGCGCCCTCTTTGCCAACGATCAGTTTGAGGTCAGCACAAACAAACTGACCTTCATGGACTTTGAGATTAAACTGAGTGATAGGAATGCTGCCTTTCAGAGAGTTGTTGGGGATCACGTAAGAAAACAAAACAGTTACAAAAATGTTTCTAGTTTAGAGAGAATGCATGCTCAAGGGACATTAAAGCTTATCAGTACTAGTTAACAGGAGGGATTAGACCGCCCTGCAAGGTCACTGGACAGGTGGTTATCTCATCAACTCAGCTCTCAGTTAACATAAGAAAAAGAGGATCATGGGGGACCAATGGTCACCGATTAGGCATTGTTTAATATAGAGAGGGCGCAAGTAGCTACAAGTAGTGCAGTGGGCCTTTAAAAGCTCAGCATTTAGTTATGTCGTACATGAAGATCCGTGGTTTGAATCCTGGATTGGGACCCATTGTAGCATGGAGAAGATAAAAGAAGATAATAGAAGATCAGGTCAAAATAATAATATATAAAATTGTATAAATAACAGTTGGAACGTTGTTTTCTTGTTTTCAGCCCCAGAGATTGAAGATCGACAAACAGTTCACTGATTGGCTGCACAAGTGTCACGAAACCCATGACAAGCAGATCTGCTTCATCAGAGATTACGTGGAGAACATCACGAGGCCAGATCTACCCAAGAAACAACAAGAACCCTGGGCTGTGTTTAAGTCTGTGGAATTGGATGGGAAAGTGTATACCACAGGGCAACAGGTATGATGTCACAAATGATATTGTGATGTAGAGAAAACTTTGAATGAAAAGGTGGATAGCTTACCATCTGTTCAACAGATGGATAATGATTATTTTCTTCTAATATATAAATGAGATGAGAAAAAAAAGAGGAGCATAGCCATACGAATTTAATTATTTTCTCATACGAGGAGGAGTGAGATGATAATTTAGAGAAAATCCAGTGGGAAGGGGAGAATGGGGGTCCCGCACTACAATAACTTTACATAATCCCAGCTTAATCCTAAGAAGTTAAGTAATATGAAAAAGATAATAAAGAGAAGAAAATCAAAAGAGAAATATTCAGTTTACATTGTAAGATGTCATAAAGAAGAAAAATGAGTTCATGAGTAATAGCTATTCATTCATTCATCCATTTACTTTGTAATTTTAGGCTAAATCAAACATTTGGTAATTTATATTGACCATGCATGTACGAAGTAGATTATATACATATCATTTTCATAACAAAATAATAATTTGCTGCAAGACAATACTATAATTGATTATTCTTATCTTAATCTTTGTTAGGTTCGAACCTTGCGCTTGCGGACAGGTCGAATTATTCATGGGGCAGTAAAAAGGTTCTTGTTGTTTGGAGACTTTGAGAATGAGATCCAGAATGGGAGGCTGTTTGCGACAGGGGGAGAGTTCGAAATTGAGCAGGTATGACAAACTCAGTGACATCATTCATATTTCTCTGTATTTATCGTGCCATAACTAAAGGAACAAAATAATTGATTTACTAAAGATTTGCATCTGTGCTGTAGGAATGTTCGGTATGAAAATAATGATTTTGATAGAACATTCAATTTCCCATAGACCTCATCTTGACTCATCTGAGGTTTAGTCTTTGATGGGTCAATTGACGATTATTTGTAATCAGTCGTTAGATAACCAATACCTCAATATCTGTGAGATGCATTTAAGCAGCACTAAATGCGCATAATGACGTAAATCTGCCCTTCAGTGAGTACATTGGCATTCCATGTAGTCAGGTCAGCAAACCATGTAACTATCAAAAACCATTGGTAACATTGGACTTTATAAGATGGGTTCTAGAATCTAAGCAATCTTATTGGTCAATTAACATCACGTGGGCGTGCATTAGTTTTTCCCACCGTGCAAAAAAGCTCCCATCAAAAATTGATAACACACGCTCGATACCTGCCGATATCTTTTTCGCGTAATTTAGCCAAATTTAATTTGTGCATAATTGTCAATATCTAGATCTAGATCTAGAATATTCTAGGCCTAGATGCCAAAACCATCAGATACAACTTATTTTCGAAAGCGTTCAAAACTAAACCTGGTACTATTATATATATATATATATATATATATATATATATATCTACTATATATATCATAGAGAAATTGTTTGTATTTTCTTTTAGTTACAGCATGATGGTGATTTGTACAGAGAGAGAATATAGACGGAGAACTTGCTTTTTGGCAATCCATAACCTGGTGTTAAGTTAAGACGGCTTTTGAGATTCATGGACCTTTGCTTCTTTGTACTTATTTTCATCTCTCCTCTCTTCTTCCATTTGGTAGGAGCCTAGATTGTACAATGAGAGGAAGATCTACCCTCTCAGGAAGCTGGACAGGTCAGCTGATGAGAGACAGATAAAGAAGGCCATCGATGATGAAGAAGGAAAGTAAGTACTGATGACTTGATGAGGACCATTCACGTTTTCATCTTTCTATTTGCTTAATGCATTTCAATATATTCTCTATGTTTCTTCAGTTATAATTGAGATGAAACATTTATCTTTCCTTGCACAAATAACTTGATTCTTTGATTGTACTTCGTAGTCCGGTCAAAATACGGAAGAAATACCACACCTCCCCCCCAAAAAAGAATCATTCATACAACTTTCAATAGGTAATGGCCGCCAGGACACCTGAAAATCAAAAAATGGCTGAGAGTCTCCTAAATATATACAGTAATCTATGATTAGCAAGATTAAATATGTTTTAGATGTCAGGATATTCACTGGTAAGTTATGAATTATCTTAGAGGTGCAGAGTAGCCTAATACTCATAACCATACAAACTATGGCTATCATTGTATCATAGAGCTGTAATTTTGGTGTCTTTAGCGATATAGGTTTCAGAGGTAACAAATATCGATTGATACTATTTACCAGGCGCGTACGCAGGAGGGGGGGGGGGGGTTGGGGTTAAACCCACCTTCATTTTGTTTAATGTGTGTGTTTTGGAGGACCCCCCCTTTGTTTTTAATGGTAACAGTACTTCCTCCCTTAAAATTGAAAATTTGTCGATCGATATTTCGTTTCGTTTCGTTGAGGGGGGAGAGGGGGGGGGGAGGGGTAAGGTTACCTTTTTTGGTCACCCATTACCACAATTTTTTGTTTTTTTAATCAAAAACTATATCGAAGGGGGGGGGGGTTTCTTCCAAAACACACATACAAAAAAAACTTGAGAGGGGTGGGGTTCGACCTCCAACCCAACCCCCCCCCCCTGCGTACGCGCTTGGATGCACGACATATTATCAAGTATAAGTGAAGCATTTTATGGAACATTGTATCCAAGATGGCTGTCATTATGCCATTCAAAAGTGCTGCCAACACCTAATACTGGCCATAAATCATTATGTTTCCCGCCTATAAATGTAATATTAGTGTCTTGGTTTCAGGATTAAAAAATAGATTCAAACAAGATCTAGTTGATGTTCGTTCTGGTACGCAGAAAAGCTGGACAAATTAAACCGATTTAATTTAAAAATCGCCGACAAATTTAAATGATTGGAAGTGAGTAACTTTTTTTATTTACAAAGGGGCTTTATTTGTAAGATGTATTATAATTTTGGCGGTAAAGGTTTACATTTTTAGGGTTTTCTTAAGACATTTGGTAAATAGCATTGTCGCTATTTGATATGCTGAAACATACGGTATTAATGCTGGGGAGTATTTCACAAAGATCCTAAGTTGAACTTATCTCTAAGTTGGACTTAAAAATTATGGAAAGCCATTAGCATCCTTGAAAAATATTTTGTAAAAGGCATAAAATGTTGATTCAAATCATTCATATTTTCTATTATCATCGGAGATTTCATGTTCTTGACATGGAATTTATGAACAGTCTAAAATACTTGAATTTTTGCTTTTGAATATATTTTAAAATAAGGCTACAAATGGCTCTCCATAATATTTAAGTCCAACTTAGAGATAAGTTCAACTTAGGATCTTTGTGAAACACCCCCAGGTCAGTTAATTGGTTTTCATGTGATTTTTTTTTAGATTAAAGTTAAATTTTATATTAATATATTCATATTTTGCATATACACAACACAGAGCATAACAAATCTGAAATGAACTCGAACCGATTTTTGTTAAGGACCTTTTTTTTAAAGTATCTCTTGACTAGCTAAATCAAGAAAAATAGATAAATCAATTTACATTACACTGTCCATGAACCTGACAGTTACATAACACTTTCCTGTACATGTTTTACTAAACTATTTCTGGTATTACAGGACAGGATTTTTGTCACAAATTTACCATCCCATCACCAACGCTCTGTGCAAATTTTGTGCTGATTTTTTTTGAATACATCTTAAAGCCCTGCTGCACTACTTATAGCTACTTGGGCCCTCTATGTAGCCAACAATGCCTGCAATGACCATGCAGGGAGGTCTAATCCCTCCTGGCCAAACTAGTGCAGAGGGGCATTAATGAATAACATTAATATCCAGTAATTGCGTAGAATGGAAACTATTATATAATGCTATTTGCCTATACATTATTAATGTTTGTTATGTATATACACCAAGATTCTTGAAGTACCATAAGGTGGCAAATTTAAATCTACGCAGCATTTGTATTTGTTGGGATCAATATCATCAACACCTACTTTCGCAGTATTAGGTGTACATGGCTTAATAGTTTACATGAACTTTTTTTCTTCTTTAGTATAGATGTCGCAAGTTTGATTGTACCAACTACATGTATATCATAATAGTGTAGAAGTAGTGATGCGGCTTTGGCTATCCCATCCATAATGGCTTATACAATCACAGTATAAGAAATGTGTTAACCAGCAGATAGTCAAACGCGTATCTGGATACCTACCCCCTGGACATCCACCCCGGATAACCAACCCCAGTCAACTACCCCCTAGGGCAGCCACCCTCTAGGACGACTACCCCAGGACAACCGGGAGACCGGTGCTACAAAGTGTTTGTTTTTATTCTATAGCTTTATCCATCTGTATCTGTAGGTAAATCCAAGTAATGTAAGGTCCCTGTGCACATGAGCCCCGACAACCAGCCCTATTACATGCTGAATATTCCACTGGCTATGTTTTTTCTAAGGAGAAATTTCCATTCATTGTCACATTGCCATAAAACTTCTCCAATATAAATAGAGTTATAACAGGTGTTAAATATGACCTGGTGCTAAATATTTATCCCTTTCTATGCCATCCTATTCAAGGATCGGTTTTTCATCATCGGGAAACTAGGTATAGACACCAACCTTACAGCTCTTAAAAGATACATATATATCATAATAAGCGATTTAAGGCTACTTTTAGTGTTTTTGGCAGCCTTTTTGGATTGCAAAATGGTGGCCATCAAAGGTTACTCTACACCTTTATGAATAACTTGACCTCTAAAACCTATTTCACCTATCTTGATCATCATAACTTTCCTGTAAATAGTTAGGAGACTGGAGGCCATATAAATCAGACGCCATCTTGAATTTCTGGGTTTCCTGGTGGCCATTACATATTGTTAGTGGTATGAATAAAATGGCGACCAAAATCACATTATCTCGAAGATAGATACATCAGTGCGAGTCATAAAAAGTTTGCACCTAGAAAATTGCTAATTATTTTTAAAAGTCATCTGCGAACAGTAAATTATCACACATCCTATAAAAGAGTATCTTATCCCAAATCATTTGGTATCATGTGTGTGTGGTATGTGTTAACGCTTGAATGAGCAAGAGACATTGTTTAAAGTAGATATTCATTGATTTTAAAAACTAACTTTATTTTCATTATTGCAAAGTTGAAACTTTGATTAAACAAGGTTATCAAAATTCAATGCTTGGAAACATTCGAAGTACTGATTATTATAAATTACAAAACGCTTAAATACAGCCCCGGCATAGCACCTGAAGAGCTCTTCGAACGCTGCTGAGATGTGTGAGATCACAGTATGGACATGATTCGCACAAGCAGATGATGTCCCATGACATCTCATACATTTTTAGTGCCTGTGTTTTCATCTTCTCTCGAGTTCTTTCGCTTACTTCACTACCGTCAGGCTAAATGTATAATCTATTGCCTCACTCTAAACCCCGCGCATGGTTTTATTTTGATGAAAAATGCAGCGATACAAAAATAAAGGAATTTGTCGCTTGTAAACAAAATAAGACGCCATTGTATATTCAGCTGCACACACCGGGGTATGTTCGGCGTTTCAAGAGGGAACAAATGCCGTCCTTAATATCATTCCGGGGGGGTTTCAATTTGACGGTCTGGTTTCTTTGATTGTTAATTAAACCCAATCCTGTGTATTTACAGGCAAAAGATTTTAGTTATCAGAATCAGGACATATCCCCTTTTGAATGGTTTGCCATGCCATTACATTATATACACTAAACTCATTATAATTTGAGAAATAATAGCTTTGCAATTATGTTCATTCTCTATGGGATGTCGTCTGCTTGGGCAGTGTTGGTCCATATAGTGACGTCATTCAGTGGCGGATCCAGGGGGGGCCCCCGGGCCCCCCCCCCTAGGAAAAAAAAGGAAAAAAAAAGGAAGGAAAAAAAAGGGAAAAAGAAAGGGAAATAAAAAGGGGGAAAAAAAAGGAGGAAAAAAAAAAGGAGGAAAAAAAAAAGAAGTAAAAAAAAAGTGGGAAAAAAGGGAGAGAGAGAGAGAGAGAAGGAAAAGAAGGGAAAGAGGAGAGAAAGGGAAAGAAAGAAGACGAAGAAGAAAAGAAAAGGGGAAGAAGGAGATCGGGGGGGGGGGGCCTCGCCTCCTAGGCTGTTGCTTCCCCCCCCCCCCAATTAAAAAAATAAGAGAGAAAGAAGGAAATAGAAAGAAAAAAGGAAAAGAGGAGATAAAGGGAAGAAGAAAGGAAAAGAAGGGGGTATTAGTTGCAATTTTCCCGCCAACAAGTTGTGGATCGGTTTGGGGTGGGGCAAAAGGCCCTTGCCTCCCCCGCCCCCGCTAAAAAAAAGAGAGAAGGAAGGAAAAGGAAAAAAGGAGAGCTAAAAGGGACCGAAAAAGAGGAAGAAAAAAAAAAGGGTGAAAAGAAGGGGAAATAGATCATTCATATTGCTCCGATTGTCTCATTTTCGCTCGCTGGATCACTGCAGCTCAATCATAGCTCGTTCGACGTCACTACCAAACTAGCCAATCAGCTGTCAATGACATATTGAATGCGGCGGCAAATATATTTTGTGAAATTATCCAGAAATGGACTATTTCTAATTGCAAACTAGTTTTATTTTTGGATGGAAACGCAGTCATTGTAATCTTGACATCCATTGAAGTCATCAGAATAGGGTAAGTTACGTCTCAGATGATTCATGAGGTCTATTTTGTAGATACATTTTCAATTTCTTAGAATGTTCCACTGTGTTGTAGGGTACCGGGTGTATGCCATTGGGTGTGATGTGTTAGCGCGCAATGGCGCGAATTATACATCCTTCTTCTTCTTCGCTATAAGTACAGGCCACCGCGCCGTCGGGTGTGAACATTCCTTTCCTTCTCAATACAATAACTTTCACCTGCCTAAGTTATTCAAACCATACGGAATCGTGGCGTCTCGCCACTTCCATTACGTAATCATTAAAAGGATCCGCATAATTATACAACATTTTCTTGCTATACGTTGTACCGCAGGAAAATACAAATCTCCCTGGTATACCTTACAGTCCAAACGATAAATATGTGCCTTAAACGAAGCAGGCGACAATCGGCGTGGCTGACGACACTTGACAGTAATTTTGTATGTGAGATTGCTTTGCTAAATATAAATTACTTTGTTAATAAATATCAACTAAAATTTCTTTTACATATCTCTAAACGATCATTGATATTTAATAATTCATGAGTGAGTAAAAGAAACATACCAAACTATATAATGATATGAAAGACTTGGTGGCAATTAGGGGAGTTTGACGTGATGACCGATTGCACCCCTCTGTTAATAACCGAATAGTCCATGGTGTGTCATGAATATTCATGTTTTTGCTCACCTCGGCTAAATGTTTGCTTTTACTAAATGGAAAAGTTACGGTGGGGGGTTGAATGAAATGGATATAATGAACCAAGCAGAAGTGGTCTATGATAATTCATGCTTATTATCCTTCGTGTGCTTGACCTATAATCTTACAATCGCTTGGCAGACTGAGTCCAAAGTTCGACTTGTTTCACATGTGTATTATAGGCAATTGCGAGCTTGCGGCCTATTTTGAAAAATTACGGTGGGTGAACTTTCAAAAGTCAATGAGACATGAGGGCTCAAATGAAAGAACTAGTGATAACGTACGTCGGGGTGGATGTGCTTTTCGTTTAAACATTTTTTTGTTGTTTTTTAACGATTTAAAAAAAAAAAACGTCCATAGGCTAACATGTTAGGCTGCTGACTCTGACGATAGGGGGCGTTGTGAAATGAGACTAAACGGAGCAACATGTGCGGTTAATCCCGCCAACAACGTGTGTAAAAGGGTGGGGGGGCCGAAAGGACGTACCTTGCCTGCCTCCCCCCCCCCCCCAGCAAACCTAAAAGAGAGAGAAGGAAGGGAGGGGAAGGGAAAGGGAAAGAGGAGAGAAAGGGAAAGAAAAAAAGAGAAAGAAAGGTAGGGGAGATCAGTTGCGATTTTTCCGCCAACAAAGTGTAGATCGGGGGAGGGGGGGGGGGAGGGGGGTTCGGGGGAAATACAATTTAATCTTGGTTTATTTCTTATTCCATAACGGTGGTTTACACATAATGCTACTTTAAATTATACTTTTTTATGCGTTTGTTGTAAAATGACAAATTCCTAAATTTACAGCCAGGCAAGAAATATGCCTCTTGAGATGCCTACATGTCAGGGCCCGCGGAACGGCGGGGATCAGGAGCTTCCAGCTCCCTTCCCCCGACTTTTATGAAAAAGAATATTAAAGAGAAACAGAAAGAAAGAGAGCAAGAGAGAAAAAATATTAACTGCCAGTGTCACAACAAAATAACGTATCAAAAAAGCTCATCTAACCGTAATTAAACGCCTAAAACCCCTGAGCTTACAGGGGCTCTGCCCCCGGGACCCAACGAAGGGCTCTAAGGCGGGCCCCTTGATACTCATCTGACCGTTATTTAGTGCCTAAAACCCTTGAGCTTCTGGGGGCTCCGCCCCCTGGACCTCACGCCAATCAGTGTCCTGTCAGTGTCACAAATAAGGTATAAAAATATGTTTATCTGACCGTAATCAAACGCCTAAAACCCCTGAGATTCCGGGGTTTCCGCACCCTCAACCCCACCAGGGGCCCTAAGGCGGGACCCTGAATGCTTATCTGACCGTAATTTATTGCCTTAAACCCCTTAGTTTCCGGGGCGGACAAGGTATCAAAATATGTTCATCTAACCGCAGGCGCGTAGCTAGGGGGCGGTGGGGGCGGCCCCCCAAAAAAAAGCCGGCCAAAAAAAGAGAGGATAGAAAAGGAAAAGGACGTAGGAAGATAAAGGAGAAAACATTTTTGAAATTCAGACAAGGATTAAGAGTCGAAAACGGTACAATGATTGTCTTCTTTCTCTAATAATTTAATGAAATATCAAAGCCTTCGCGCAGGAGGGGGGGGGGGGGAATGAACTGAGACAAAGATTAAGAGACGAGAACGTTACAGCGAATCGTCTTCTTTCTTAAATAATTTTAATGAAACGTCAAAGCTTTCGCGCGGGAGGGGGGGGGGAACTGAATTGAGACAAGGGTTAAGAGTCGAGAATGGTAATACGAATCGTCTACTTTCTCTAATAATTTAATGAAACGTAGAAGCTTCCGCGCTTCGCGCGAGAGATGGAAACTGAATTCACACGAGGAATAAGAGTCGAGAACGGTACAAAGAATCGTCTTCTTTCTCTAATGATTTAATGAAACGTAATAGCTTCGGCGCTTTGCGCGGGAGGGGGGGGGGTTAACTGAATTCAGACGAGGATTATTTTCGAGAACTGTTCAACGAATCGTCTTGTTTCTCTAATAATTAAATAAAACGTCAAAGCTTGGGGAACTAAATTTAGACAAGGATTAAGAGTCGAGTACGGTACAACGAATCGTCTTTTTTCTCTAATGATTTAATTAAACGTAAAAGCTTCCGCGCTTCGCGCGCGCAGAAGGGGGGGAAGTGAATTCAGACGATGATTAAGAGTTGAGAATGGTACAACGAATCGTCTTCTTTCTCTAATGATTTTAATGAAACGTAAAAGCTTCCGCGCTTCGCGCGGGAGTGGGGGGGGGGGGGGGGGGGGGAGGGGAAAACTGAATTCAGACGAGGATTTAGAGTCGAGAACGGTGGAAAATCGCCCCTTCCTGCACATTTGGCTCGCACAGGCGCGTACGTAGGGGGGGGGGGGGGTGGGGTTAAACCCCCTCTTGAGTTTTTGTATGTGTATGTTTTTTGGAAAAACCCCCCCCCCCCTTTTTTTTTTTTTTTTTTTTATAAAAAACAAACAAACTTATAGATGACCTAAAAAATATGTCCTCTTACCCACCCCCCTTATTCAGCGGCTGGCCGAGTCGTTGCGATTTTTTGGGACCCCCCCCCCCAAAAAAAAAGTGTCCTCTTACCCCCCCCCCCCCGCTTATCCAGCAGCTGGCTGAGTCGTTGCGATTTTTTTTTGGGACCCATAATTTGGCCCCCCCCCTTAGAAATCCTGGATCCGCGCCTGACGTCATGAATAAGGGGGGTGGGTAAGAGGACATATTTTTTTAAGGTCATCTATAAGTTTGTTTTTGTTTTATTAAAAAAAAAAAAAAAAAAAGGGGGGGGGGGTTTCCAAAAAAACATACACATACAAAAACTCAAGAGGGGGTTTAACCCCACCCCCCCCCCCTCGTTATTTTTCCGGCGAATCTCTCGTAGATCCCAGCTGCTATGGAGGTAGTTGTATTTGTATTTTTATAAATCACCCGATATGTAGTTGACCTAAAAGTTGTACGATGGCCATCTGTTAGCTTACCAGTTTCTAGTGATACTTAGTTGAAATATTTGTGATCTTCTTTGAATTTCACCTTTAAGAGAGTCCAAAAATCGACTTGCGCCAGTAATGCTTATGGGATGTTTGAATAAAACAATTTTGATTTGGGTATAAACGCGGCCTTTGTCGTTCCAAATAACATCCCAACAAAACTTATCAAATGTCAAAAAACATTTATGCGCGTGTGTGTGTGTGTGTGACTTTGCTTCTGCAAAAAGCATATGCAATCCATCTCATTTGATACATTCAATTCATTCTCTCACTTCAATACTTTTGCGCAAGTCGATTTTTGCACTATCGCAAACAATGCCTCCTGTTTATCAAAGCGTGAAAACATACCACACAAAAATGATATCAGGAGATTCGGGATATAACGCTCTTAAAAAACATGTATAACCTTTCGTTCATAGCTGACTTTTGAAATAAATTTTCTGAGTGTAAACTTTTTTTGGACTCACACGGTATGGAAATTTTATAAGGAATTGGCGGCCATCTTGGACGCCCTTTTTGTTGTAAATAACCACTTTCCGGGGTTCGGATTTTCTTAGACTTTAGTAAGTTGTTTCTGATATCAAACACTATCGGAAAACGTTGAAAAAACTTTTTTTGCAAGTTTTTTGGGTCAAACCCGTTTGACCTTACTATCTGTTAACCTGATTTTATGTTGTTTCAGCAAAATTGTTTATGGCACTTCAAAGCAGCAATACAGTAAAGAAGGTAGCAATAAATTATTGCACTATATAGAAAGAAAGGTAGAAAATATGATAATGTACTTTAAGTGAGTCTGTAAAAGGGATTGAATACAAAATATTTCTTTGTACCTTCTCCTTACCAGACTTCCAGGGAAACTTGTCATCTCATGGCCTGATTCGCCTGAATCAAACGAGGTTCATGAAGGAGAGAAACGACCAGCTGGGAAACGAATAGGTCAGTGCATAATGTCATGGCATCACCAGAGACTGCCAAGAATCGCAACATGGATTTGGTGCAAATTCACTTGATGGTGGACAAATATGATAATGATATTTCATTCTTGTGTGGTGCTCACATGCACATTAAAAAACAAATTGCATAAGAAGTTATATAATAGAGGAAATACCTGAACTTCTCATGGATTGAAAATTAATTAGAGATTTTGGGATATAGGACTAGTTTTCGAAATTGTCTTCGCAATGTGCTTCACAGAATAAGTGCATGTTAGAGGAGATAACCTTGAAATCATAGAATTAATGCATGTTTTAACATAATGTTTTCAAAACTATACCTAGTTACACGAAATAGATGAAAAAGAGGCTGAACAAAAAAATTCAGTCATGATTTCATCGGCTGGAAACTGACCCCCGGTTTGTTTGTACCTCTCATAATATATTGCCCATACTGTTTGTATTTTGTACAGGTGCAATCAAAGCTGAGATCTACGACAGGAAAGATCAGTATATGTCAAAGCTTCCTGGAGCTCAGCATAACTCTAATAAACTCACGGTGGAGATGAAGATCATTTGGCATTGTCGTGAGTAAACACAATCAGAAACGCAAACCACATCCAATAAGTTACCTTTTTCTATATATGATTGCAGGGCCTTTAGCAGGCCTTAGTGAGAACAGTATTAATACACTCTACATCTCCCGCCATCACCGAGCTAATAGTACATAAGGTTACAAATGCCTTTGATAATAAAGAAACAGTGATTGGCCTGTTTTAGATCCTAGCAAGGCTTATAATTCTCTTGATCACACAATTGGTTATAGAGGAATTACACAGGAATGGTTTAGGTTTTAAAAATAATTGAAAGCAATATGTTAATTGTACTAGAAACATGTGAATCACAGACAATGGAATTAAGATGTGGAGTGCCCCAAGGCTCAATTCTAGGACCAATATTATTTCCTTTACATGTAAATGATATTTGCAATGCTTCGAAAGTGCTAGAAATGATATCATTTGCAGATGGCACTTGTGTATTTATGTCTCATCAAGATACTGTATTCCTTCAGATTATGATTATTGCAGAATTTGATAAAGGGGTTGATTGGTTATATACAATTAATCTTGTCATCAATATTTAAGATAAAACACATCGCTGTTACTCAAATAAAAAGTTAAGGTTAAGGAATCTTTAATTGAACAAGTCACACTTTTAACATTTTAGGAGTCACAATTGATGATGATTGAATTGGAATGAACACACTGGTGTCATCTGCAATAGATAAGCTGAACATGTTGGTAAATCTTTTTTAAATAAATGTTCCTAAAGAAATATCGCTTATTTTATATAAACCAACATACAAATAGGCTTCCACTGATACAGAAGAAAATTATAAGAGTAATATAACAATACTTTGCACATACTACACCATGTTTAGGGTTTATCTTTGTTCAATTTTGTATGTATTTATGCTTTTAAAAAATGTTCCCAAGTAATCTTTTGCACTTTTTTTCAACTCAATAAGAATATTCATGGCCACCAGACCAGGTATTCCAATAAGTTTCATATTCTAGGGTCAAGGACACTATTTTCCCAAAATACAATTATCTTCAGGGGTCCCAAAATTTAGAATAAAATATCAATAGAAATTAGACTGAGCCCATAACTTAATAGTTTTTAAAAACATTTAAATTGTATTTATATTAACAACAAGACTCAAAAGTGCATACCTATATTAACTGTAATGTCTCCAAATACTTTCATTAATGTACATATTTAGATTTTGTTTTCATTGTTCTTCTTGTCTTCTCCGCTTGTGTTATTATCATGTTATATATTTCTATTAACTGAATCGGGCTACCCTCCACTGTTTTATCAATTGTAATAAATAAAACATGAATAAATAAGTTAATAAAAATTGATATTATTTTTTGAAACTTTTATGTTTGCTTACCTTTGTATATTTTTAATAAAAGTATTGGCTTAATAGTTATGAGGCTACCCTAGGTAAACAAGACTAGTTATTATTATTATAGTTATTATTATCTTATTAATATTATTATTATTATTATTATATTAATATTATTATTATTACTATTACTATTGTTAATATTATTATTATTATTATTATTATTATTATTATTATTATTATTATTATTATTATTATTATTATATTACGGTTTTATCGATGATCTAAAAGTGATCAGTAAGGTTTTGATGATAAATTTAGAGTGAAAATGTGAATGCATTATACTTAATGGCAGATTTGTTCCTCAAAAAATAAAAACATGAAAATTGATGTTTACTCTGAAAAGAACATTAATTTATTAGGCAATTGTTCCTTATTGTTGTTTCCATCCCTACAGCCAAAAGCGGTGACAAGGAAATAGTAAACTTCACGGGTAAACATTCGAAGACATGGTCGTTCTGGTTCAAACCGATAGGTAAGAAAATCAGAATACACACCTGCAGAGGAACAGTGATTGGTTGTTAGATAACAAACATAATTCTCATCCTCCAATGAGAGGATTGAGTTCAGAGTCCAAGCTACCTTAATACAGGGCTATACAATAACTTTCATACCTCAGTTCCATCACCAAACCGATTCCACACCGACCCGAAACTGACCGATTTTTTGGCCATTCAAGGTGTCAGTCTATTATCGGTCTCGTTGATTTGACTGGGATATTACAAATAGGGTCCAGGGCCTTGTATCATAAAACTTTTTATCAATGCGGCATCTGATTGGCTGGGAATTTATTTGTCAGAGTATTTTAGCATTTGTTATTGAAAACAATTTTGATGAAACAGAGCACAGGTTGAAAATGTTAAGAGTCTTTAGGGCTACAAGTTTTGGGGGTCTAAATTTAAAAATTGTCAGGGCTCATGTGCACAGGGACCTTACATTATTTGGACTTGCATACAGATACACCTACCTACCTTGATTGAAATTTCAAAGATTAAACTGCAACTCTGTTTTTAATTGGTTTAGAAATGGTCAGGGACATTGGTCCCCATACCTTGGTCCTGCAGACAGTACTCGGGGAGGACGGAGCAACTAACTTGGGAGGACTCGATCTACCGAGTCACAAGATCAAGTTCACAAGTACAGGTAAGTTTGAATGTTTTTTCCTATCATACTTTCATTTCATCTGCTGACTTCCGGAAGGGGTGTTAAGTCACATCAAACTATGGGTAAGTCCAAGCCATTTTGTCACATACATTACCATCATATGGTGGCCCTAAAGGGACATCGCGAACAGACCAAATCGCGAATTATTCACGACAAAATTGGCGACGAAATTCACGATATCGTCAATTTTGTCGTGAATAATTGGCGATAAAACTCACGACGTCGTCAATATACGAAATCGCGAATTATTCACGACGAGATTCCCGCCTGGCTGGTTTCGTCGCCAATGACGTCGTTAATTTTATTTGTCCTTGCTTACGCGGCCTGCCTAGTCTAGCGTTAAACAATCCAGCCCCTTGAAGACGATTATGTCGAGACATTTTTACCATGATTTCTGGGCGCTAGTGTACTCCGGTTTAATATCCATTCTAAATAAGGGAATTTTAGCCCTATTGTTTACTAATTTTAATCATAATCATATGTTGCATTTTCCACCTGAATTTGGATCACATCCGACATCGGGAAGGGCTTCGATGTCGACGTCGTCGCTCAGTACCGTCTTTACGCTATCAGTCCAAAATTATGCAGACAAAGAGCTAAAATCTTCGTTCACACAAAGTGATATAACTTATATGCCAAATATTATTCATTATTGTTTTGTTTTTGTTGTTTTTGATGATGGTGGTGGTATTCAGGGGCAACGAGCCCGGGGGTCAGTGGGGGGGGGGGTGTCGATAAAAATCGAAATTTATTTGTCCTTACTTTTTGTAAATTATACTCTTTTCCGTTTGTTGGACAATAAAAAAATCCCTAAATTTACAGTCAGGCAAAACATGCTTATTAAGCCTTGCCCCCCCCCCCCCGCAAGAGAGAGAGAGAGAGAGAAGGAAAAGAAGGGAAATGGAAAGAAAGAAGAAAAGAAGGAGATCGGGGAAGGCCGAAAGGCCCTCGCCTCCCCCTGCAAACCTCTCTCTCTCTTTGCGGGGGGGGGGGAAGACCCTTTTGCCCTCCCCCTGATCTCCTTCTTTCCCCCTTTTCTTTTCTTTTCCTTTCCCTTCCCTTCCCTTTCCCTTCCTTCTTTCTCTTTTAGGTTTGCAGGGGGGATCCAGGAAAGGGCTTTTCGGCCTCCCCCGATCTCCTTCTATTCGTTTTCCTCTTCTTTCTTTCTTTCCCTTTCTCTCCTCTTTCCATTTCCCTTCTTTTTCCTTCTCCCTCTCTCTCTCTTTTTGCGGGGGGGGGGGGGGGACAAGGCCCCCTCGCCCCCGATCTCCTTCTTTCCCCCTTTTCTTTTCTTCTTCCTCTTCTTTCTTTCCCATTCTCTCCTCTTTCCATTTCCCTTATTTTCCTCCTCTCTCTCTCTCTCTCTTTTCTGCTGTACAATTACCCTTAGTGCTTTACCCTTATCTTGTCAAAGATAAAATACAAATAGAGCATAATATAAAGTTAAAACCTACCATATTCACAGAAATCATGATAAAAATGTATGGTCATAATCGTCTACAAGGGACTGGATTGTTTACCGCTAGACTAGGCAGGCCGCGTAAGCAAGGACAAATAAAATTGACGACGTAATTGGCGACGAAACCAGCCAGGCGTGAATCTCGTCGTGAATTTTATCGCCAATTATTCACGACGAAATTGACGATATCTTGAATTTTATCGCCAATTTCGTCGTGAATAATTCGCGATTTGGTCTATTCGCGATGTCCCTTCAGGGCCACCATACCATCCACATCATAGATTGCAGTATATCTGATGTCTGTATCAAGCTGATAGCCCACGAGAGCTTGAATCAGACAACACATCAAATGAAATGCTAAAACAAAACAAAAAAAAGTTGTTCACAATTCCATGACATATTTCATTAATACTTGGCTTAATTTTAGGGCATACCTTTTGCTTGCCATTATACAGACTTAATTTTACACCCTTCTAGCCTTCAGTAGATGATTTGTTCTTAGATCAAGCTGTGAAACACCCTTGATTCTTGGAAATGCTATCTATTCTTCATGAAACTGAAGATGTTGTAAAACATAGAAGATGCTTCATTTTAGTTCAGTGATATTCAAATCTTTAAATGTCATTTTTTCTGTGGAAAATGTTGGAAATGCATCCAAAGTGACAGAGGATGGAGACAAAGACAAGTTAATATTACAAAGCAAAAACTACAAGACCAGCTTTGCACATGATTTTGTTCCCCTTTGTTGTGGTTGTTTGGGGGTATTGTCATCGAACATCTGGTAAATTGCTCTCCTATGATATAACAAATCCTGATGGTAATCATTTTCTGAATGAAATTAGGTTTGGTACACAAAGTAAATCAAAAATTATACTATATAGGCATCGAGTTTTTAGATTAATATCAATGCTTGTCGATTGTGCCTTATTTTATAGCGGGCCCACCAAGCAAATTTATCTTTGACACCATGGATCCTTCGTTCAGGGTAGACGTCCCATTCAACATCCCTCTTGAGCTACGAGACGAGTTTAATAATCCCACCAAGCCAACGCCTAACATCAAACCAGTACTCGAAGCAAGGTATACCGATCAAATTTTAGATAGATTTCTTACTCAGTAATTAGGCTTTAGTATTGTAGTTATTCAATCTAATTATCTATCCACCAAGCCACCAACCAACCTCAAACCAATCCACAAAGCAATGTAAACTGATTAGGTTTGTTTCCCAAGAATTTAAAAATCTGAGTTTTCATTATGCAATCAAATACACTGTCAGATTCTCAAACAAAATTCTGTACATGCACTAGGGGAATTGCCATTTATTATTTAACTCTAGTACTTAAAAATCAACATTTTATAATATAGAGAAACAAGATTAAGAAAACGGTGGAATGTAGAATAAAAGTGGAAGTTGGTAAGATAATAAGGGAATGAAAAGAAGGAAAGGCAGCAGGAAAAAACTGAAAGATCGAGCAATGAAATTCTAATAGAGAAATGAATAGATGTAGTAGGCAAACAAGGAAGAAATGGAGGACGTTTAAGAAAAATAAGAAGACCTATTTGTAAAATATGTAAAAGGAAGGATAACATCGTTTTATGAATGGTCATGGTTAGCAGATAAAGAAGAAATAAGAATGGAAGCTGAAATATTTTTCTTTTTCTTCAGTGGCCTTGAAATGGGCTATGAGAAGGTGGAAATCAATGACACCTCACTTATAGTGAAAGGAGTAAAGGCATCCGGGGACGTTGGATCGGCTCAAGGAAAGATCTTCAACATGACTGTGACGATACCTGGACTGGAGATCCCCACTCAACAACTAAAGATCAGAATCTTGCCTGGTAAGCAAGGGCACGTCACATCTTCAGGTGTGAACTAACTTGTTCGGAGAGAAAGTTTAGCTGGTAGACGATAGACTACTGGTGATGTTTGATTCGGTGAAGATGCAATTGGAATGATGATGATGATGATAATGATCTTGTTCATGATCATGACAATGATAACCTTTGATAATAATACAAACTAGATTTGTAATACTTGATGGAACAAGTATAGGTGGGCTGATCCAACTAAAATTTGAGACAAAATCAAGGGCACATTTAAGATATCTCATTAATACTCGAAGTTCAGCGTAAACGAAGCTAAAACGATGGAGATATTGCTCGCGAAAGACGGGAATGTAGAATCGAGTTTTGAGAAAAAATCATGTCCCATAGAGAATACACGCAAAATGTGAACATTGACATGCCTCCTTTAATCGCAAATATACGCCATGATGCTTTTGTCAAAATGAACAATTGTGATGACTTCATTTGTAGAAAATTGTCTCAGCTAGAACATTTCAAAATTTGGAAGAAAATCAATCAACATTTACAGAGATACCATCAATTTTCTATAAATATGCTGACGTCATAATATGCGAATTGGTATTTTGAGTTCGGAGGCCATCATGATGACGTCATGAGTTACTTGAAGGTCAAATGAGACATGAAACAATATCTCCGAATCATACTCTTTTAAAATATGAAAACAAATTGGGGTCACCTTGCATCTAAAGAGCTACAATGGATTTTGTATAGGCGTGTTTTTGCCCATATATGCTATGTATTACAAGAGCTCGCGCGCATGGAGATTTATGTTAAACGGTCGATCATTCCGTTATTAATAGTCATAAAGAGACAAACATGGTATCAATATGTTTGTAAATATATGTGGTATATTATGAAAGAAAAAAAAAAGGCAATTCAATGTTGTGCAAAAGTTTTACGCGCGAAAACGCGCGCGCATGCTCGTACGCGCGATTTTTTATCAAATGCTTAGAATGGCCTAAAACGTATGCAAAATGATTTTCAGACGATTTTGAGCATTTCAAAATTTTGCGTGCGCATTGACGCGCGGACGTACGCGCACGCGCGCGTTATTTGACCTTTTATTGACCGGACGGATATTGACCTTTATCATGATAAATATGAACGAGAAATACCTTTTGGTTATGAAGATATGATCATGAGTTGATTTTCGTAAAATTTTACAAAATGGCGCCTAGATGACGTCATCAGTGAAGGTCAATGTTGAAAACGTTATTGTGCTTTGTACATATGTCTATACATATGTGTGCCAAATTTCTAGGCATTTGATAGAGCCATTTCCAAGTTATCTTGTTCACAAAAAAGTGGTTAGAAATAAGAACTAGATTTGTAATACTTGTTTGGTACAAGTATAGGTGGGCTGGTCCAGCTAACATTTTAGACAAAATGAAGGGCACATTTGAGATAGCTAATTGTCTCAGCTACATCATACTCGAAGTTCAGCGTAAATGAAGCTAAAATGACGTAGATGTTGCCCGCGAAAGACGGGAATGTAGAATCGAGTTTTGAGAAAAAGTCATGTCCCATAGAGAATACACGCAAAATGTGAAAAATTGACATGCCTCCTTTAATCGCAAAAATACGCCATGATACCTTTGTCAAAATGAAGAATAGTACTGACTGCATTTGTAGAAATTTGTCTCAGCTAGAACATATTAAAATTTGGAAGAAAATTGATCAATATTTACAGAGATACAATAAATTTTCCATAAATATGCTGACGTCATAATATGCAAATTGGAATTTTGAGTTCGGAGGCCATTATGATGACGTCATGAGTTAATTGAGTGTCAAATGAGACATGAAACAATATTTCCGAATCATACTCTTTTAAAATATGAAAACAAATTGGGGTCACCTTGCATCCTAAAGAGCTACAATGGATTTTGTATAGGCGTGTTTTTGCCCATATATGCTATGTATTACAAGAGCTCGCGCGCATGGAGATTTATGTTAAACGGTCGATCATTCCGTTATTAATAGTCATAAAGAGACAAACATGGTATCAATATGTTTGTAAATATATGTGGTATATTATGAAAGAAAAAAAAAGGCAATTCAATGTTGTGCAAAAGTTTTACGCGCGAAAACGCGCGCGCATGCTCGTACGCGCGATTTTTTATAAAATGCTTAGAATGGCCTAAAACGTATGCAAAATGATTTTCAGACGATTTTGAGCATCTCAAAATTTTGCGCGCGCATTGACGCGCGGACGTACGCGCACGCGCTCGTTATTTGACCTTTTATTGACCGGACGGATATTGACCTTGATCATGATAAATATGAACGAGAAATACCTTTTGGTTATGAAGATATGATCATGAGTTGATTTTCGTAAAATTTTACAAAATGGCGCCTAGATGACGTCATCAGTGAAGGTCAATGTTGAAAACGTTATTGTGCTTTGTACATATGTCTATACATATGTGTGCCAAATTTCTAGGCATTTGATTGAGCCATTTCCAAGTTATCTTGTTCACAAAAAAGTGGTTAGAAATAAGAAAAATATACTAGATTTGTAATACTTGTTTGGAACAAGTATAGGTGGGCTGATCCAACAAAAAATTGAGACAAAATAAAGGGTACATTTGAGATAGCTTTTTGTCTCATCTACAACAAACTCGAAGTTCAGCGTAAACGAAGCTAAAACGACGTAGATATTGCTCGCGAAAGACGGGAATGTAGAATAGAGTTTTGAGAAAAAGTCATATCCCATAGAGAATACACGCAAAATGTAAAAAATTTACATGCCTCCTTTAATCGCAAAAATACGCCATGCCTTTGTCAAAATGAAAAATAATAGCAATTGCCTTTGTAGAGAATTGTCTCAGCTAGAACATATCAAAATTTGGAAGAAAATCAATCAATATTTACAGAGATACAATCAATTTTCCATAAATATGCTGACGTCATAATATGCAAATTGGAATTTTGAGTTCGGAGGCCATTGTGATGACGTCATGAGTTAATTGAGGGTCGAATGAGACATGAAACAATATCTCCGAATCATACTCTATTAAAATATGAAAACAAATTGGGGTCACCTTGCATCCTAAAGAGCTACAATGGATTTTGTATAGGCATGTTTTTGCCCATATTTGCTATGTATTACAAGAGCTCGCGCGCACGGAAATTTTTGTTAAACGGTCGATCAATCCGTTATTAATAGTCATAAAGAGACAAACGTGGTATCAATTTGTTTGTAAATATATGTGGTATATTATGAAAGAAAAAAAAAAGCAATTCAATGTTGTGCAAAAGTTTTACGCGCGAAAACGCGCGCGCATGCTCGTACGCGCGATTTTTTATAAAATGCTTAAAATGACCTAAAACGTATGCAAAATGATTTTCAGACGATTTTGAGCATTTCAAAATTTTGCGCGCGCATTGACGCGCGGACGTACGCGCAGGCGCGCGTTATTTGACCTTTTATTGACCGGACGGATATTGACCTTGATCATGATAAATATGAACGAGAAATACCTTTTGGTTATGAAGATATGATCATGAGTTGATTTTCGTAAAATTTTACAAAATGGCGCCTAGATGACGTCATCAGTGAAGGTCAATGTTGAAAACGTTATTGTGCTTTGTACATATGTCTATACATATGTGTGCCAAATTTCTACGCATTTGATTGAGCCATTTCCAAGTTATCTTGTTCACAAAAAAGTGGTTAGAAATAAGAAAAATATATAAATAAAGGCAATTCTAACGAAATTATAAGGTGGTCTGTACGTTATACAGCCCACCTGATAATAAAGGCAATTCTAACGAAATTATAAGGTGGTCTGTACGTTATACAGCCCACCTGAAAATATACTAGATTTGTAATACTTGTTTGGTACAAGTATAGGTGGGCTGGTCCAGCTAACATTTTAGACAAAATGAAGGGCACATTTGAGATAGCTAATTGTCTCAGCTACATCATACTCGAAGTTCAGCGTAAATGAAGCTAAAATGACGTAGATGTTGCCCGCGAAAGACGGGAATGTAGAATCGAGTTTTGAGAAAAAGTCATGTCCCATAGAGAATACACGCAAAATGTGAAAAATTGACATGCCTCCTTTAATCGCAAAAATACGCCATGATACCTTTGTCAAAATGAAGAATAGTACTAACTGCATTTGTAGAAATTTGTCTCAGCTAGAACATATTAAAATTTGGAAGAAAATTGATCAATATTTACAGAGATACAATCAATTTTCCATAAATATGCTGACGTCATAATATGCAAATTGGAATTTTGAGTTCGGAGGCCATTATGATGACGTCATGAGTTAATTGAGGGTCAAATGAGACATGAAACAATATTTCCGAATCATACTCTTTTAAAATATGAAAACAAATTGGGGTCACCTTGCATCCTAAAGAGCTACAATGGATTTTGTATAGGCGTGTTTTTGCCCATATATGCTATGTATTACAAGAGCTCGCGCGCATGGAGATTTATGTTAAACGGTCGATCATTCCGTTATTAATAGTCATAAAGAGACAAACATGGTATCAATATGTTTGTAAATATATGTGGTATATTATGAAAGAAAAAAAAAAGGCAATTCATTGTTGTGCAAAAGTTTTACGCGCGAAAACGCGCGCGCATGCTCGTACGCGCGATTTTTTATAAAATGCTTAGAATGGCCTAAAACGTATGCAAAATGATTTTCAGACGATTTTGAGCATTTCAAAATTTTGCGCGCGCATTGACGCGCGGACGTACGCGCACGCGCGCGTTATTTGACCTTTTATTGACCGGACGGATATTGACTTTGATCATGATAAATATGAACGAGAAATACCTTTTGGTTATGAAGATATGATCATGAGTTGATTTTCGTAAAATTTTACAAAATGGCGCCTAGATGACGTCATCAGTGAAGGTCAATGTTGAAAACGTTATTGTGCTTTGTACATATGTCTATACATATGTGTGCCAAATTTCTAGGCATTTGATTGAGCCATTTCCAAGTTAT